GCAGTTTGTAATCAGAGCTCTGTAAAATCTTGATCTCAGAATTTTCTAAAAAGCATCAAACCTACAAATGTGCATCATTACACTTCCAGTACACATGCATGTAAGCTGTGCACATGGTGCAAAGATTAACATATTACTACGAACATACAAAACACATGGCACATATTCAGTAACAGCGATACTATCAGCGATCAGCCAACAGCGATACTAACTATCTAACATTACTACTCAATAGTTGCCTATAAATCCTAATATTCAAAGATATTTACTTGAGTAAAAGCAACGTTCTTTGCGACAAATAAAGCATGCTAAGATAGAATAAACACCATTTAAAATAATTACTTTTTATAAATTCCTCGAAATCATAAAAACAGAACTGAATGGTAAACAGACAAACCTATGGTGTTTACACATGAGCACACAGCAGCTTCCCCAGGCCGAGCAAAAACAATGCTGAATGTTGTTTAACTCGGAATTTCTCAAGTCTGAAGTCATTTGTCTCATACGTGTGTCCTGAGTTCAACAAATGTTAGTCATTAATGCTATCAGTAGGGGCTGTTTTCAGCAGACTTTTCAGCTTAATGCCAAGACCAGGCCGCGAGACCACAGCTCTGTGTGATGCAGCTGACCTCCAGAGGCTCACCACAGGCAGAGCTAATGGATGCACTAGCCTGGCTGGCAGGATGCTATGCTAAAGGCTAACCTTAGGCAAAAGGCTATCGGTATTCCCACCGGTGCAAAGCCCTCACATCCCCATTCTAATCTCGCCTCCCATTCCTCTGGCAACATAATGTGGCTTGTTGCTCACAGTTTACAGAAAAATACGTTCCCTCCAAAACCAGCTCTTATCATCTATACTGTCGCTCACGAAGCCAGCAGTCTCTGTAACCGAGGCTGAAAACCTGTCACTGATTTAATTGTGTTGTAGCTTTGTTGCAATTATTTACGAATATATTTAAAGCATATACAAATCTACCTACGCCTTCAGAGGTTCCTCCCAGAGCTGCTGATTGACAGCCATGATATGCAAGATTGATTCAATAACAGTGAAAATCATGACCGGAAACCACGTGAAGTAAGATTAGGATGGGGACGTATGATTAGACTCCACACCGGCTGTTCTTCCCATCTTTCTTTGTAATGTTCACTCCTTCTGTCACAACCTTGACTAACACTAAATCTGGGCCTTCACTACATGATTTTAGCCCAATTTGAACCCCGATTTGCACCTTTTGACAAATTTTCACAATCTGAAGTGGTTTTCAAGGTCAAGAACTTGATCGGAAGTAATCGACAGCACGGACGATCTGGTGGTGTCCGAGGGAAAACATGTCAATCTTTAGCCTTCCAGTTCGCTCCGGAATGATCGGAGGCCCCCTGACATTATCAAACACGCTCGATTTTTATGACTCAAAACGTTCACAAGTCCTTTACAGAGGTGTGAGCAACAATGTAACGAAAAGAGTGAGTCAGACAGCAGCCAATCAGAGAGCCAGGAGAGAGAAGAAGAAGAAAACAAAGGGTGAAGAGAGACACACAGACATTTTGTCATGTGAGCAGGAAGCTGCAGAGACAGAGGAGCTGCTTGTTGAATTCAGGCAAATAATCACCCTCACTTTAACTCTCATTCACCTCATTCATCCCCAGTTTGCGTTTTCACTGTGCTTTGTGTGCATTAAAAGCACAAACAGGTCTAAAAACAGTTCAGCTCTGTATCATGTGATAACGGATGGGTGGTGTGGGGATCTGGGATTTTGGGTGCTTCTCGTATGTGTTACACCAGTTTTTTTACTGTATTTTTCAAATGACAAAACAAGAAATCCTGTAAAAGTCTGACGTTAACTTTGCGATGCTATTCGTTTCAGAAACTGTTAGGATTTTAAAAGTCGTGTCGTGTTCACCCAGCTCAGCTCAGACTGTAACTGACTATATAGCAGGAGGTGAGAGATTACTGAAAGAAGACCGTCTCAGCTGAAGGGCATAACGTTAGCATGTTTTGCACTGTATGTAGGTATGTACATTGCGTTATCTGCGCTTATTTGTGGCTAATTCCTTAAGAAGAAATCAAACTAGGATTTTTCGCCCATTACAAGCGTCTTTTCTTGAAAATCCCGGTGTTACAGACTTTGCAATGAGCATCTTTTACTGCTGCTCATCTCAGCGTGAAATAATCCCACACCACCATTATGTTGCCCGCTTCAGTTAATCTACCGGGACGTCACACAGCAGCGCGTCTGCACGTCGACGCTGCTCCATGGTATCCGTTTTCTCTGTTGCTGATACTGATCAAGTATTTGAGTGCCAGTGCTAAATGTATCGTATCGAATCGAGTTTTGTGCATTGTTTCACCCCTATAAGGCATCAGATCTGATCTATGACCTAAAGCCAGGAACACAGAACAACTCTGAAAGAACTGTGTCCAGGAACTGCTCATCTCACCCAGATCTGCAACCAGATACAGACCTGAATAAACTAACAGTTGGCCTAATTCATACAGACAACAGGATGCAGGAATCTGTCGCGACACCTGGATCCCCCTCGCTCTCTCAGCGCTGACGCTGCAGGCAATAACGGAGCTCCTCTCAGATCAGCTGTATGAGTACACACGGTTATTAGAGAGAGGACTGAATGGCTCATTCTTCGAAACATTTAGCGAACCCTTCCGTCTGTTCGCGGCCCTCAACGTGGGCTAAACCCGCAGGACACCGAGGAGAAAAAGAAGCTGTGCAATTCAACAGGCTGGCCTTTAGCAGTTTGTATAGAGAGCCACACAAAACACCCTCTCAGCACAGTATTTGGCGAGAACGCTTTACTGGTGCTGACGACGGTGCTGATGATGGCCCAGCGGAGCCAATTTAGAGCTCTCAGTGTACATATGTTTGTTCAGACATTCTGCTGCCAGATGGCCATTTCTGACTCACACAAAGCGTCGTCTCTGTAGACAAAACGCTAACGACGTACCCCGTAAAAGAACAGGTCCGTCTGAAGGGGTTTTAAACACATTCACAGCAACTTCGCTCAATTAGTCCGAAATGGCTCATTACGGGGCTGCTGAGGCAGTGACGGAGAAGCAGCGATGCAGAAGTGATTCACACTGGATATAACCTTTAAAACAATGGTACACGCAGAAGTCCTAAACCACACAGACAGACGTTTGTGCGGCACAATTCATAGAAAAGTTCCTCATTTTTCCTTTTAAACGAGTTTGACATTGTATGTTAAAGTCTCAGAAAGCACTGTTCGCTCCGCAACCCATACGCGGAAACACAGCTGCAAAACCCGTCCATTTCTGCTTCGTCAGCTTTGTGATGTCCATTTACATACATCTGCCTATTCGGCCTACAGCAGTTTAGCCCCACCCACTCATGCTGAAGTTGTTAGGAGTGTTTCAGCAAAGGACTGCTTTTGAATAAAGGACCAACACAGAGTGGCCAATCAGAACAGAGGTCATTTAAATATCAATCTTAAAGGGACAGGTGCGAGTAAATTGTAAGAGACAAAAAGTGGTCGGAAAGTGTTGTGTTAATGATTTAGAACTGATTTGGTGAATGCAAATAAATGAGTGGACATCAAAAATACAACAAAACGTAGGATATGGGCCCTTTATTGGATGCTCTTCACCAGCAGTCTGAAAAAGTTAAGCGAACCTCATGGTGAGCTGAGGGCTGATTAACAAAGGGCACAGTTTCAGTTCATCAACACTCTCTCTCTCTCTCTCTCTCTCTCTCTCCCTCCATTTTTATGTAACCCATCAGGAGCTGGTGCAATGTTAACCAGTATGATTAAATAACTGCCACAATTTGTGTTATTGAACCTACAAACTGAAGCAAGTCAATAAGGCCAAAACAGACCCAAGATGCCAAAGGCATCACCTTTACTGACCCTTCTTCTTCAAGGGTTCTTAAACTCTTAAAGAACCATTTGCATGCTTGAAATGTTGTCTGCATGGTGAAATGGTTCTTCAGGGTGAACAGAGATTGTGTTGAATATGGTATTAGAACCTTTTTTGAAAACAGCTTTTATAGCACCAAAAATGTTCTGCTTTTGTCACAATGTCAAGCTTGTAACCTTATTTGGAGCCATTTCCATAAAGCATCTATATACAATCATATACACAACACATTCTCCTTAAATCTGAAGAACCACTTCACCATGCACAGAACCATTTAGGCATGCATGCAAATGGGTGAGTGTTCATGGTTCTATATATCTTGACAAAAGAACCCTTGAATGACCATCTTTTTTAATAGGGACAGGAGAAAAGAAAGCTAACCTAACTAAGCACTACTTCCCAGACCGGCCGGCCTGCTGCGCAGAGCAGAGCTGTAGGACAACAAAACTGACCGTTTCTGCAATTTAGGACGTGAAAAGAAGTCAGGACAGCTCAAAAATCTCAGCCCAGCCCCATTTCACGTTTGGCTTCAGTTGTTGAGTGTGTAAACCTTTCCGCTGCTCAGCTGTGCACAAGGCTCAAGTCGGCTTCCTCTTCGAATTTTCCCGTTCCACCTTAAATGGTGCAGCAGTTACATTCTGGCGCCTCAGGCGCTGACCGGCGCCAGAATGTAAGTGAGGCGCTATTTAAGGTGGAACGGGGAAATTCGAACAAGAAGCTTGACTGAAATGAAACCCCTCAAAACGTCAACATTGCACGTTTCGAACCCCTTTAAAGCGTTAAAGAACGACCGTTAATACAAATGAAAAGTGCTAGAAAACGTACCGGCAGCTCGTTTCCCAGACCTGACAAACGTAGCCAGCGGACCGAACCTGAAGCCGGCTTGCTCTTTATCGGCATTTTCCGCTCCACCTTAAACGGTGCTGCTGAATGTAACCGCTGCCCACCGTTTAAGGCGGAACGGCAAATTTCGGATACGAACCTGAGGCCAACTTCAGCTTCGTCCAAGCAGCTATGGTTAGCTTGTTAGCCCAACCTCATCACAATAGAGAAGGATGGAGGGAGAGGTTTAATGTTACAAACGAGAAAACGGTTTGAAATCACTCACCATCTGTCTATGTGTATCTTTGTCGCAGCGATTAAAAACCCCCAGATAAACCAAGTTTAGCTGCTATGAGGCTTCCCTTGTGTCTCTATGCAGTTTCTTCCAACGTTGAGTTTAAAACGACGGGCTGCTAATGATGTTGAGTTTTTTTTTCCCAGCCTCTTTTATTCAGCAGGATGGCGTTGTGTTTTTTTCCCACCCGTATTCAGGAAGGTCCCGCCCTTCGTACGCTGTGATTGGCTAGTAGGATCTGGCGTCGTGTTGTGATTGGCGAGTCTTTGAAACAAACGCGCAGTTCGCCGCTAGTAGTAGAAACAACTAGCCAATCCTAACGCAAGAGGGGCGGGACTTGACGTTAAACAGGTGGAAAATATACGTTGTATGTGATTGGTTAAGGCGTTTAACTCCGCCCCTTCACCCCCACCCCGCTCTCTTCTGGTCATTGGGGGCAAAGTCATTGAAAATGAAAAAAGATTGTGTGGCCTAATTCATCACACTTATGCATATTAAAGGAAAAATCCAACATTTGTGTCACATTTTTTGTATTTGTTTTTCGTGATATATGTACATCTCGCACAGACCCTTTCGTCATTAGTCTAACTCTAATTTCCTTGAGCATTAAAAGATGCCTATCTATCTGTCTGTCTATCTGTAACAGAACCCAAGTAATCCTGTAACTCATTCAAGACAATTTCATGGCATCATGCTCGTTTGAACATCGTGGGCAGTGATGCTTGTCCACACAACATCGCTCTCTTCAGGCTCTCAGGTGTACACATGTGCCATATCTTTCTTTTGAAGCACACAGTTCATTAATAAAACATTGTATTGTGTTTTTAATACTAAGAAACAGAATAAAAACCTAATTTATTTTCATTTAAAACACATATTAAGGCATTTATTCTGTTTTGTATAAACTATGGTATGAAAGAGAATATATAGAAGCATTAGTTCTGCATGGATGGTTATGTTGTTGATTTTTATGTATTTATTAGTTTATTTATTTAATATCCAGACATTTTGTTCCATAAAGGAACAGAGTACCGTTGCATTTGGAGCATTTAGAGCCATTTAGAAGGTGCTAGATTTGAGAATTAAACATAAAATGGCTTAACGCACCTGTGATGATCCTAGATGGGCCTTAATATAAAATAATCTAAAATAAAGTGATCAATTAAAACACACGTACGTCAGATCAGAGTCACAGCATCTAGTTTTAAACTTACTACAAAGTGAGTAAGCATGATAAAACTATGGTCTACTAAAAAAAACAGTCCTCAGGTTGTTTTGAATTCATGCTCGGTCATCTACAGTGTCCTGAGCAACTCCTTAAGTAACGTTTTAAGAAATGCTGTTGATTGGGTATGATTTCAGAACATTTTTTGAGGGGTTACAATGCAAACATAGACATTTTATTTACTGTCCAAAACCACCACTGAACCTCCGCGTGCCTTCTGAGTGTTTATATGTAATGCTGATCATGGTAGAAATCTAAAAAGCTGATTTTTGTGGACTATTTTGCCTAACAACACCCTGCCTGCACCCTCCACCATAAATGGATTCAAAATAAAGTTAGCGTAAAACAATGTCTCAGGCATCGAGCAGCTTATCAGTGACCATTTCATGTAATAACTTTATCATGTAGCTTTTAGAAGGGTTAAACGTTTTGGATGTCTGGTTCCTATCACCCCCACTGAGAACAGTTCTAACTAGGTACGTTTCTCTAGAACAGAGCATTTTGCATTAAACCACTCTAAATGACTTTGTTAACATCTTAACAACTTAATTAGGCAGAAATTTGTAAAACTTGGTCGTATTCTGATTAATAAAATAATTGTAAGGTTAAATATATGAATATTAGTAGCATTTAATTACAGTCACATGTGTAAATATGCAGTTACTCTCACAGCACTCTCAAATTTGGATCATTGCAAGAGCAGGTGATTAAACTTTTTGTTTTAAAGCCTGGTCGTCATCAATATTCAACAGTAAAAAGCCTGGCACCAGTCCAGTCCCACAAAAAGCTCTCTAACAGTCCCAAGTCCAGCCCCTGTCCACTTGCCAGACAGTGCTTTACAGGGAGACCAGGCTATTTTTTCCTGCAGGCCAGGCAGTAAGAAGCAGAGAAAATCCCCAATAGACTGGAATGGCTGTAATAGCAAAGTATTAAACAGCCAGGCCAATTTCTAGTTTCCAGGCCAAGCAACCCTTGTTTGTGAACTCTACAGCTGATGGCTCTACCAAATGTTAAGCGCACTTAGCAAAATATGCATTGTGGGAAAAGTTATTTCAGTATATGTATAAACTTCAACGTCAATAATCAACATAATGTGGCCTGTCATTTTTGTACAGCAGCCAGATCAGATCCATTACATGTCCAAAAGTAGGCCGTCTAGACACCACTTCTTATTAGTAATGACAATCATATTTTTAAAAGCAATACAAAACTGTATTTGTACAAGAGAGCAGTATATTAATATACTCAACATCCTCTTTTCTCAATATTATATGCCCACATTTATTAGGAAATGAAGGAATTAAAACAGCAATTTTGAAATTGTTAAACTGCATCTTAAATACATTTTAGAGTCAAAAATCCCAACAAAAGAATCAACCGTTTCATTTTAGTTTATAAATATAAAAACTATACTTTCATTAACTTAAAAACTTAAAAATATATCACGTACATGTTCATGCCAGCTCCAAGTCAGTGTTTAAGCTAGAACTTAATTAAACCCAATGTGGGAAAAACTGGATCCTATATTTCCCTGAAATAAGCTTTGCTGTAGCAGTGGTAATCTGATACTTACAAAGCGAACTTCTCCATATTCTGCTATATGATATGACAAAAAATGTTACAGAACTCACTTTAATACCCATGTTTTATTTTACTTTGGTACAGTTTAGGCCTGGTAAGCTAGCATCCTATTAGATAGCTAGCAAGCATTAGCTTACTAGGCTAGTCTTAACAAACTTTACTACTGCTTAAATTTAAACTTGCTGCATTTTCCATGATGCACAGATTTTACTGCTGCTCAGCAGCTTTTCTAACATTTAAATAATGGAAAAGTGAACAATTAAATTGCAGCGATCTTCTGCTGATTCAGCAAAGTACTTTTGGCGACTGGTTGATACCAGCAACGTTTCAAAAAAGCTAGGACGGAGGCATGTTTACCACTGTGTTTCATCACCTCTTCTTTTAACAGCACTCTGTAAGCGTTTGGGAACTGAGGAGACAAATTGCTGTAATTTTGGAAGTAAAATGTTTCCGCACTCTCGCTTGATATAGAATTTCAGCTGCTTAACAGTTCAGAGTCTCCTTTGTCATATTTTATCATTTCATAATGCGCCAAATGCTTTCAGTGAGTGACAGGTCTGGACTGCAGACAGGCCAGTTTAGCACTTGGACTCTTCTACTATGGAGCCACCACAGGACACTTTTCCACTCCATCGTCAGTCCATCTTAAATGAGCTTGGGCCCAGAGAAGGCGGCGGCGTTTCTGGATCCTGTTTATATATGTTTTTTTCTTTGCATGCTAAAGTTTTAACTTGTATTTGCAGATACAGTGACAATCTTTATTAGCAATGGTTTTTGGAAGTCTTCCTAAACAAATACAGTGATTTCCACTACAGAATTTTGTCAGTTTTTACTGCAGTGCTGCCTGAGGGCCCGAAGATCACTGCCAGCTAATATAGGTTTTCGGCCTTGTCCCTTGCACACAGATTTCTCCAGATTCTCTGAATCCTTTATTATGTACCGTAGATGATCAAATTCCTGAATTCTTTTCTTTTTGCTATCTTCCGTTGAGAAATATTCTTGAATTGAGTGGCCATTAGAGTGGCAGTGGTCCCCCCCAACCCCATCTTTACCTCTGAAAGACTCAGCCTCTCTGGGATGCTCTATTTATACTCAATTATGTGATTGACCTGTTGCCAATTAACCTAATTAGTTGTGAGATGTGCCATCAGGTGTTTTCGTAGCATTACACTACTTAAGCAGTCTATTGTTGCCTCTGGCCCAACTTTTTTTTTTTAAATGCTGCTGGCATCAAATTCAAAATGGGCATATATTTATCAAAAAAAACAATCAATCGTCTCAGTTCTAACATTTGATATGTTGTCTTTGTACTATTTTTAATTAAATATAGGGTTTAAATTAGCATATAATTGCATTCAGTTTTTATGTACATTTTGCACAGCACCTTGACTTTTTTGGAAATGGGGTTGTAGAATTTACATAAGTTCGTACAGTGTGGAGCTGTGTTCTCTAGCATGCTGGAGCTACATCCAATACCTTTGGGAGGTTGGAGCGGCGTTCGTTATCCACAACATCAGTACCTGACCTCATTAATGCTCTTGTGGCTGAATGCAATCAAATCCTCACAGCAAATGTTCCATTTAGCGTAAAGTCTTCCCAGGTGAGTATGGGCTGTTACTGCAGCAAAAGGGAAAACAAATTCTTGTCGATTTCATAAGAAATGCTGGTGTGTGCAAACGTTTGGACCTGTATTGTATCTTGAGGCTGCATTTATATGAAGGAACCACACAGGAAATTAAGAATACAGATAAAATATATATCTTTCTGAATATGCAGTGAAGACAGTAACGTCAGCCACAGGGCAAAAACAGACAGAATGCCAGAGCAAGAACAAACAGGTAAGAACAAGAAGTCTGATGGGATAAAAGGGGAAGTTATTGGAGATGGAAAGAAGTGCCTCAGGCTGGCTCCATTAGTTCCTGACCTCCATAAACAGTGTAAAACTGTGTTGATCCCCAGCCTCATTGGAAACAGATGTTTCAGAGACAGAGAAGGCAAAAGGGGTAGACAAACGCTAGAATGATAGACACCTCCCATCTGGTGGAGGTTCACTAGTATTGCAACAGGGATGAAAATTGAAGCTTATTCTTCATTTTATGTTTTATCACTTCCTAAATCAGAAAGTGACAGCTCAGGAAGTGACAGTTCTTGGTATTACAAGAGGCTTACAAGCAACAGCTACTTCCACACAGTTCAGATCACCAGATAACCTCCACCAAAAAGTTGTTTTTGCTGAAAGGTATAGCAAACCTCAAACCCTATTGTGACTTTGATGCGACAGCATATTAGAAAGAAACTGCCACGCACTGCATTGAAACCAGTGCGACACAACGTTCATTGTAAAGTAAGCAAATCAGATTTCTTCACAGTGGTGGTGATGGGAACCAGGGGTCACCATGTTTATAACACAAGTATAGCCAACTTTATTTACCATCCAAATGATTGGTGAACCCACACGTGTCTTCTGGGTTGGTATATGTAATGTTGAGGGTAAAATAATGGTAAATCTGAAAATGTGTTTTCTTAGGGGACTATTTGCCTTACACCACCCTGTATGTACCACTCCGCCATGATAAAAGTTTAAGACCAAAACCTTGCAATAATTTCATTTTGTGAGGTAGGCATTAAACTCTTCAGACATCTGGTTCCTATCACTACCACTGTCTTGATAAGCTTCTCTAGAATGAAACGTTTCACATCAAACCACTCTGAAAGACTTTGTTTACGTTCTAGCTCAGGGGCCGGCGACATGCGGCTCCAGAGCAGAATTAGATTTGTAGATAAAAAATAAAAATCCTCCTTTGCAGTAAAAAAAAAAAAAAAAAAACCTGCTTATCGTTCAACACAGTTTAACAATAAATGATCTTGACTGGTGTGTAGAGATGAACATCGATCATTTGGAGACTAATTGACTTATTTGTGTTTATAATCACTCCAGCTGATTTCCTCATATGTTTAATCTCTAACGAGAAACTGTCACACAAAAGGTTGCGAAGCTAAAGTCAGCTTCTTGTTTGAATTTTCTCGTTCCACCTTAAATGACGCAGCAGTTACATTCTGGCGCCTCAGGCACCATTTAAGGCGGAACGAGAACAGCCTCGTAAAAAGTCGAACGTTGAGAACATTTTGCATAAAACTGTTCTTTAAAAGCTTAAAAAGCAAGTCTGCATTTTTGTTATATATTATTAGCCTATATATTAGTACATCAGCACATACTGAGACATATTTACAGCCAAGATGGTAAAATGGACATAATGTGACACCCAAGGTGGTTAGACTTTTGTTGAAAGGACAAAAGGGCACTTAACAATTGGGTTGCTGACCCCTGTCCCAACCATTTAATTATGCAGAAATTGAGAAAAACAGAATTACCTTTTAAGTCACAGCCAGGACATAGTATGCTATGGGAACACCTTAAGTCTTGGCCACGTGTTAGGATCCTGTTCCCATGTTAAACACACTTGTTACCCATGTTACTCATTTTAACACTGATGTTTTCCGATTTAACACGGTGTTAAAAGTAGCACAATGTGTTATCTGTGACTGGACACCGAACTATTAACATGTGCTAAAAATAAAAGGTGTTGTGTCCAAATGAACACATTGTCTTTAGACACATCAATGTAACATTTTAAGAGTGTAGCAAGTTGTTGCAGCACATTTTAGCAGCACAAGTTGCAAAAGTACAGTTTAAAGCTAGAACACAGGTCAGGCTCCAGTCCTCATGGGCAAAACACTGCAGACTTCAGCACACTGCTTCTTTAAAACACACCCAATTCAACTCTTCAGGTAATTAGCAAGGCCTTAATGAACTGATTTCAGGGCATTAAATGGGGTAAATGCTAATTTCCACAGTACCAGAAGGTCCAGAGTTCGACATGCCTGAGTTAGAATGATATTCATGCACTACATATCAGCCTTTACACAGGGATCTTAATCCCATTTCTGGTCCTGGATTTTGCCCTCACTGTTAGGGATGCTAGGCTGCCAATTAGTTACACCCCATGTAACTAACTGACTACCTGCAAGCCAGTTCACCTTACTTACCTGTGAATATAATTTACAGAACCAGAAACTGAGTCCAAGGTTGAGATTTGAGGACCTCTTGCATATCATAGAGGGGGGAGGAAAAAACACCACAAAGCCATGCTTCTGTTAGCTAGCACAAGCACAGATGTATTGGGGCATGCTGTGCCAAGAGATGCAATTTTGGTGGCTTTAAAAAGTGAACTGAGGATTGCTTGGTTGCTCAAGATAACTAGTCTCCAATTTGGAGTTTAAGGCCTAGTGGCAATATATAGCTCATCAGCCAGGTCTACTATACTTAACATGTTTGTAGCTACACACAGAGCATTCTATGGAAGTTGAAGAAACTAGATTTAACATTAGGATTACTTTAAGCCAGCATCACTGCAAACAAAGATTGCCTATGCCTTTCCAGTCACTGCACTAGCTTTAGTGCAAAGTAGGGCCTCCAGCATGGGCTTCAAGTCATGGAGACACAATGCACCTTTTGGCCTACTTTACTCAGATGAAGCACTTGCAAGCATTGGACCCAACTACTCAAAGCACTTCCATCACTAGTTTACACCAGAACAAGCCAAGCCTAGTCATGATTTACCACTGCACTTAGTGTGACCAAGCTTAACCCATGTCCAGGAAGCCATCCATAAGTGGCAGATGAGCACTTCAAAACCAAGATTCAGCTAACTAGCTGGAACATTTGCAACCACAGAGGTTTAGGAAACAAGACAGCGAGTTGGTCCATGTTCAGCCAATAGTTACTCCAGTACACAAGTATTTTATTAACTCAGTTTCAGAAAATAAGGCACTGGACCATCAAGCATCTTCCTTAACCATGACTGGACCAATGGTTACTCGTGCATCCATGTGTAGGCCTGCAAAATAAAGTTGAGTTTAGATAGCACCAACAATAAAGCTGGAAAGCTGAAAGCATGGATACTTGACATGTCAAGTGGTAGAGTAACCTGAGACAGTCCTATGCCAAAGCTAAAGTAACTCCAGGCTCTAAGCCAACAGTAATTAGTCTCTTCAGTGAAGAGTCATGACCTGGGCAAGGCAAAGCTTTGAGTCCCTAGGGCTGTGAGAACAGTGAATTTTCACCACAGGAGAGGTCAGTTTGCATTCACCTTTGCCTGAAGGTAGATCATGACCCTTCCTGAGACCACACCGGTGTCAGCTACATACCTGCTCATCACCATATGCTGCAGTCCACCTGTGAGGACACAGCTTTAGGAGCTAGGCCTTGCCAAAGCTATACCACTTTAGTGCAACAGCAACATATCCATTGTCAAAGAGCAAGCCTTGTGCTCAGCATCAACAGGGGAAGAAGTTGCATTGGCCTTCAAGAAGCAGGTGATGTACACCTGTAGCGTCAAGGATTACAAGTAAAGCTCTGACAGCCAAGCTAGCAACTCCTGCTGAGCAGTTGTTACCTACCAGGTTACTGAAGTCTTCCTAAAGCAGAGCGCCTCCAGCTGAACCTGTAGCTTGTCGGCTTAAGTTTGAGACAAGCAGTGAGAACTTGGGCCTGTAATCTTACCATCAAGTAAGCACCTGGAAAAAGGTTTACTAGATTTTAGCAATTCCATTAAAGGATGTAGCTGATCAACTCACAAGGAAGCCGCTCACCCATCGTTGTCAATGAAGGAATATCTGGGGACTGCATTAATATCAGGGACTACAGTGGCCACACAGCTGTCCAAGTGGACGGGAAGGGGCACATGGTTGAACTACATCACAGATTCCTCAACATTGATGGCCTTTCAAACATCCAGTCACCTATGAAGAGGACTCATTAGATGGTCAAGTTTACACAGAATCCAGATCTTAGAGTTCAGCCATGTAACCAACCCATCATGAGCCTCAGGGAGAAGATAAGTCTTTCCTCTCCTACTTCAGTAGAAGCATGTGGCATCCAATCAGGCAGCAAAGCATTACTGCTCACAGTATGACCCCTGCATTTAAAAGCATACATTAGACCACACACACACACCTTTCAAGCAAGTCTGAACAGTTATTGGAGGAATACCTTGGATAGTGACAAAGACCAATTACAGCACCAGAGGTTCTTAAAATTGGAGCACCAGTGGAAGAAGCAGCTGGTGCATATGTAAGGGTGAAGCCATAGAGCTCCAGCTCATCCTCAGTCAGCTGTAAAAAGTTTTATTCTGCCAAGAGCTCAAGCAGAAGTCTTATCATTCAATAGACACTTACTCTTAAGGCACTGTTGCAAGCATGCAGATCTGACTCCAGTACAAGAACCTGAGCAGCAGGGCCTTCCCCTTTGACATCACAGCCTCCCAATGTGAGGCCCAAAGGATCAATTAACTCACCAGTTCCAAACAGGTCTTCAGTTCAACATAAGTGAAATCATCACCACATGCTACTGCTACACTCTAAACCAGGGGGGGATCCCATGGCAGTAACTGCACCATTAGCTGTCTTGTAGACTGTGGTGCTAATGCAAAGTGCCATGTTAGTTTCTTCACTGGTCCTTGCAAAACTTGTTGGTACTGGACATCCAAAAGGGTCTTGCAGCAGGGAGGTTTGTACAGGATTGAGGCAGAGGTCCAACTGGGGTTGGCACATGTCTTGTAGGTGGATATCTTTGGGGGCCCTGGGAAGGCTCTCTGGCAGCTACTGGCCTCAAAGCATGTGCTAGCCATGGTGACTGAAAGCTTGAAACACCTGGAACCTTACAACAAGCAGCAGCACTACAATCCCAACTTGTCTTAGACCCATTCTAACATACCCTGAAGAGTCCAGACATACTGCTACAACCATGGCACAATTTTATACCATTTTTGAGGATAGTAGCTCCACCCCCTCTAATTAGCTTGATGTGTGCGCTTCACAGGTGACCTCAACCAATATTTCGCTCCTCAAGGCATTCAATTGGGCAGCCTGTTTAACTGAGCAGGCCAAACAACTGGCAGGAAATGAAATGTGGGTGGGAGTTTGGTCAACAGAAGCTGGGCAGATTGCACTGTTAGAAATAAAGGTACTGCGCAGGTACATTTCACATTCATCAAGGTAGAAACAGTGTAAACGTGGCCTCAAAGGTACAACAGTGGTTTAAGGTCCAATTGTGAAGCTTAAATAAGTTTCCAGGTGTAAATATTTGTACCTTTTCATAAAACAGAACAATAAAATAAAAAGTCTGGAGACGAGACGGGGTGTGTGGAGACAATACAGCTTAAAAAATATAATTTCAGTGGATTCTGGTACAGTTATGTTCCCTGGTACTGAGGTGTACCTTTGATGGTACCACCCTAGGGAGAAGAGGGGTCCTGCCCGAGTGACAGTTTTGTACCTTTTTGATCTGAGTGTGGGATAGTGTAATATAAGCTAACAAACCAACTCTTGGAAATGGTCCATTGTGTCCATTTCAGTAAATAAAGTTTGGAAAGCATTTCACTGAACTAAACAGTGTTTTGCAAGAAGAATGATTCAGCCACACCATTTATTAGCGGCAGGTACGAGAAACAAAGTGAAAATCTGAAAAGTTTAATCAATTAATTTATTGTACAATTCTATGAGTATAAACTGTTAGGGGCTATTTCCACGGTTCGCTTCTGATGCCCCCAAAAGGCAGAAAAACATATGCAAAGTAAAGAAAGACAGGATTATTCAATGAGAGGGTTTAACAAGTTTACTAAAGCCAAGCTGAGATGTTAAGATTTGAATAATGACACCAATTCCACACCTTCGATGAATGAAATGGAACAGCATTTTTAGATGAAGCCTACAGGATCAGTGTGGACAAAATCATACATACAACACTCCAGGTTGTCATTCCACATTTTAATGTAGATCAGCATGAGTGGTATATAGGTGCTTAAACGTTTTAATCGTTGATAGGTTTAGATATACAGTCCTTAAAGTCCTAAAAGGCTTTGAAGTGGAGAGTCGAATGCCAGACGAATACGCTGTTCAGGCGCCTGATGAGTAGCAACGGTGAATGTGAGGTGGACTTTGTATTTAAGCACACATGTTTGTTTTAAAAATTCAAAAATACAGATAGAAGAAAAGGAGACTATGCAATGGTACAAACAGCTCCAAGCTTGTAATGGTACACTGTAAAGCACAGAAGAAAGTCCTAAACCTACAAAACAGATCACCCACAAATTCTCTGAATCAATGAACCAATTAGGCAAAAAGGTTTTGACTTCAATTTTATCCGTAACGAAACTCGTCGTGCTCGGCTGCACGCTGAACATTTTTGTTGGAGTCACAAAAAAAAAAACAAAAAAAGAAGAACTCATTTCTGTGCCATAAAAAGCACTCTTCTACAACTGCCTAACACAAAATGTAGTTCAGGGTTTTCCAGACAGATTCACACACATGTACTATTACAAAAAAAGGCTTGCCTGCTTCGATTTAATTCACACCTCCACACTCAGTCATACAGCATAAACCGCCTGGGTGGCAAAAATGGTCAGAAGTCTTAATGGTGATGGAAAGTTGGAGATTAAGGAATACTCCAGTATTTTTCAACCCAATCTCTAGCTGCTGCATCTGCAGCATACAGTTCACCACCAGACAATACTTTTGACTGGTTTCCTTTCATTTGGTAAAAAACAGAAAAGCCTTTGACTTGAAACTCACTGCTATTCAAAGTCAATGGAGAAGCACTTGCCCACTGGCTTTTATTATAAGTGGGTTTTGAGTCAGCAGGTTTTATGTTCTTTTCTGAATGCAAGGAAAAGTGTTTAAAGCATGGTCTGTGGTCAGCTATGTGGCAGATGCACATCATAAGGATGCAAGAGTGCAACTGTATTACACAGACAGAAAAACAGGCCCTATCGTTAGAAGTCGGGAGATTATGAGTTCAGTCCCCAGCGATGCCACAGCCATTCGCGTTCAAAAGGGTGTGAAGAATGTAAGAGAACTGGCAGTTAGCCTTCTCCTCCAAGCATGTTCATCTGTCCAATGATGCTTTAGCGGCAGAAAAGATGCAGTGTGGCACAAGCTAGTCTTCACCCTCCTAGCTTGGTAGCATCATGTGATGGGGGGAAACCTGGCTTGAGAAAGGAACTGGTTACGACTAAACAGGGGAGAAAATGGCATAAAAATTCCAAAATTCATGTGCATCAAAATTAAAAGATGTGTCGCCAACATGTTGCTGCGCCTCTTCGAAGGGTCTTGCATTTGTTGTCTCAAATGGCTGAGATTTTTATCTGGTTTGTGTATTTTGGGGCCTATTTTTGTTAAACAAAATCCAACTGAATCTTGATCTCCGTCAAATCACACCAAAATATGTGCATCACCACACCCCTAGAGATTAGGCTGAAAGAGGCTGGATTACTCCTTTGAACATGTATTTTCAGTGCCGCTCAGTAGTCGATGTTGTTTTGTGGTTGAAAGAAGACAAGTTGACTCTGCTAAGAAGGCTGAGTGTCTGGCAAGCAAGCTGCTTTTTCGAAAACTGACTGGTTGGCTTTAATTGTCCCACCTGCTTTTCTTGCGTTTCGGTGGATCTGGAACAGCAAAGCTGTCCTCCCCTCCTCTATGTGACCCCGCCCTATCTCCGCCCCTTTCTCCCCTCCAATCGTCTCTCTCAGACCGGCCGTCTCGGTCCCGCCGGCTGCCGCCATCTCCGTTGCGGCTGTCGCTATGGCGATCCCTGTCGCTGTGGCGGTCTCTATCGCTGTACCGATCACGGTCCCTGTCTCTGTCCCTGTCCCGGTCACGGTCCCTGTCCCTGTCCCTATCTCGGTCACGGTCCCTGTCCCTGTCCCGGTCCCCAGAGCCGTGCCTGTCGCTGTGGCGATGGTGACCATCTCCATAGCGACCCCTGTCATCGCTACGGGAACCGTCTCCGGATCTAGTGGAGGAGTGAGAGTCTGAAATAGAGCTCAGGGTGCCGGCGCTGCTGAAGCCAGACATTTTAGTGCCCGAGCTGAGGGCTAGAGGAGGTGGCATGGAGGAGTACAAAGAGATGGATGAAGAGGAGGATGATGATGTCATGTGGGATCTTTCCTGTCCTTCTGGAGTTCCTGAGGGCAGAGAGCTCAGACTTCCTGCACTGGTCCAGCCTGTAGAGCTGCTGGAGTGCGTGCTGAGCTTGGGAGGGTTGCCAGATGCTGCCACAAAATGGTTCTTGTACTGAGCCTAAGGAACAGAGAGACGTTTTAGAGGCAGGCACAAGTCACTAGGCTTTGATAAAGATTAAGGGAAAACAACAATTTGGTCTCTTAACTGATGTGGCATAGTGGAACTAGGAACTAACAAGATAAAAAGAGTGATTTTGATTTCAGCTTCACTTTAAACCTTCGGTTTTTGGATCATGAGCCAAGAGAGGAGATAGAGGAGATAGAAGAGACGGTGGGAGGAAAGAGAGAGAAAGTAGAGATAAACAATGTGTGTCTGAGGGCATGTTGTTACCTGAAAGGCTTGCTTCAAGGCAGACATGCGGTCTCCCATAGCCCCAGTAGAAGGTTTGTAGGCCTCATAGTTACCAAGTGCAGTACTACTGCTGCTCTCCTGCATTTACAGAAGAGTCAAATGCATAGTAAGCAAAATCATATTACAAACATGGACCACAACATGCACACTGTATTCATATATATTTTAAAGGGGCATCACAGCCTAAAACCAGAATGCAATACATTATTTGTCATGTTATGAAACTGTCACCTTGGGAAATCTTGACTGCTAGTGCAGCAACTGATAATGAAATACATAAATATACATGTGATATCAATATCAGCCATCTAAACATTTCAACCAGCCCTCCCTCGAGCATCAGTTGTACTTTTTCTAAAAAAACTGCTCCAACCTTCAAGACACTTGTTCAAGAACTTGTTTTTAAACTGGAATCTCTCACTCTAGAGGCTACTATGGCACCATTATAAGAGTTTACAACAGATACACTCTCAGAAAAAAGGTACTGTAGTGTCACTGGGGTGGTAACCTCAAGGGTCTTTAGTACTTTTATACTTAGGGAAAGTAATTATACCATATTTAACTAAATTTACTTTTTAAAATTGGTTTGACTCAACACACTCTTTCTTGACTCCATGCTTTTTTATTGTATTGCTCTACTTTAACACATTAGGTCATATACAAATATGCACCTTTCCCTAAAAGCACACAGTTGGACTTTAAGACCACTGTTGTACCTTTGAGGGTACATTTACAGTCATTGTACCTTGGTAAACAAAACGTACCTGCACAGTACCTTTTTTCTGACATTGTATAGTAATGGGTAAAATTTTGAGCGCCCCTCAAAGTCAAGTGAATCACTCTCGACTTGTTTGTTAGATAATCACATATCACACTGACCGAACTGCCACTAGAACCAGACAAAAGAGGTCAAACTTAACGTATACCATACGTTTTACTGGATGATTTAACATATTAAAATTAAATCCTAAAATAATTATTATACATAATTGGATGGATGAATAAAAAAATAGGGCTTCTATGGTGATGATCTCACAAAGATAGCTGCGCTGACCAAGAAATTGCGATTACTTTGACGCTCACAAGTACTTAAACCTTAACAAACTCACTGAGGATTCAGAGCCAAGGCCGGGTCTCTCTCTGTAGCCCAGACCTCCACCTCCGATGTTCAGCTTCTTCCCTTTTCCTCCCTTAAATCTGGACTTCCTGAACCAGGAGTTCTGGAATAAGATAACAGACCAATGTCATAAATTATGTTAATTAACACATTTTGTGTCACGTTTTGTGTTAAAGGAACATAACATGTATGCTAAGATGTGCTACAGGTGTTATTTACACCTGTTGAGCTTTGTTTAGATGTTTATTGACAGCTTACACATTTCAGTGCAGAACAAACTAACGCCATTTCTGATTTAGAGAACAGATTTCATGTTTAAAAGAAAATACACAATAACTCATTATCATATATTATCTGTTCTAGAGGAGATCAGTGGAATAAACAGACATGTAACTGAGTTAATAGGGAATAGAACTGACACACCTGCATGGCCAAATCCATCAGTTCCTTGGATACGCTCTGATTGGCTCCCTCTAAATTCCGAACAAGGTCACCAGCAAATGAGGTGTCTTTGTTTGTGAGCAGTGTGTAGGCCACACCCTTCTCTCCTGCACGACCTGTTCGGCCAATCCGATGTGTGTGTGTGTCAATGTCTCGGGCAACGTCATAGTTCACGACCGTACGAATAGAGGGAATATCCAACCCACGAGCTGGAATAGGAAGAATAATACAGAACGATTAAATATTAAAACAGTAATATTGGGGGGGTGGGGGGGGGTAACATGACAGACTGACAGACTAAAAAGACATTAATTCGGAAAGACGAGACGGCAAGACAATAATAATAAACAACAGACCATGTGGTAAAACACTCTGTAAACAGACAACGAAGCCTTTAAAAAGTAGTTGTTTCAAATATAACACACTTCAATAAAACGCATATAAGTGTGTTTTTAATCAGGCTTTTTTCATTCTTTCCCTTACATTTATTTATTTATTTACTTTTAAAATTAATTTATTAAGTATTTATTTTAAAAAGACCCTAACACACAAATACAACTGACTCACCTGCAACATCAGTGGCCACCAGTACGGGTAGGTTTTTCTTCTTGAAGTCACTGATGACCTTGTTCCTTTCGCTCTGGTCCATGTCTCCATGCAGCAGACCCAAGCTGTAGCCCTCCTGCTGCAGATTGGTTGCCAACTCCTCACAGTTTGCCTTCTTAGTGACGAAGATCAGCACGGAGCCGGATGAAGTGAACTCCACCAGCCTGCGGGTCAGCCAGACCCACTTATCTGACCCAGTCGGCAACACCTCCACCAGCTGGGTCACGTCTTCATTCGCCTGAGACAGAGGGATAGAAGCAAGCTCAAAGAGTGTGACCACATCAAATAAAGAGAATTGGTTCCCATTTTAAGGATTTTTTTGGCAAAGAAAATCTGATTTATGCTACTTCCCCTGTACAGCACTTACCAAGACGTGTCTGGTTTACAAAGTTTGCTTCTTTGGTTTTTTCCTGTGTGGTTTCCAACACTATGATGTTACTGTTACCCGTAAAAATGGACAGATGTACATTACCAAGCTGAAAACAGTAGCAGGAGCCATTTTTAAATCCACTTTTGTTCATTTTTACACATTTTTCACACAGTGTCAGAAGAAACCACATAAGCAAGACTTAAGATTAAGACTGAGATTAAAGCTGGGCCTACACTACGTGATTTTTAGCCCGATTCGCCCCCTCTGACAAATTTCCACAACCTGAAGCAGTTTTCCAGTGCGGGAGCTCAGCCAAGCAACTGATGACATGCATGATCTGGTAGCCTTCCAGTCGAGCTTCAGAGCCAGCTTCTGATATTTTCACGTGTGATTTGTACGACTAAAAACGTTCATGAGTCCTGCAGTGCAAGATGGACAGTAATGTAACTGGTATAGTGACTCAGGCAACAGCCAATGAGAGAGCCAACAGGGAGGAAGACCGCAGTGATAGAGGAGCTTGTTGAACACAGGAAAACGTCACTCTCGTTACAATTTCAAGTCAGCTGCCAGTTTGTAGTAAAATATTTCTCCAGCTCTCACTGCGATATCAGCGAGTCTCAACCATGTATTCATCCTCAGCTTGCGTTCTTGCTTCTTGTGTGTGCACAGAAGCACAAATAGGTCTGGTCCAGTTTTGCTTTGTTTGTATCACATGGTAACATCGAGATTTAGAGGTTTGACTGCTTTTTTGCAGCTGAAACTTGTTAAGTGTGGCGTCCTTTTTCCCTTAACGTTCAAGTGTGTGCATCCTCAAGACAAAAAAAAGACAAGACTCTTGTAAAAGAGTGTGTGCTGTTCTCCGTTTTTTAAGGTTTTACAAGTTAAAGGTTTGAAGATTGAGGCATGTAGTTTGCAATGTGATTACTTATAGACATACACTTCCATTACTTGCTAGCCACATTAGCCTCGTAGCTCCAGTGCAAAACTAAAGAAGCAAACTTCAGACACCAACCCTGCCTTGGCTGATCGACTACATCTGGGCGAAGGTGTAAACCGTGCAGAAGTGATTTTATGACAAACTATTCTTTTAAGAAACACCCTTTATATCTATCACTCCCAGTTCTCCATATTTTCAGGTAGTCCTATGATGATTAGTGAAGACGCTGTGCTAAATAAAGTGGGAACCTGACGCACCTCTCCAATGTCTCCCTGTACGACGCGAATGGGGTCAGTGAGAATATCCCGCGCCAGCTTCTCAATCTTCTTTCTGAAGGTGGCACTGAACAGCAGAGCTGAGAGAAAGAGTGAGAAAATGAAGGTAACAGAGTAAACAAAACGTACCTGCACCCTTATTTATTGACACACTTACACAACGTTCACTTACTCTGTCTGTCAGGCCTAACGTGACTCGCGATGGATCGCACCTGATACTCTGGAAGAAAACGCAAATCAGGGTTCTTACAGTAGGGAAATCACAGTGGCTCAACATTTGCCTTTTAGGGTTTGACTTTGAAACAAACATATTTGCTGGAAGAAAACTGCGCTGGAAGACTCAACAGCGCTTACCAAAGCCCATATCAAACATGCGGTCAGCCTCATCAAACACCAGGTAGGTCACTCTCTGAAGTGATGTGGCCTTCTTCTTCACATGGTCAATCAGACGACCCTGTGGTTGTGCGAAATATTAGAAAATATGTCTGATTAAACTCATTTTCTTAATGATTCTTGTCCAAATATCCTGTCAAAACTAAACATTTCTATGAAACACATTTACCAGGTGTAGCATGTTCTTTCAATGTTATGCTATTTTCTGCTAATCCCAGTTTTATTTAACTGTTTTACTGTTTTAAATACAGTGTAAAGCACTTTTATCTGCATTAATGAAGTGTGCTATGTACACAATGCAGCTACAACTATTATTCTTATCATTAGAAATAATTATGCTATTATAACCACATAGACACATCAAGAATCTGTGTTATCTGATTTTAATACATAAATATCAGAAAATCCAAACGTGCATCTGCCATGACCTCAATTGAGATTATGCTGCCAAGAATAACAAAGGGTCCTTACCGGGGTGCAAACCACGATTTCAGCCCCCTCCTGTAGAGCCTTGGCCTGTTCCCACATACTGCCCCCTCCATACACAGCCACTGAGCGCAGGCCGTACACCTTCCCGAAGCGCTTACACTCCGCATGGATCTGCACACAAACACACACAGTTAATCACACCTCCTAGGAAGATGAAAAGATGAGCTCTAACCCAGCTCTTCAGCCACATGTCGTGTGTATGCTGTCATTCCCTTTTTCATTTTTAATGTAGCTTTACTGTGGATCCTTCTTCCCTTTCTAATGTGCTGTCTGCCCCAGTTCCCCCCTCAAAAAATAATCCTTAATCAGAAGGAATAAACAGGTATCGTCATTCTTAGTTAAGTGGCTTAGCAGCAACTCCATTAGAAGTTATTAAAGTACTGTAATACTTGTAAAGTATAATGCATAAAACTATGGAAAACAGACTTTCAGGTGAAATATAAGAGTAAACCTGGGTGTATAATAGCAAATAACTGATAAATTATGAAACCGCCACTAGCTTTCTACTATAGTTCCAGAATATACCTCAAGTGTGTACATACACTCAATCTGATCATAAATCAGATTCCTGCAGTCTGATTATTCAAACGGTCATGTAAACAGCATAATATGATTTCCTAGATCAGAGTAAGGTCTAGAAATCTGATAAAGAGAGCTGGATTTTAGCTCAGTAATCAGATTTCTCTGTGCATGTAAACTCTTACTCTGATTTCTTTCTCAGTCTGCGCATGTGCGAAACAAACAGCGGTACAAGAAATAAACAGTGTTGCCGCGAGACACAACAAAACACTTTTGGAGCGACGCTGAAACCAAATACATGCTTGACGAAATGAAGGATTTAAATGTTCTTCATCTTACAGATACATGGTTATATTCTCAGGTAAAGTGGGGCGACGTTTTAGAAAAAAAAAGCAGCAACATGAAGTTTGAGTTTTACATTAGGTTTACGTCACGTTGCAATGCAGAAATCTGATTACTGTCTGACTCATGTAGACCTGGAGTTTCACCATACATGCACATGCTCAAGTGCATGTAAACGTGTTGATCTAATTACTGACATCATCTGATTTTTTGCAGTTTTTGGATTATTAAGTGCATGTAAGCGCACTCATTGTTGTCCATGGAGGCAAAAATATGCAAATGAGCCCTCTAACCAATCACAATAATTTTTTTTTCCCCACTGTGTGCTTTGAGCAGTCTGCCCAATCACAGCTCCAGATGTGTTTCTGTGGGTTTTGGGCAAAATAACTAAGCTAAGCCTTTTAAAGTCAATCAAGTCAGATTACTGATTCATCAATGCGCTTTTAATATCCTGCAAGGTGTCTCTCGTATGTAGAAACAGAATCCTGGTACTAGTATCTGGCCCATATTGTGGAGTCCTAGTTTCTACATACAGGTGCGGGTTCACCTTACTGTGATGTTACCTTGGTAACAGACAACACTGTTCGCAAATTTCACATCATGCAATCAGAGTGGCTTTCGAGCCACAGCTGAAAGCTGCTCAGTCAGTGCCTTCTCTCTCTCTCTCTGACATTCATGTCATCCACCCTCCTCTCCTTTCATCTTTCTCTACCATATGGTTAAAGTGTGGAAGCCTACAGAGCCTACAGTGGAAAAGAGACTACTGTCTCCCTCCCAGCCCCCATCCTTCTGTGTCGTACCTGCTGACAGAGCTCTCTGGTGGGGCAGACGATCACTGCGATGGGTCCCTCTCCCTGTTCCAGCTCTTTCTGATCCATGATGTGCACCAGCATCGGCCAGATGAAGGCGGCAGTCTTTCCGCTGCCGGTTTTAGCGATGCCGATCATGTCCCTGCCACTGAGGGCAATAGGAACACCCTAAAGTAGAGAGAGAAAGCTAAGACACGGGCAGTCCAATAGTGTTAACCTATCTGCCTATCATAGCTTTGCGTCCTGGAGAACTGACTGGTGACAAAGAACAACAACATGCATGAATCATGTTCAGTGTTCAAGTGATGTTTACAAGTGATTCAATGATTCTCTCTCATACAGCTCTACAGATACACAACCGCAAACCCAATATATTCATTAGGAAAGCAGGACAACCAAGCATCAAAATCTAATCACAAATCTATCACAACAAAATAAACTGTGATTAAAATGACATTTATTTCCCTTAACTTTCCTGTGCCAGTCAGCACAGACACGTTTGTAAAGACTGAAAGCAGTCTGTACAAGAGATTTATAATCTTTGCTCATCGTAAGGATCAAGAGGAGATACAAAACCCAAGAACGTCTCCACTACAGCTTAGACATCACTTTAAAACAAGATTTCCTACTTCAAATGAAGAATACAACAAAACTACCGAAGCAAAACGGAAAGTCACTGTGAGCACATCTGATGCCATCTGTAGGCTCAGGATTCGAAATGATGAAAAAAATTCACCCATGAAAGAGTCTCTAAAAACTATAACGTAATTCACTGCCTCGAATGACCAGTCGTCCTCTGTTGTCGAGGACATAGGATTTCATGGCACAGTCAGTAGCCTACACACTGTAATGATTTTGGTATGTAAACTGTTTTTATTCAGCAATTATTTTATTTAATTTTTTACTGTATTTTAGACAGCTCACGTTGTTTTACTATAAGATTACAATAACAAACATTTTTATTACTTGGTAGTCTTTCATGTTTAGTAAATTTGTTCAAAAGTATAAATAAAACGTCCATTTTTCCAGATTTTCTTTTCAGTGCATCACTAATATTTTCAGTTATAACATATAAAACATCACAAAAAAGGTTTTGTACTATGGGATAAATAGGTATTATGATTACGTTATCAGACACAGCATTTTTACAATTTTATTTGTATTTTACCTATTTTGATTATTTGTACTTTATCTTTTACTTCTTTTTTTATCTCTCAAAATTTCCTTCTGGAAATAAAAAAAGTTCTGTTTTTCTATTTGCGGGTGTATTTTGTGTACAGTGGCTCACCTGGCACTGGATGGGTGTAGGCTGGGTGTACTCAGACTTACGAATCTGGTTCATAAGCTGCTCATCAAAGCCAAAGTGGGCAAAACTGGTGCAGGGTTTAGGAGGAGCAGCACCAGACACCTGTTCATCAAACACAGTCAGTGAGATTTCACACACAGCAGCAGGGAAAGAGTGACAGAAGAGACACAAAGCATGCAGCTGTGTGTGTGCAAGAGGAAAAAAATGGAAAGCCACTAACCCTCAGGTTGAGTTTCTGCCTCAGTTCCACCACTTGTGCTCCAGTCAGGCTGTTGAGCTCCTCGTGCTCAATGTAGAAGTTCTTTTCGAAAGGCGAGTAGTCAATCTAGAAGAGAATCACACAACAGTCAGATGGTCCTTTAAACCTCTTTCTGTGTTGCTTATGGCCAGTAACTCAAGAGAGCACAAGTATCAATTCACTAATATTGAGAGTTCAATTCGTACAAATAACTTGTTGAAGGGCAATTACACTGATTTTTAAAATTTTCAGTATAGTTCTATGGTTAAGAGTGCTCTATTCTAGAGAATCTTACTGAGTCAGAATTGTTCACAGTGGAGGCGATAGGAACCTGATGCCTGAGACACTGTTCTACAATAGTTTTGTGAGAAGGTTTTAGTCCAAAACAGATTTTTTAAAAGCAATTCACAGTGGAGAAGTACATGCAGGGTATTGTATGGTAAATTGGTACCCAAACAAAATCTGTTTTTCTAATTTTACCACTAACATTACGTATAAACATGTTATGTGTAGACAGGTGTGGGTTCACTGGTGGTTTTGGAAAGTAAATAAAATGGCTATATTTGCATTGCAGACATTGCAACCCCTGGTTCCTATCACCACCACTGTAAAGACATCTGAGTCTGTAAGTTTCTCTACAATGAACCATTTCACAACAAACCAAAAACAACAAAAAATTCTAAAAATCTAGTGGAGTTCCCTTTAACATCACATAAATTCCTGATATAGAAAAGACAGTGTTAAAATACACTAATAAAAAATAAAAAAAAACACTACTATATATTGATATAATATTTGTAAGCTTCTCATATTCTTTCATGACACTAAAATTAAACTACATAAATATAAAATTAGCACCAGCACTACAGAATTGTTTTACTTCTGCTGTGACCCTTTTAAAAAGAACCTAACTGCGCACGGTTACAGTAATTATTCAAATTTGGAACAGTGTGATTATCATTAGGTTTCATGCCTTGGTACATCATTCAAACCGGGTATGTGGCTGTCCCATTAAAGAGCTCGGAGTCACTCAAATACAGGCCCTTACGGTGGTGCACACTGCATAACAGTGTTTTACAGTGGAGACTAAGTACCTCAGTGTGGTCAATAGGAGGCAGAGGCATGATGATCTTTTTGGTGGTAGGAGCAATCGGGTTGCCATCACTATCGTAGTCCACGTTCTCCTCCTCTTCCTCCTGGGTCAGCCCTGCTGTCGGGTTCTCCGCCATGTAACGAAAATAAGCCTCCTGCACAAAACAAAGAAAACCATGTCAGAAACATCTGAATGCATACAGTATAGGCTGCCCAACACAACCCAGAGCTGCCCAACAGATGAACTGAACTACTCAGGTCTGAAAAATATCACAGAAGATTGTCCCACCCTGATGTTTTGCAAAGAAAGGCATATCATTTTGCTGGCATATTAATGGTATTACATAAAAATAGTATTATGCTGAAGAAAATGCCATGTTTGATCTAAAAAGATAGGTTCGCAAAGGTACAACATACAACAATACTTGTAGTAATAATAATTATAATAATAATGATGACATTAACGCATACGTGTGTGTGCATGTGTATGTTTCTGTCCCCAACCACAGAGAGGTCTCAATGGTTTAACCTGCAAAAACGCCCTGTGTAGTGTTACATGGAAAAAAGGACAAAATAAAAAAACGAAACAGTAGGAAAATGAATAGAAGATACAGATCGCCGCAAAGCGGTCGCTGAAGTAGAGGTATGGTGATAGTAACTTCAGGAGGGTCACTCACTTGCTCATCTTCCTCTTCAATGTCATCCCGAATGCCCCTGGAAGAAACAAGCGGAGAAAAAAAAAACTTCCCTGCGACTCGCTCAATCACCCGTGGAAACCCCCTTATTCCACCCAAGCCCCCTTACGTTTATCCCCTTCTACTTGCATTCCATCTCCCATCATCCACACATACCTCCTATTATATAAAGACAACAGCTAATAGATATTTGGCTCTCACTAGTGCTACTTAGCAAAGTTCACACTGGGAAGCGCTAAACTGTCACAGTGCCCTAAAGGAATCATTAGCGAATCTTACTTGACGAGCTTTTTCTCTTTTTCCTTGTCCTCCAGTTTCTTCATATCTTTGGCTGCTTGACTCTGTTGGCGGTTACAAAAAGGAAGAGAGATTAAGCACAAAATAGCGGCGACGTTTCCATTCAAAGGGTTTTTTTTTCATGAAAAACGTTTGTTGATCTGGGCTATGGAAATGCACAACTAAACACAACTTCTTGCCAATACGTTGTGAAAACCGACAATGAAACCTTTTTGTTCTGGAAAAATGACACATTTACACACAAACACAAACAGCCAAGAGCGTTTTTAAAAGGAATGCTGCCACTTTCCAACACTATAGAGAGACACTCAGGGAAGACCACAGCCTTCCTAAACAGAAAGAGCTCAAAGAAATGTGATCTCTCACTCTCACAACAGTTCAAATTACGGATACTAATAATAGCAATAATAATAATAAATAATAGTGACAACACATAAACATACAAAGAAATAAGTAAAACCTATCAGAAGGCTATGGAGAGGTCAGCAAAGTCAAGTTGTAATGGACATGAAATTAGAGATGAAAACGTCAAAAACATTTTTTTTTGTATAAATAAAATCTTTTGCAACAACAGTGCAGAAAAACACATTTTCATTTTATTGCTTGCAGCAGTGAGATATGGTGATTACAGTAGGTCAGGGGTCATCTGTTCTGGTCCACCATGGCACAGTTTGGTGATTTCTCTGCTCATATACGCCTGAACCAACTCAGCAGCTAATAATAGGTTTAATAAGCGCACCAGAGCAGGGAAATCACCCTGAGCTGGAATGAGGACCTCCGCGTCAGAAACAGAAGACCTCTAAAATAGGTGTCAGCAGGGGTCAGTGAGCGGTGTACCGTCTTACCTCCACCTCGGCCATAAATGCGTCGAGGGGGTCGTCTTCGCTGTCCGAGCCGCCGCCGCCTCCTCCTCCTCCTCCTCCAGACTGGAACTGCTGCCTGGTAGGAGAGTTCTCTGCTGGGATGTAGGGCAGGTCTGCGGAGCTCGATTCCTCCTCATCATCCTCAAAATACCTTGAAGAGAACCAGAAAAACACACCCATATCACTCCAAACAACTGGAGCTTTTTCTTTGTTTATACTCTAAACAACTTCCCTCAACAAAAACAGTTTGAAAAGAAGAGCACCAGTGCAGCAGGTTTCTCAGGAGTCTGAGCTGCTGGCTCACTAACCTGAAGTTTGCAACCGGCATGGCTAAAAGAGCATTCAATCAATTTTTCTGCAGAATTCAATCACTAAGATTTAAACATAGACATCCAGAAGGTTTAAAATGCAGCACTGTAAAGACTATAGTGGTGATGGGAACCAGGGGTTGCAATGTCTACAACACATCTACTATCCAAACTGTTTTACTATGTAATGCTGATGACTGTAATGCAAATCTGGAAAAAAAAAAGGTCTTATTTTGCTTTATAACGCTTGTATGTTTTTACCGTGTATAAATATAATTCAGGCCAAAACTGTATCAGAGAACCATCACCAAACAACGTCTCGGGCATCAGTCAACATATTCACGACCATTTCGAACAATAACTTTCTGTGAAGCATTAACTCTTCAGATGCCTGGTTCCTATCACCACTGCTGTGAACAATTCTGACTCATACACTCTTTGAAAGACACGTATTTTCACGCTGAACTGCTCACACAGCTTCATTAACATCGTAATCATTTAATTATGCAGAATTTTTTTTAATCTGTGGAGTTGCCCTTTAATCCAGAGTGGCCATGAGAAGCTCCCCCTCACACCATAAAACAAACACTCCTAAAAATATCCTCACAGTAAGGATGTTTGTACAGCAGAGGCACCACTCACGCATTTTCCTCGTCAAAATTCGCCCGTTTTGTTCCTATTTTGTAGAATCCTGGAAGCTGCTGGTTCTTGCCGTAACCCCCCGCTGACCCAGATGCCCCAAAGGCCGTGTGTGCTTTCTGGGTCAAACGAGGCTCCTCTTTTTTACCCCCAGACAGGGAGAACCCCCCAAATCCAAAGCCTCGCTTGCCTCCCGGACCACCCTTGCTCCAGTTCATGGCTAGAAGCAGTGATATGCAGACAGAGGAGGAACACCTGGGGGGAAGAGGGAGAAGGTTAGAACCACAACCCCTGAACGCTCCGGGAAAAAGTCAGTCTGTTTAGCTGATGTCTGGTTCCTACAGAACAGAGCCTCCGCTCCAGTCCTGCCGGACCCTCTGCTCTGTTTCATGTCTTTCCTGCTCCTGAATCTCAACATTCAGTAACGACCAAATGCTTATTGATCTGAATCTGGACGAGACCACGATTGGCTTCTCATCTGAACTTTGCCGTTCCACCTTAAACGCTGCAGCAGTGACATTCTGGCGCCTCTGAATTCTATCAGCGCTGCACCATTTAAGGTGGAACGGGAAAGTTCGAACAAGAAGCTGGCGAATGAGAGACCACCGTTATGTACTATTTAAGGTGGAACGGGAAAATTCGAACAAGAAGCTGGCGAATAAGAAGCCAATGTTATGTAGCATATAAGGTGGAACGGGAAAATTCGAACAAGAAGCTGGCGAATAAAATGCCACCATGCTGCACTATTTAAGGTAGAACGGGAAATTCTCTGAATCTGTGGATATCAACCCCCAACCAGCTGCTTGGCTAAGTTAGCTGACTCTTTCGAGTCACGCATGGTCACCATAATTATCTGCTTTAATTACAGCTACGAGTCGTTTTCTGACTCTGCTCGTCAATTTTATCTCGTTACCTCGCTTAACTGGCTTGCGCGCTAGCTGCATTAGCATGCTCGCTTGCTAAGTGGCTAACGCAGCGGGGCAGAGCAGCCAGGGCCAAACAGAGAACCGGGGCGCGCCGATCAAAACCCCTACAGAACGCACTGCGAACAAGAAACGATTCAGCCGCGTTTTTCTCCTTATATCGGCGAAACACGCCGCGCTAATTAAAGCTACCTGAAGTGTAAACGGAGCGCAGCAGCTTCACCGCCCCTCGTCGTCCACTCCGCTCTGTTGTGCTCCTACGTCATCTGAAAGCGACACTGGCCGCCGTCCAATTCGCACACTTGTGTACCTGCCTTGGTCTAGAGCCCCTACTTAGTAGGTAGTTCTAGCGCTCTAGCTGCGTAGTTCTTGTATATAAGAGTACCTAGTTAGGAGGTAGTTATGTTCTAGCGCACCTAGATAGTGCATACTTGTTCTGTTCCTGAATGTGTAGTTCGAAGGTATTACGAACGTTACAGGTGTGTTAAAGCAGGAAAGGGAGCAGGGTTGAGAAACACTGTTCTAGAGCACCTAACTAGTGTGTGTTTACTGTGTTCATGATTGTGTGGGTCAAAGGTATACTTACCTAGACGCCGCGTTGGGTCCAGTCAGGCACGTCAACGGCGCCGCCATTTTAGGGCGGTCAACATCGCTGCTGGACTGCGTTCAGTACCGCAGCGACCCACGCTCATGTTTGTGTGATGTTTATAGATACGGTCGTATGGTTAATGAGGCACAGAGAACCTGTTGATGTGATTGTTTTTCCTCTGGTTTTATATTGAGCTTATTTCGTTTAATAGTCTATTCAGAGGATCTTTACTTTATGTAGTAGTTATTTATTTACAATGATGTTTAATGATTTGAGCTCGGTAAATTCTAGCATTCCTTAATCCGTGTAGATATCCATAATAGATTATCGTTAGCACCTTCTTACATGGAGCTGAAGTTAGCTTCTTATTTGCCAGCTTCTTGTTCGAATTTCCACGTTAAATGGTGCAGCTTCAGGTACCAGTTAAGTGACTGCTGCACCATTTAAGGTGGAACGGGAAAAGTCGAACAAGAAGCTGGCGAATAGGAAGCCAACTTTAGCTTCGTCCTTGTTAATGGGTTTGGGTATTTTATTTTTATGTGTATTAAGATTAGAAGTGATTCACACATTGATGGATTTGCTGATGTGTGTCTGATTGTGTGGCCTGGGTTCGATTCCCGGCCGGGCGACCGGGGTCATTTCTGTGTTGAGTTTGCCTGTTCTTCCCATGTCTGCGTGGGTTTCCTCCGGGTACTCTGGTTTCCTCCCACGGTCCAAAAACATGCAGTCAGGCCAATTGGACTTGCTGAACTGCCCCTAGGTGTGAGTGTGTGTGTGATTGTGTATGTCTGTCTGTCTGCCCTGTGATGGACTGGCGACCTGTCCAGGGTGTATCCTGCCTTCCGCCCAATGACAGCTGGGATAGGCTCCAGCACCCCACCGCGACCCAGAAGGATAAGCGGTTTAGATGATGTATGTATGTATGTCTGTCTGATTGTGTTTCTCTCGCTAAACTCGGTTTTTAACGTCAGGTGCAGACTGAATACTTTCCTGCTGGTCCAGACGGCTAATTAGCACGATCAGTTATTAAAGAAATAAAAGCTACCGAGAGCAGAGCAGCCTAGATTAATCTGTGTCTGAGGATTATAACAAAACAGACTTGCTGAAAATCGGTTGAGTAATAAGGAAGCTGTGGCTGATTTAATCCTTAGACTCATCGTCTCTCAATACAAGTGAATTTGTTCACAAGCGGATCTTGACCTCTCCAACATGGCGGACGCGCAGACGTATCACCTCATAGAGAACAGCAGACAACGCGGCATCTTAGATATGTATATCTGTGGTAGTAGGTAGTTGCATTCTAGCACGCTCATACAATGTGTATTTGTGTTCTAGAACACTTCTTGGATGCCAAATACCAATAAGTTTCAAAACTATAATACACTTCTTTGTGTTTTGTGTCCTCGTTGAGAAGGTGCCAGTGCTCCCTCTTTACTTTCCTGACTAGAGTACACTAGATAGCGCTCTAGTATACGGAGAGCAAGTGCGACAATTGGAACACAGCCCTGCTCCGGTCAGGGTTAAACGTTAAACGTGTGGAAGTCTCGCGAAACTTCAGGCGGTTTTACGCTCGTCTGTATTTCTCTGAAGCACGGGGCCAATAAACAGGCGGAATCGGAAGCTTTCCCCGCCCCCCGGGGTGAATTCATCCAATCAGATCGAGGGAACCAGCGGGCGTTTCCCGTTTTCGACCAATTGCTGAGCAGCTTCTGGCGTTTCTCGGCGTAGTTGGATGTTTCCCACCCTGCTGCGGGGCGCGCTGGCAACGGGAATCGGTCTGAAAATCAAAACATACGATGATGAAACGTCAGCAGGTCTTACAGGGAGGTGAAGAGACGAAGTAAGACTCCTCCGCCGCGAAGGTGCGTAGTTAGGTCCACGCGTTTGATACCCGAGACTGTGTCTCCACGGAGAGAAAGGCGCCAAGTTAGCCAGCCTGCTGAGCTAAGCTAGGTGATAGTAAACGAGGCTGAAGTTGGCTTCCTATTCTCCGGCTTCTTGTTCGGATTTATCCGTTCTGCCTTAAATCGTGCAGCGCCTGCAGATTTCTGAGGCGCCAGAAGGTAGCTGCTGCACCATTTAAGGTGGAACGGGGAAATCCGAAATAAGAAGCCTCAGTTGTGTCATGTATGCTGTCTATTCTCCGGCTTCTTGTTCGGATTTCCCCGTTCTGCCTTAAATCGTGCAGCGCCTGCAGATTTCTGAGGCGCCAGAAGGTAGCTGCTGCACCATTTAAGGTGGAACGGGGAAATCCGAAATAAGAAGCCTCAGTTGTGTCATGTATGCTGTCTGATTGTACGTGTACACTGATATACTTAGCGCAGACACAAATAAATGACATTTATCAAGAGATTTCATTCACAGTGATTGGCTTTTATACTGTACATGCTGCGGTAATGTTACCTGTACAGTCACGCTGCTGACGCCTATTAAACACGGCTACACCCTTAGAAAGGATGGTTCTATAAAGGTACTGTAGTAAAGGCAATGTTTCTGTTTAGAGCCATGAGTTTTTATATAGAACCAGTTGTATTCTTGGTTATTTGCATGGTGAAATGGTTCTTCAGATTGATTGATTGATTGATTGATTGAGAATGGGTTCTATATAGTACCACAAAGGGTTCTTCTTTTGTTTTGATGACAAGCTTGTAACAATAGCAGAACTGCTTTTGGTGCTATAGAACCATTTTCAGAAAGGTTCTTTGTAGACCCCATTCTCCATCAATCTGAAGAACCATTTAAGCACGGAAAGTGTTCTACATAGATGTTATGGTTCTAAATAGAACCACAGCCTTTACTAAAGGTCTTTTTGAAGGGTGTATAAGGTTCCACCCATATTAAAAACGTCTATAGTAGCACTACAGGGATTTTTGCTGTGTTATAGTTCATTTTGATCAATGTCTTTAGTTTACTACGGGATGCATGTTCTAGATTACTGTAAGACAGCACTGCAGGATTGTTATATGGAGGCAACAATATTATATATTAATGTAGATAATATAGTGTACAGCACTATAGAAATAATATATTTTCATGCTGTTTTACTGTCACTTTTGGGCTTTTTTGGGGAGAGAAAGATACAAAAAAGAGCAGCAGGTGCTGAGAAGGCAGAATAAAATGCACTTTGGGAGTTTCTATTATTTCGTCTTACGCTGTTTCTGCTTTTTCTCTTACCTTACAGACGTTTATGTGGAGTGGTTTGATGGTGTAATTGCCTGTCATCTTCCTCAGGATCCATGTCTTTTTTGGTGAGTCAGACTGATGTCTCTGTTCTGAGCAGCTGTCTGTGTTGGTGATGATGACAGGACTGTTTTATGCAGCATTAAGGTTCTTTACCTGATTAATCAAAGTAATCACATTTACAGTCTCAGGGTGGACAGTATGACACTGTTATCATGCTTTACGTTCTGCTTATGGCATAGGTATCACCTACACTTCCACACTCGTAAAAAGATGTTTCTTTATGGGTTCTTTAGTAAAGAAAATGGTTCTATAAAGAGTCATGAACTCTTAAAGAACCCTTTGCATGAATAAAAGCTTCTTCAGATTAATGTGCTATAGAAGGTACTGTATACAACATTTTTGAAAAGGGTTCTATATAGCACCATATAGCACCATATAAAGCAAAACTCAACATTTTTGCCTAAAAATGTCATTTTTTGGGAAATCTGCTGTGTCTGATGTGTATCAGTGAACATGACATATCAGCAGAATATATGGTGTGAGTGGACAATTGAAAGGTCAGGTGTTTCTAGAGGCGAAGGGCAAAAAGATTGATGAAGCTGCCTTTGTGCACTGTTATAGTGGGGCTTGTATGAATGCTGTTAACTGTCTGAAAACATTTTATGTTTCTTTTTAAGTCAGTCTTTTTTTTTCGCTGATTTTTTATGACAAAGTGTCGTCACAGGCCCACTATGGACCACTGGCCCCCCCTCAGTTTAGCTCCAAGGACCCCCAAGGGAGTGCTTTACAGCCCACTTGTGGTCCTTGGCCCAGTGGTTGAGAAACCCTGATCTAAATAACTACAGTGATGTTACTTTTCAGCAGTATTTTGTCCCATATCATTTGACAGGTAATACGCACTTCAAAGCCTTTTGTCAAATGGTTTGTTTTTTTAGGTTTTCTTATTCTGTTTGGGGCACTTCACACATTTACTCAGTGCTTCATAACAATTTGAAATCCAATAAAATTTAATAAATAGTAATTTAGCATTAGTGGTATTAATGCTGTCCTAAGTATAAGTCTCTCTCTCTCTCTCTCTGCAGCGCTGGGTGTCGGAGAAGCTGAGTGTGGAGAGTCTGAGGGATCTGGAGTTATTTGGAGGTGAGTACAGTGGCCCTCTGTGCTGTGCTGTCGCTGTGCTTCTCTGACCACACCCCAGTCCAGCCTTTAGCCCGTCGTTCTGCAGCCGTGCTGAATGTGAAGGGGAGTCCTTCTAACGCTGTAGTCTCCATAAACACCACGCAGACAAATCTACTCCACAGATGTCAACGTTTGAGTGGCGCTACGTCACGATGCTGAAACTCATATTTCTACGAACTCTGTATGTAATCACTGAGTTCAGTGAAACGTTCAGTCCTTTCTAACCTCATCAGTTAGAGCTACTCACTGGACACAAATCCCCATCATAGTCAACTCAACATTAGGGCCTGACCGATACAGCAAATTCGGATTTTAAGGAGCTGATGGTTCCGATAGCCAAGCATAGTGTTAGTTAAAGAGTGCTTTACTGACTTCTTATTTCCTAAACTCAGATAAACAGCAGAAACCCAAAGTAATAATATAAACATTAGCAGAATAACATCTCCCAGAATTCTTAGCAGTTGTATTGCTTTCCGTTAATTAGTTCTTGTTTTGCAGTTGTATGTAAAAGTTTGCCTCTAGTCAAATGACATTTTTGTTTTGTTGATTTTCTCAGTGAAAATAAATTTACGTGTTCTTTACAGAGAACACACTTGGCACATGAATGCCCAATGCCTTATTTTTACCCCTACCTCTCGTTTTCATGTGTCACCTTTCCCCTTGGAACTGAGTTAGTGGTTGAAATGGGACCCTCAAATAAAGAAGAGCATCACTTCATTAACAGCTACCAGCGCTGCTCTGTAGGCGACCCTGCCAGTCTGCAGTGACAGCAGAGGAGGGTAAAGTTCAGCTCCTCACTGCTGGGCTTTAGTTACATTTAGGGCATCGTATGCCTTCAAAGAGAGAGGGGACAAATATTTATCATCGCCCACCCCCAATTCTTCAGTGATGTGAAGCTGAAGTCAGCTTTTTACCAGCTTCTTGTTCGAATTTTCCTGTTCCACCTTAAATGATGCAGCAGTTCTGATGCCTGAGGTGCCAGAATGTAACTGCTGCTTCGTTTAAGGTGGAACGGGGAAAATAAGCTACCTAGCGACCTCCGTTTGGAGGGATCATATAGCTCTAACACTTCGCCCTACTCCTCTATCTCAACAAAAATCGGGACACCCTACCCCTGGGTGTGAACACCCAAAACAGAGGGCTAAGCGGTAGGGGCGAGGGGTGAAACGGGATTGGGCCTTACTGTTGATTCAGTGAGATTAACATATTGGAAAAAAAAATAACATAAAATGTGACCTGTGCAAAAGTAATGGCACATTTAATGTTTAATTTTTTTTTCCAACACGTTAAACTCAGAAAATAAATAGAAATTGTGACCAAAATTTGCAGAAAAAAGGCTTGTTTAAGTTGGATGTGTTAACCTACTTTCACTTCCCAAAACCTTCACAAAAATGTAATTTGACCTCGGTGTTCAAACGTTTGCTTACAGCCATATAAGAAAATCAGACCATTAAAATCCTCAGCTCACAAATGAGCGATTTCCACATGTTTGAGATGAATGTTGAGTATAATATAAACAAGCCAATTCAATGCAATGTGAGGTTTGAGATTTGCATAGATAGCTGTAACTCACTGGAACCTTAATATCAATTGATCATATTGGACATATTGGTCGAGCCCTAATCAGCATCCCCCCATAGCCGACGGCAGCTTTTACTTTTGCAAAGCTTCAGTAATGAAGTTTTCTCATGATATTCGCTTCTGTTCACGACTGACCGGCACCATTGCAAAAACAAGCCGCTGAAACAAGTGAGAACCGGCATCAGTGTGCGGTGTGGATGTGTGGATGTGTGAGTGTATGTGATTGTTTCTGTGCTCAGCTGCTTCGTCGGGTGAACAGTTCGAGTTGTGCATCTTTGTGGTAACTTGTGTTGGTCACAGTGAGCTGTGTTACTGTGAACTAGACTGTTATTTATAACTGACTCACAGGCTTTAATGATGACTTAAAGGAGGTCTTTTGTATGTTTGATGCTAATCTTGAAATATAGGGCCGGCTCAGATGAAAAAAATGGATAAAACAGTCATATGCAAAAGTTTAACCTCCCCCAGTCAAACTGCAAGTTGTAATAATCTCAGGAAATCTTCTGCAGGGAACTTAAATATGGCACTTTTCTGCAAATTTTAGAGCACAGTTTCTATTTATTTGTTAGTAATAGTTTAAGATTTTGGGATAATAAAATGCAGTACACACCATAAGGTTTGGCCACATTTTACGAATATGTAAAATTAAGCAAATAAATGAAGCAACTAAACAGTAATCGTGCACTAAAATGTGCAGAAGTGTGTTCTCTGTAGGGGACATGTTCACTTATTTACACTGAGAAAATCAGTAAAACATGTCGTTTGACCAGGGACGCCCAAATCCTTTGCATATGACTGTATATTTAAGTTACCCTTTATTAATCCCACAATGGAGAAATACCCCTCTGCATTTAACCCGTCTGTGCAGTGAAACACCACATACACGCTAGTGAATGCACACACACTAGGGGGCAGTGAGCACAGTTGCCCAGAGTGGCGGGCAGCCCTATCCAGCAGTTGGGGGTTAGGTGCCTTGCTCAAGGGCATTTCAGTCACGTCCTGTGAGCTCAGGGGATCAAACTGGAGACCTTCCAGTCACAGTATATTATTCTGCCCCTGTTTATATATATTTATATATATTTAGAAGTAGCTTGTAAGCAGTTTATGATTGTTGAAAGAAATATGTAGGGGATAATCAGACTTTTGACATTTTACTTTATTTCTTTATTTGGTAATTTAAAAAAAAATGCTTTTTTAATAGATCAAATATGAAGCTAGTTTCCTGAGATTCTAGCATTAAATTGACATTAAATCAGAAATGAAGAAATGCTCTAATTTTTGCCTGTTTGCTTTGTAGGACTCTCATTTCGCTGTTGCTTTCATTGTTCCCTGATTGTTGCATGTTGCTTTGTGTCTGTTCTGCTCTTAAGGCTGAAATTTCTGTTTGCTCTTGGCTGCTGACTGTTCCTGTGAAGGATTGCTTAAAACGTGTTTAATTCTTACATCATGTCAAAAAAACCCACAAAACTCAGGGTGTCGGTGTGACAGGAAATGCACCATTGACCAACCTATGCTCCGTCCACAAAAGTGCTCCTTTGTAGCAACGCTTGCCGTGTTGTTCACCAAAACCTTCACAGATCTGATTCAACCTAACACGAATTACACACTACAAGTTGTGTGGTTTAGATTTCAAATAAAGTTTATGTTGTATGTGTGTGAAATGTCACACAAGCTAGGCTTCCATCCACCTTCTGCACAGATTGGGAGCAAAAAATTCCAAGTTTCCATTTCCATAGTCTACATCAGGTCAGTCTGGATGGATGGATGGCCGGATGAATGGCCGGATGAATGGCTGGATGAATGGATGGATGGATGGCTGGATGGATGGCTGGATGATGGCTGGATGGCTGGATGGCTGGATGGCTGGATGAATGGATGGATGGATGGATGGATGGATCCTGGCAGTTTGACTTTTTGCATACATACAAAAAAATGCAGTTTGAATTGAATAACACTCTAAATTCCCATTGTTGAACAGCAACATAGGTCTGTGCTGCAGTTTCTCTTGAGGTTAAATGGGATTTTTGCCAACATTCTGCAAAAATTGTCCAACTTAGCAACAGTTGCTATGAAAGGGCACCTTTAAGGCTGTAGCATGGCTAAGTCAGCTCAGGTAAGATGATGAGAAATTCTAGATTTGTGTTTTTCTATTGTTCCATAACTGATTTTCTGACATGGGCAGGTAATGCAAAGGCAAATATGTATATGTTCCTGTGCTGACCATGTCAAACAATCTATATTATGCCTCTCTTGTCTTTCAATTGTTACGTTCAACCATCTGTTGGAAGAAAACTCCAACATTTAGCTGTAAGTCATGAGTTCCATTTAAAGGGCCCATATCCTACAGCCTTATTTTGGTCTCTGTGCCTTTAAGGCTGATATATGTAACCGAGCCTCGTTCAAAAACCAGTCTGGGCTGAAACACTCCTTATAACTTCAACATGAACAGGCAAGCATAAACTGCCGTAGGCTGAATAGGAGGATATATGTAATTGAGTTGGTTTTTGTGACATCACAAAGACAGTAATTTCAAAACAGCCTGTTTCTGCGGCTTAGTTTCCGTATAAGAGTCGAGGAGTGAACAGTATGTTTTGAAATTGTTTACATCAAACTCTTTTTTTTTTTTTTAAGAAAAAAGTAAGGAGAATTTGATTTCCAGTTATAAGGGCCCTTTAACACTTAGTTCTATGAAGCCACATATAACAAAAAAATGACTATGCAATCACTATTTTTGGACTTATTGCTCTCTAAAACATGAAAAATGCTCTTTTACTTGCCAGAACGAAGCTCCAGTGAGGCATAATGTAACTTCATATTTCCAGAACCTCATTAAACACGAGTTATTTGTGTATCTGTGTGTTTTTTTGCGTCATTTACATGATTTCTCTACCCAGAGCAAGCTCAGGCAAGCCCGCTCAGGAAAGTAAGTGTGGTATCTCAGTTTTTGCTGTTGTAGCCTGTGTGTGTGTACGAGTTTGATACTTGGACGTATGAGCATGCGGGATGTGCGTGTTTGTGTGAACGTGATTGTGAATATGGGCTTTCAGTGGAAGTGTTGTTGTGTGAGTGAATGAATGTCTGCTTCTCTGCATGTACACATCGAGCGGCTGGTTGGCTCCATGCGATTACACTCATCCCTCACCTAGCTGCTCTCGCACAAGCCGGACGTCCAGGGTTTATGAGTCTGGAGGCCTCATACGGGGAACACAGTGGAACAGAAGAGTCTTGTACCTTGCAAAAGTACTTTGCTTCTGTAGGGAGAAAACTAGTCTGTACTCAAATAGGATAGGCAGCTCGCTTTTAGAAACCGAGGAACTGACACCTTGTAGGACGCAGACTAGTGTTATGTTGTTTCTATAACTGATCAGGATAGGAGCTGTATCTGGTAGTGTATTTTTAGATTTTATAGTCTAAAGTAATTGATTAAAGGAATAGTTTGAGGGAAGTTTGCACAATTTTCCCTGTAAAGCTGAAAGGTTTTTAGTTAAAAATAAATGAAGTAACATTGTAGAGTCAGAAAAAATGAATTAAAAAATATGTTGAGCCTGAAATAATCATTTAAAAGTCAGAGGCATCGGGTCGGGAGCTTTTCAGACCAAGTCGTACGTCTTTACATATTGACGTCTCACACACAGACTCAAAAAGAAAGCCCTGGCTCGGTGTTTAGGACTGAAACACAGAATCAGTGTTATACTTATGAAGATGTGATCACAGTAGTGGATAATTCACTCACGTCCTCAGGAGACACGTCCTTCGCTGAGTTTTGACCGAGTTCTCATTGAATACTCTTTCAGCGAGCTCGCAATCATCAAATTCATGCGCTCGGAAAAGGGATCCCACATTACAAAATGTTCCTCTGCACTTTGCCTGCAGTTACACATTTCCACCACAGAGGTCTCCAAAGCCCCAAATCTCACATAGTGTAGCTTTAATTAAATGTAGTCAGTAAGTTAAGACATGTTTGGTATCTGAAGTTTGCTTTGAACTGAGCTAACAAGTAATGAAAGCCTATCTTACCAGGTAGCATAATGCAAATTGCATGTATTAAATCAAGGCCTTGCTTCAAACTACAGTGAAACAAAAGAATGCTGTGCAACTAAAACAGTAGTGGCTGCAGGCAAAATGACGCTAGCCTTAATTTTGTCTGTACCTTTGTCCTTTTTTTTTTTTCAGAAACCACATAAGCAATTTCTTAACAGCTTCTCGTGGTTTGAGGCAAGTGTGTTGGTTTAGGTGCGCAGTTTGCACCGTGCTAATTGGTGCAGGTGAGCTTAGTCTCGCTGGGGCCAGACCTGATCTCATAACGAGAATACATGTCTGGGGACAACTTATTAAGCTGGAGCTTAATATGGAGCTGGACTGTGGAAACTTGACTATTAACAAAGAGTACGTGCCCGTCTAGAACCCACCGCCAGATCCCTCCAATCTGTGCTCTTTTAACATCAGTAAAACAAGCAAAACAAGCTAGCTAGCAAAACGATATCAGAACTGTTTTTCCTACAACAGAGTGCTTACTTTTACAATGCACTCTTAAAAAAGATGGTTCTTTAGTAAAGAAAGTGTCGCTATATAGAACCATGAACACTCAAAGAACTCTGTGTGTGATTAAAGGGTTCTTTGCATCATGAAAGCGTTCTTCAGATAGATGGATAATGTGCTGTAGATGGCTCTATATAGAACCTTTTTGAAAAAGGGGTTCTTCAGTTGTAACAAGCTTAATATCATAATAGAAGAACCCTTTTGGTGCTATGTAGAAACATGTTTCCAGACATGTTCTCCATCAATCTGAAGAACGCTTTTAACCATACAAGGGGTTCTTTGAGTGTTAGTGGTTCTACACGGGGGGGCTGGTGAGGTTTCCAGCCGTGCTAACTAGTGTTGCATCCATGGGCAAACAACAGGCTTGTTGTCTGGAAAGTTTGAGTAGCGCATCATCGTCCTTATTTCATAAGCCCCTCCTTCACAAGGCAGCAGGTATGGTTTTTAGAAATTTCGCATTAAGTTTGTTCTCAGAGTTTCTCATGGTTGTCCCCAGACGTTCTCCTTATGTCTCATTACGTCTGGCTCTATGAGACTAAAGCCAGGCATACACTGTGCAGTTTTAGAAATCTTGTTCTTTGGTGACTCACACTGTACGTTAGAATCGGCCCTCGTCTGCGACAAAAGCTTGCGATTTAAGTGCTCACACTGTACGAAAACACTCCGACTGACATGACGCGACATGGGTGCTCACCCTGCACGTCAAACGCAGCCCCTACAGGCGCTCTGTCTACAATAAAGCTGCTTCATTCAAAACAACACGCTGCCCCTCTGATGTCCTGATCAAGACACTGGCTGAGTCTCAAATTGCTCCCTGCTCCCTACATAGTGCACCACGTATTAAAATAGTCGCTCCTGCGCCCATGAAGTGCATCACATGTCTAATAAATAGCCTTCTGAGGTTCAGCCCTGTGTGCACAGTTCCATACTGGACAAACAGGGCACTATTTTGGTGTAGAAGCCAGAGCTTAGTGCACTACATAGGAACTAGGGGGCCGTTTGAGATTCAGCCATTGACAAAACTGCTACAGCAGTTTTGCTAACTTGTGCCACACTGTGCACTGAAGCTGAAGAGCAGGCAGTCTACAGGCAGCTCTATGAAGAAGATCACTGTATTTATTTATACCTCTCAATTCAGCTCAGTCAAACGGAGCAAAGTCATCTTATACGGTCTCTGGTGCTGTAAATGTGGATATGTTTTGCCTCCATGTAGGAGAGGTGGCTGTGATTGTGTGTGGTTTTGGGTGCGACTTTGAGAAATCGGTTTGTGAGGCTGCTCACACTGTGAGACAAGCGACCAGAATTTCTGACCTTTCAGAAATCCATCCCGTCGTCCAACTGCTCAGTCTGAGCTCGTTTGGGCAGTTAATCGGGCATCGTTTCCCCCCTCACACTGCACGGCAAACGACGGCCGATGAAGCTGAAATTCGGCCCGATCATGAAATTCAGTCGGCTCTGACCAAATCAGACTAAAATCGGGCTGAAATCGCGCAGTGTACGTCTGGCTTTATGTGAGATTTAGAGATGACGTAATCCTGATATTGGGCAGTGCAAATATATATATTTATGTCAAGACATTTTATTCTGTGTATTTTTTTGGACAGTGACTGATTGGCTACAGCTTCTTGTAAAGGGGAAAATTGTGTAAATCTAAACCTGTTCCTTTAATTTGACTGATTGAATTACGCAGGTGGACAGAGAGGAGAGTTCAGAGTGTAGTGAACATCGTCCTTTTGGTAATAAATGTTGAAAATGTATTGCTGTATCTTCACCTCAGTGATTGTTTGTGCTTCTGTTGTGCCGCAGTCTGTCTAATAATGACTGGGTCAGTGTTGGGGAGAGTTGTTGGGCTATCGCGGTGCTGGCTGTGAGCGTGTTTGTGATTTTATCTGTTGGGGACACTTGGTGGTCTTTCTTGTTCTGTTTTTTTTTGTTTGTTTGTTTGTTTTATTTGTTTTTTTTGGTGGTCATTGGTGGCTTAAGCATGTGAAGTGGGATGGAGATCCATGCGTTCAAAGAGAAACACATGGCAGTTTACCATCCTTTAGCCTGGCCTTGCTGTGCTGGAAGCTTCAGTAACCCTGTGAGTTTTTAAAAAAGTGACTTGACTGGATTTAAATTTTTTTACCCTCAATCTTCTGCAAGTCAAACCGTTTGTACATGAGTTCTGTTGATTATGTGCTTTGTTTTTATTATCAGCAGGGTAAATCGCTGAGCTTTTGATTTGATTCTGTTATGATGCAGTTTTAAGAAATGATTCAGTGCATCGTAAAATTTCAGCCCAATTCGATTATTGTGGGATGACAGAACAGAATATACAAGTGTGACTGCAGGAAGCATTAATGCAGTCGTGGAGTATGGACAATAAAATATAGTGCAGTACGGCAAAAATGTAAGATCACAATGCTTGAGTTTTCAGGATTTTTCTGTGATCTGATACGGTGGAAAAAACCATGTAGTGCCAAAAACTATGCATTCAATGATTTGTATTCAACATTTCACATACTGTGCTGCACTAAACCCAATTAAACAGGACTAATTATGTCCTCTGTGTAATCAAACATGCAGTTTGGAAGTATTTTTTAAGTATTGATCATGTCCACCGTTCAAAAAAACATGTTGGAATAACATATTATGAGATCTGATGTAATTTATCACGCTAATGATAAATATTGTCAATTTGCCCAACATTTGAGAAATAGTTTCTGAATGCATCAATGCATTTTTCTGTCTCTACAGTTTATGAAACGTATTGTTTGGACAGGATTAGTTTTATATGTGGAGGTGATGCAGTTATTACCAATGTATCTCTATGTAGTGATTTTAGTCCTGTCCAGATGTTCTCTTATCAGTCATTTTTATGGACTGTGTCCTTTCGAATAAGTAAAGATACCAGCGAATACTTAATATAAAGCAAACAGTAGAAATAAACCATGGTAATATTAATCCTCTGTTTCTTACTGCAATAAAGAGCAGTAGATTTAAAAAAGACACTATATGGCCAAAAGTACGTGTCCTCCTAATTATTGATTTCAGGTGTTTCAGCCACACCCCTTGCCAACAGATATATAAAATCAGTCAGTTTGTGAAATTTCTGCCCTGCTAGTTCTGCCCTGCTTGTTCTGCCCCAGGCAACTGTAAGTGTTATTATTGTAAAATCGAAGCTACAGGAGCACCAACAGTTCAGCAGTGAAGTGGTAGGGCATGCTAACTCGCAGAACAGGGCTGCTGAGTGCTAAAGCACATAGCTTGTAAAAATCTGGTGCATCACTCACTACAGAGCTCCAGACGCTTTCTGGAACCAACATCAGCACAAAAACTGTGCATCAGGAGCTTCAGGAAATGGGTTTCAGTGTCTGAGCAGCTGCACACAAGCCTAAGATCACTATGCGTTATTGAGACAAGAAATTTTGATCAATAATGTTTTTAATCAAGGTATCGTGATAGCCCTGGTATTGTCCAAACTCAGGTGTTTGATTATTCGCTGATTTATTCATATTTCCTAGGATAAATCTAGGCTTAGTCTGTGGAAAATTTGATGAAACTCTGTATATGATTATATAGTTTAACTGTCTGATTTTGATGTAAAGTGGCAACATAGCACTCTTTATGTGTGTATATCCTTATGGTCACAAGACCCAGTGTCACTGCGATGCACCTGGAAGGGATTTGCATTTTAAATGTCTGCTGCCCAGTGACTGGTTGCATAGTGACACTGCACCATGTCGGTGACACCCATCCTTCATGCTAGATCACATTCAAGAACCGATTCAACCACCTGTTTTAATTACTGGAAGTTATGCTATCAATTAGATTGTCTGGCACACTTAATGAATGCTTTATACACTCACGAACCCCATCCAGAGCACATCTCCCTGAAGCAGTCTGACCAGGATATGTAGCCCTTCTTCAGTACTCTTAAGCCCCTGTGAAGTATCTGAATCAGGCTGGGTTTAAGATTTAAGCTGTTTCAGACCATCAGCAGGGCTAAAGAGCAGGAATCTGTTTTAAGAGTACTGAGAGGGGCTACAGAGTGTATTTGCGTTTAGCTAACGTCCCTGTCCTCTGTTCCAGGCCCATGAAGACAGTAGCGAGTCTCTGAGCCCCCTCCCACCGCGGGACACCATGGGAACCTTCCTTCCAGACAGCAGTGCCTACGAGCTCCTCACCGTCATAGGTCAGTTCTGGAGGCAATGGGGACTTTGAGCATTGACGGCTGTACGGACGGCTACGGCGACCGGAAATAAATCGGCATCAACACCGTAACCGTGGAAACCAGAGTCACTAAGCAACAACTCTAACATAAGAGTCTCTCTGTTTGCTCATCTGATGGTGTATCTTTAGGAAAATGGAATATAGTGAAATAAATAAGAAAATGAAATTGCCATTCAACACAAAAGGAAAGGCTGGTGTTTTTGCCATCTTAGAAGAACAGACCATGACAGTGAGTCTCATTTGCGCATGGGCAGAACAGCACAGCTGTGTTCTCTGTAGAGGATGTGTTCATTTATTTTTACTTAGAAAATCAAGAAAGTGTAGTGCATACGATGGTATGGTCAGTCAGCGCTGCAGGAAACAACTTAAATTCACAAAGAGGCCAAATTATGAAATGCAGCGTCTTTGATTTTAATACATACATCATCATCTGTTGAGATATATTGATTTTGAAAAAGAAATATTTCCCTGTGTTTTTGTGGGAATTAAAATAGATCTATATAGTTTTTTTTTTTGTATTTTTCCCCAGTTTTCTCCCCAATTTAGTTGTCTCCAATTCCACCCGCGAGTTAGGACTCCCCCAATCACACAATACCACCAGTGCAAGGAGGCCTAAGGCTAGCACAGGCTTCCTCCGAGACCAGAGATGCGCCACCACATGTTTTCAAACATTAGACAGGTGAACGTGTTCGGAGGAAAGAGTTAACTGCCAGATCTGTTATGTCAGCTAACAGGCACCTGTGCTGACTAGCATTGCGCTGAGTGATTGGTGTGAGGGGCCACGGATGGCCGAACTCGCGATCTCCTGATAATAGGGCCAACGATTAGACGGTTGCGCCACTCGGGAGCCCAGTGTTAGAACTCATATTGTGACATGCTAACCAGCGGCCCGTTCTGACAGTGACAGGCTGTACAGCTGTATTATTTACTTTGTGTGTTTGTGTGAAGGTCGTGGTCTGGAGGACCTGATGACGGTGAACTTGGCCAGGTACAGACCCACCGGAGAGCATGTTGCTATCAGACGGATTGATCTGGAGTCCTGCACCAACGACATGGTCAACTACCTGCAGGTCAGTAAAAGTAAACTTTCTCTTTGTTTCCTCTAAGGGTTTGAGTAGGGTTGGGCGATATGGCAAAGAATATCGTATCACAATACTTGAAGGCTGTGTTCACACAGCAGGTAAAAGTGGCCCAAATCCGATCTTTTTCATAATTTGTGACAAAGATGTGTGTCTGTTTGTGAACAGGAAAAACCACTGAATCTGACATCTTAAATTCTAATTTGAGACGCTTTCGCATGTGGGACTGAAATCCGATGCGTATCCGATCTGCGGCGATGTGACTTGAATAGCCAGATTCAAGCCTGAATAGCCAGATCGGAATTCATGATCAGGCTGACTTTTACGTCAATCCAGCTCGACATTCATCATCATTTCACGCTGCTGAGACCTCATAAACATTTAGCCTGATGTTTCTGTCCAAAAAAATACACGAGACTTACAAAAACCCTCCATGTTTGAAGAGATTTCGAAAGAAATGGCCAAACGTGGCCATAGAAGGACGAGGCTGCAGTGTCAAAAGTAGCTTGTTTTGCTGGGATGCCCCATGACTTTTTAATAAGACACATTTTTGTTAAAACATTTTGTTTCTACAAGTCTGACGGCCTCTTATTCAGCAGCTGTTTTTTGGATTTTCGCCTGCACATTCGCCTGAATGTAACTGCTGCATCAGCTGGACTCGTCTGATGCTGCTGACTGACTCAGGTAGCTTTGCAGATGCGAGAGAAACCAGAATCACAACAGTTGCTCTAGTGTCCATGTTACGGTACCATGTTACCAAGGTTAACTCCAAAAGACTCTCCATTCCTTCATGTCTATCGACTCAAAAAACGGTGGCCTGCCGTGGACTAGTGGACTGCTTCAGCAACGGAAAAGAGGTGGGAGGTGATCGAGGGTCTGGTATCCAATCATCAGTTTGTGAACGTTACCCGGCCCTAATTGTTAACTGTATCATGTACTGTGAAGGTTTGAGTGTTGTGCTATATTTTTGTCATTTTTTTTCAATCCCTAATGTTCAGTCACATCATTACATGAAAAATGAAAACACTTGAATAGATCGTAATGTTTTGTGATTTGTCACTTTCAGGGAGAACTCCATGTCTCTAAGCTTTTCCACCATCCCAGCATCCTCCCTTACAAAAGCATCTTCATCGCAGAGAACGAGTTATGGGTGATCACTCCATTCATGGCCTACGGTGAGCAAGAAGGGAAAACGTAATCAATGGAAATTTTGCTCTTTTGGTGTTGGGCATAATTGAGGCGTTCACGTGACCCTACAAACACAAATATTTTTGGTCAAAAATAATGCCGGCCTTATGACGCCAAAGACTCGCAGATTTTTTCAGTATATTGAAAGGTAGCGCAGTTACAGTATGCAATGTGATAATTGAAATATTATATAATATTATCATTCCTCCTCTAAACGTACCTTTCCAATTGCCAGTGCGATAGCTGGCCCCATTTAGGAAGAGTTTATCCAGATATGGTTTTTGACTTCTTTTTTGTAATACTTTCCACAAAAAACTAAAATAATGACAGTTTTGTGTGTTTGTCTGCTTCTTTAGGCTCAGCACGAGATTTGATCAGCACTCACTTCACAGACGGTATGAGTGAGCTGACCATCGCCTACATCCTGCACGGAGTTCTCCGGGCGCTGGAGTATATTCATCACATGGGCTACGTACACCGGTGAGGAATAAACACACAGACGCTGATCAGCTCTTGGATTCTGGGTGTAAAAAAAAAAAGAATTACACCTAATATTAGAATGAATACAAGTAAACAGTACAGTACAGTGTGATTTGAAGTGTGGTAGCAGGCCTGTGCTTGGTGATGGTTAACCTAGTTACCACGGTAACAGTGTCTAGTGACAGTGGGAAAAAAAAAGTCTTTCATTTATTGATTTACATCATGAAATCACAGGAACATTTAAACGCTGGGTGATGAGATCTTACATAGGCTGCGCTGGCTGAGCACGCTCTGCCCTGCAGGCAGATGTCACACCTGTTCAAACAGCTGCCTCTGTGTTAAGGTGCACCTTTTAGGACATCCTCAGACCACAGCATCAGGTTTAACACATCAGAAAAACGACTTTGTGTTATGGAAAAAAAATTCCCCCAACCCCCAGCCTGGTTTAGCGGTCTACCCCGGTTTGTAGAGATCGCAAACTTATTTTCACTTAGGAAATTAACAAAACATGTAATTTGACCTGGCGCTTGTAAACCTTTGTGTACGACTGTAGATCAGTGCACAAACACGCCATATTTGAGTTTGTGTGTGTTATTATGCAGTGGAAATCATAGTTTGTCATTTGTTGAGGTCTTAAATGGGTATTAAAAAGCACAGAACTTTTGTGTTCTACTGTAGAGCAGTAGAGTAACACTGCATTTACATCTTACTTTGAGTAAGTTTTGAGTAAGAGAAAAAATTGTTGCATGTCTCATAGTGGTAGGCAGCTGGCAGTGGCATGCTGTCTTCTAAACATTGCCATAGTCACAGCATCACTGGCAAAAAAATTATGATTGTCAGAGGAGAGCTTTAGCATGGCTGATTGGATTATTTAAGGTGAATAAGAAGGTGGATGCTCTGTACTTATTTATTTATTTATTTATTTATTTAAATACTGGATGCACCTGGACTTAAACAATGAAATGTTCACCATACATGTCTCTTAACAAAATCAGCATTTAGCTTTGCTGTGGGTGACAGCAAAAGTTGGCGAAAATTGAATTCATGATGGAACGTCCCATTGGCACCATAGGTGGCTGAATATTTCGTCGCTGCTCCGTTATAAACACTGGAATATCTGGTTTGCTGTTGTGCGCCTGCTGTCAGAAACACAGCATAACCGCGAGCCATTTTGCAGTAACATGTCCGTAGACGCGTGCCAGCTCAGACTGTCTTCTTCCTCCTCAGACTGATTGTGTAAGTAAATGTGGTTTGTTTCTGTGTGTTTGGTGTGTAGGAGTGTGAAAGCGAGTCACATTCTGATCTCAGCAGACGGTCAGGTGTATCTGTCCGGTCTGAGGAGCATCTTCAGTCTGATACGGCACGGCCAGAGGGCACGAGTGGTCCACGATTTCCCCCAGTACAGTGTTAAAGTGCTGCCCTGGCTCAGTCCTGAGGTGCTACAACAGGTACGCTTTCATAATGCATAGTATTATATATGTAGTACTTTTGTAATGCATTATATGTGCAAAGGTTTGTCGACACCCACTCGTCTAATGTTCCTCTGAAATCAAGGCTATTCATAGAGAATTTGCTCCCTTTGCTGCATTAACTACTCTTCCGGGAAGGCTTTACACTAGATGTTGGAACATTGCTGTGAGGATTTGATTGCATTTAGCCACAGGAGCGTTAGTGAGGTCAGGTACTGATGCAGGATGATTAGTTCTAGATCACTCCAGCGCATCCCAAAGGTATTGGATGAAGCCCCATCACTCCAGAGAACACTGCTCCACAGCCCAATTCTGGGGGGGTTTATACCCCTCTAGCAGACGCTTGGAATTGGACTTGTTCATATTTGGCTCAGTTTAGATTCTGCTGGCAATACTTTCTATGGAGATTAGATTAGCTGTGCCTGCACAGCTGAACCTTTGTCAATTGAACTTGTGCTAAGTTGAATTAGTAGGGGTGTCTGGACACTTTTGGACGCGTAGTTTATGTGATCAATAATATATAATAAATATATATTCAACTGTGTGTGTGTGTGTGTGTGTGTGTGTGTGTGTCTGTCTGTTTCTTTAACAGAATCTTCAGGGGTACGACTTCCGCTCAGACATTTACAGTCTAGGAATTACTGCGTGCGAGCTGGCTAATGGTCATGTTCCATTTAAAGACATGCCCTGCTACCCAGGTAAGCCCAAACCTTGCATAGAACATCTCTTATAGTGTTTGCAAACTGTCTAAACTAAATGGGAATTCCACCAGTTTTTCAAATTGCCTCCATAATCAAAATCATTCAGAGTGGTTTGGTGTTAAATGCTCTGTTTTAGAGAAACTTGGTTAGTCAGAATTGTCCACAGTGGTGGTGATGAGAACCAGAGGTCTGAAAAGGTTAATGCCTCTAAAAGCTCCCTCACAGAAAGTTATTACATGAAATGGTTGCAGATTTTGCCTGATGTTTGAGACGTGACGTTTTATGATAGTTTTAAGACAAGCTTTAACACCAAAACACATTTCTTTTTAATCTATTCATGGTGGAGGGGTGCATGCATGTGTGATGAGACATAATGGTCCTCAAATAATATTTAGTTTTTTTCAGGTTCACCACTATTTTACAGTTCTAACATTGCATATAAAAGCTCAGGAGACAAATGTAGGTTCACTGGTTGTTTTGGATAGTGAACAAAATGGCTATATCTGCGTTTGACCCCTGGTTCCTATCACCACCACTGTAAAGAAATCTGAATCGGAAAGTTTCTCTTTAATGAACCATTTCACATCAAACCACTCTGAATGACACTGTTTACATCTGTGTGACTGAAACAGAGGTACAATGTACCATTACATGTAGCAGTACAATCACAATACTAGTATTTTGTCCACATCATGCCACCCTAGTTTACTGGTAAAGTGTCATTGAGCCAGAAAATGCAAATCTCTTTCTGTCTCTCTGTCTTTGGCCTGATTTCTCTCTCTGTCTCTCTGTCTCACTCTTTCTCTGCTTGTTTGCTTTGTGTATCAGATGCTGTTGGAGAAGTTGAACGGTACAGTGCCGTGTCTGCTGGACACTACCACCATCCCCCCCGAGGAGCTCAGTATGAAGCCTTCTCGCTCAGGGGCCGACTCGGGGATCTGTGAGGGTCCTGGGGCCGGAGGGGCCCGCCACACCAACGGAGAACCCTCATCCTCCTCAGGGGCGAATCCATACAGCCGCACCTTCAGCTCTCACTTCCATGCCTTCGTGGAGCTGTGCCTCCAGAGAGACCCTGAGAAGAGGTGAAGTTCAGATCATACATGACTATTCAGAAGTTCAGAATCAGTCACTCAAATACTTGCTCACAAAATGACCCTTAAAAACAAGAACACAGGAATTTTTTTAGTCGGCTGTCTGACTGATCAGATACACGTGAAAATACAAACCTCTCTTTCCACTTGTGCATGAGTGAATTGTAGACTCCAGTCAAATCACACACTCCCACTTTCTATATCATTTTTAACTATGATTACAATAATTTACCAAAATGTGGTGATCTTTTTGGTGGTTTGAAAATTGGTAGTTGCTGAGCAGTTTCTCCACTGTACTAATGGTGAACTTTAAACGTTAAACGCTCTCACACACCCCTTAATTGCTTTTTCAGTCATCCTCTCTTAATCGTAACGTTAAACCAGTAGTACTAAAATTTTAATATCATTTAGAACGTAGCTTTTCTCCATTTTCTTGAGGCAGAGTTTTCTATAATATCATCATAAGAAAGCTCACGGCTAACCTCATGATTATTACTCATGATGGTAGTTCATCTCAAACACTAAAAATAAATAAAGCATATTAGCTAAATTACTTAACGTTTATCACAGAAACAGTATACCACAATGTGAAGTTTAGCTTGTAATTGCACAGTTTTGTCAACTATTCAGCAGAGGTCCGGTAACTAGCTAGTAATAACTAACATTAGCAAACTGATGAGATGAGAGACAATAATGATTACTTATATGAGCAGTGCAGCATTTAGCTACCTGCATCTTGTCTCATCTCACTGTTAATGTCACGTTTTTCAGCCTCTGACAAGTAAAAGTGATGGTGCTTCAAAGCCACCCTGTCTGCTTCTACTACATCTGTATGCGTGGCAGAAAAATATCGCAGCTCAGCCTCAGTAGTTAAGCCTGCCCAGTCACACTTAGACTGGACATCTGAACAAAATTGTTTAGGCCTACTGAGATTCCCTGTAATATTTATTTATATAATATACTAATATTTAATAAATAAACTGTAAAATATATGATGTCATTCTTGCCACGGGGGCCCCTTTGGCAGGTGGCGTCCCTACACAACTTGCGTAATTTGTTTATAGGAGGAACTGCCACAGCAAATTAAAGTACTCCTATTTTTTAAGGTTGTATTAGCTTTAGTAGATCTGTGGAAAGCAGTGCAGTTTGTTGTGCTCTGAGGAATGAGAGCTCAGATCATTAATCTATGATGTAACTAAAGCCGGGTTACACTACACGACTTTTACCCTGATTTTAGCCCTGATTCTCAGTCTGGCTGAGTCTGCGCTATATTTTTGGGTCAGTTGGAGTCGACAGTTGGAGAGAGAGTTGAGTAGTGTGTGAGGGGCGCAGACTCAGATTTTTGGCCTTCCGATCACCTACATATATCAAACGTTCGATTTTTTTCGACCCGACTCTGAGCGAAATCTAGTGTAAACTGATCAGCAACTCAATCTGAATGGATTCCTGCAACAGCCAATAAAAACTAAAAGTGAAAAAGAAGAAAATACAAAAGTCTCTCATGAGTGGAACGAAGCTTTTTAATGAGCTGAGTTTAAGACAAGAGCACAATCGAGTTTATGTCCATTTAAAACTCAAAAAAATACCAAACTGATCACATTTTTAAATCCATGTGCCTCGAACATGTTTACCTGCTGCCTCTTTACTGTATCAGCACAAACGGCAGAGAAAACAGCAGCAGCAGCTCCACGTATCTGTTTATTTATTTATTTTTACATTTTCTATATGTTAACAATTACTATTGTTGCAAATGTTTACTTCTGGTGAAATTTTTTTTACGATTATTGTAAAAAAAAAAACAAATAAATAGAGTAATTAATACAGGCGCAGCTGCTCTAATTATTCATTAGTCATAATATTTGTTATTTTATTTGTTGATAACAAATAAAGTACAGTTTTTTTAGAATTTTATTGAACGAAACAACAGTGATAAACAATATACTATCTGTTTATAGTAATTTCTTGTGAGGTTACCTATGTCTTTTTGTCTCCTTTCACTACTTTTCAAATCGTGGCTATTATGAGGCCATATGAAGATATTAATGTTATTATAACTTTATTCTCAATGTTCTACAGGTTTCTCAGTTATTTTGTAAGCATCTGCATCGTTCTGGGCTCAACACATCTAAAAGTTGTTATGGCTTCCTACGATTTATTTCAAACCTACGAGGCTGTAGAGAACTTAACACCATATTAGAACCAATTTATGCTGATATATTACTTTATTTAGATGCTGATTCAACGTTTGAACGGTAGTGTTAGCGCTTACTGAGGGGACCAAAATTACGCGAAGTTAATGTGGTTGTGTGTTTGTGATCATGTGTTTTTTTTCCCCCCTCAGACCGTCTGCCAGCACACTCATTGGTCACTCCTTCTTTAAGCAGGTGAGAATATGAAACACTGTAATGTCTGTTTTCTTGTAACGCAAATACACCAAAGATTATTTATTTTTTTTACGTTATTTTTTATTCGTGGGTCTCTGCAGATACAGGATTACAGACTTATGTGTTCCACATTTTACATCATAACCAAAACTAAAACAATACTGGAGGGAAAAAAAACCTTACATAAATATATATTCTCATAGTAATGATTAGGTCAGGAAATACTTGTACTTTGTACATAATTTGACCATTAATTAGGAAGAAAACAAACATATACAAAATACATACAGGGTCATATCACTGTACATACAGATATTGGGAAAGTAATGATTTAAGCTAAAGAGTAACCTCTACCTAGAAGAAGAGGGGGAGGGATGCGAGTTACTTGGGTAAAGATTTTTTAATGTTCATGTTACAAAGGTGCTTCACTGCACTCGTTATGTGTTCTATGCATGTTTCTTTAGGAAAAAATTATCTGTGCATATTCTTTGAAAAACTGAAAGTGAGTCTCCTGAAAAGAGTGGAATGATGAAGGCATTAGGTGGCCAAACTAAATACTGAAAATTATGACAAATTTATTTGTTGAGGCTTCTGTTAAATATATATAAATATATAATATATAACTTGTCGGCTGTTTTACTAGGAATTCAATAAATGAAGGGCTGTCTCTGATTTTTGCCTCAGAACTGTAAATATTGAATAAACTTCCTGTGTGTTTTCACTCTAGATAAAGCGCCGGCCGTGTGAGGCTTTGCCTGACCTACTGCGTCCTGTTTCACCTCTCAGCACCTTTGAGTGTGTCCAGCCTCAGGACTCCCCTTCAGGGCTGGCCAGCCTGGAGTCTGGCCTCAGCCACCTGGATGTGGACGACTGGGACTTCTGACGGGTGGCCGGTCAAAGAGATGGGGGGGGATAGATAGAGTCAGATAAAAGAATGGACAACTTGCGCTAAGTGACTTTTGGATGAAAATAAAAACAAACGGAGGACTTGTTTCTGACGTGGTGGGGTCGGAGTTTCCGCAGGTGCATGTGTTTGCTAACGAGTTGAACGTGAAAGCAGAACGAGGAGGAAGGGTTTAAAGGAACGGGTCAGTCGGTTATGCTAAAGAACAGCCACAGACTAGCATTATGAAAACGACATCTTAATGCTTATGATGCCAGTCAGTAATGCTAATGTTGCTAACAACGAACGAAATCAAACAGCCACGGACGAAAGACAGCATCACGAAAATGACACTGTATTGCTAATTATGAGGTCAGCAAATAATGCTAATGTTGCTAACAGTGAATTAAAGTGAACAGCTGCACATTAGCATCATGAAAAAGACGCCGTAAAGCTTATTATGACGTCATTAAGTAATGCTAAAGTTGCTAAAAATGAATGAAATCGCACAGCCACAGACTAGCGTTACGAAAATGACGCCATAATGCTAATGATGTCAGTACGTGATGCTAGTCTTTCCAACAACTAAAGCACATAGTCACCATTTATCGTTATGAAAATGACCTCATAATACTAATGATGTCCGTCAGTAAAGCTAAAGTTGCTAACAACAAATTAAAGCCCACAGCCACGAATTAGCGTTATGAAAATGACACCATAATGCTAATGATGTCAGTCAGTAATGCTAGTCTTTCCAACAACTAAAGCAAATAGTCACCATTTATCGTTATGAAAATGACCTTATGATGCATGAGGTCAGTCAGTAAAGCTACATTTGCTAAAAACAAATAAAAGCGAACAGCCACGAATTAGCATTATGAAAATGACGCCATAATACTAATGATGTCAGTCAGTAAAGCTAAAGTTGCTAACGACAAATGAAACCAAACAGCCACAATCCAGCATCATGTGACTATAATGTCAGTAAATAATGCTAACGCTGCTAAGAAAGGCCACAGATTAGCGTTCTGAAAATGGCATAGTAATGCTAATTATCATGTGAGTGAATGGTGCGTTGTTAACAGCGAATGAATGTGGCTAATTCATCAGGCTAATTGTTTTCTACTGGCTCACGTTCTTGTGCGCAACATTAGCATGTCTGGTTGAGCTGTTCCTTTAAGAGGCAGCAAAGAGACCCAGGACTCTTTTCCTCTTCGTTTTAGGGTTTGTGTACATAGTTATGTATTTAACTGAAACTGCTTGAGGGAGGACAGTTTCTACTTCTTCGTCTCTCACAGAGAGGTGCAAAGCCAGCAGCCGCCACAGCCTTGAGCTAACGAGGCTGAAATGGGCTTCTTGTTCGAATTTTTCCGTTCCACCGTAAAGAGTGCAGCAGTTACATTTTGGTGCCTGAGGAGCCAGAATGTAGCAGCCGTGCCATTTAAGGTGGAACAGAAAAAATCAAAATAACGGAAAATTTGAATAAACGGAAATAAATTCGAGGTAACAGAAAAATTTGAACAAACTGAAAAATTTGAGAAAGAAGCCAATGTCAGCTTTTTCTGGCCAAAATGATCACAGATCACTTACAGGAAGATGCATGAGGATGAAAGAGTGGACGCAGGCAACACCCATCTTTTCCCCTTTCTTTCTTTATGGCAGTTTTGCCATGTTGGGTGCTCAGTTTTGTGCACTGTTACTGAGAAGTGTTACGTGTTTTGTAATCATTCTGAACATGGACGACACACTTTGTAATACGAATGTGTTCTAGCTTAGTATTGCTTGCTTCTGCACTGAGCTCGCTGAGCTACGTTTACATAGAAAAAGCAAAACTGCATGGCCTGCTGAGCCAATGCCTTCGTCTCGCAGCGCGTGGGTTTAGAGATTCGAGTCGATTCGGTCAGCTCCGAGTGAACAAGGTTCGATTCGGTTTGTTCAAACTACCAGCAGGACGTCAACCAATGCATGGATGGGTGCAGGAGGAGGTACAAACTAAGCCCCTTGCTGAAAGCAAGAAGTTGACCCATGCGCAGGAGCCATTAGAACCTGTAAGCAGAAACTTTTTCGTTCGCACGGTGCTGTTAAAGATTCGTGCCCATCGCTGTCCCAGCCGTTCCTTTGCATAATGAATGTTGTTGGTGTTTTCTTTGAATCTCATTTGTGTTGACAAAGCAGTGACATTGGAAAGTACTTCGGTAGTCTGTATGTGGAGTTTCTCAAATGTTACATATTGGGAGAAGGACAATAAAGGCTTTAAGAAACATGTCTGTTTGGTTTACTGATGGGTGCTTCCTATTACGTGTATTAAGATTTAAATATAGGGCATGGTATATCCATACAATGTGTTTGTGGAAATTATTATTACAGTGGTTCTTTTTGCTTGCTTCTGTCATTTAAAATACTTCTAGTGCAGGTGGTGTAAAGCACGCCACCACTGGACTCTGCAGCAGTGGAAATGCATTCTGTGGAGTGACAATTCACACCTCTCTATCTGGCAGTCTGATGGACGAGTCTGGGTTTGGCAAATAAAAAGTTACCTGCCTGACTACATTGTGCCAACTGTAAAGTTTGGTGGAGGAGGGATAATGCTACAGGGTCATTTTTCAGGGGTCACCCTAGGCCCCTTAGTTCTAGTGAAGGGAAATCTTAATGCTTCAGCAGAGCAAGACATTCTGGACAATTCTATGCTTCCAACTTTGTGGGAACAGTTTGGGGAAGACCCTTTTCTGTTCCAGCATGACTGAGCCCCAGGGCACAAAGCAAGGTCCATAAAGTCATGGCTGGGTGAGTTTGGTGTGGAAGAACTTGACTGGCCCTCACAGACAGTGGAAAACAGTGGAAGCTGCTACAGCTGTAAAGGAGGACCAACTTCATATTAATGCCTATGGATTTAGAATGGGATGACATAAAAGGTCCTGTAGGTGTGATGAATTTGTAATTATAAACTAAAAAGTTTGTATTCATGGACATGAAAAAGATATGTTTACAAATGAAATTAATTGGGGGGGGGGTAATATTAAGATTAATAATTTGCTGCAAAGCCATTGTTGGCAATTACAGCTTCAAGACTTCTACCATAAGTAATTAGGTCTTTGCAACATTGTGGTTCAGTTTTGGCTCGTTCCTTTTAGCAAACCGTCTTCAATTCACCAAAGTTACTGATGGAATTTCAGTGGGGTTTAAGTCAGGAAATTAACTAGGCCATAGAAGCACATTCACTTTTTTTTCAGAAACCTGAATTATTTTGGCTGTACCTTTGGGGTCATTGTGTTGTTGAAACATCCCATCTTCTCATCAGTCTGTTTCTTGGCCGATGGGATTAAGTTCTTCTCTCATATCTCCCAGCACATCACTCCATTCATGTTTCCTTTGTTAACATAAAATGTCCCAGTACTGTTTACAAAGACGCAGCCCCATATAATTCTCCACACATGATGAGCTGAATTATTGCCAGAGTTCAATTTTTGTTCCATCTGACCAGAGTACATTGTTCCAAAACAGTTCCGATTACCTTCCGTATCATTAGCCTGAGAGACATCTTGCATGGATCACCTGAGGTTTCATGAACTTCCCAGTAGAGGTGGGCGATGTGGCAAAAATGTAATGTTGCGATACACAAAGTCACGATATTTATTTTTTTAGACATCTGACTAGAAAAAGAACCCCTAGTGCTGCTTTTTAAAAAAATACTTAAAAAAAAACAACACAAGTTTTATTCAATATTTTGCATTAAAACCTGTTAAACAGGACCAGTTTTGCTCTCTTCAGGTGGACAGTTTTATAATGTATGTGTATATATATATATATATATATATATATATATATATATATATATATATATATATAAAGAAGGTACAGGAAGCAGGGGAGCTCTCCACATGGGATGTCAGTAGTAACACAGATACAATAAAAGACAGACCAAAGTTAGGCTAAAAATAGCATCTCCTGTTTTTGTGACGGGGAAAAGAAAAAAAACATGGCTAAAGCTCGTAGCTAAAAAAGAGAAATTTATTTAAGAAGGCTGGATAATACAATTTACAACTGTTGAAAATGATTAGAAAAAAGAAAATGTTTTGACAACACTAGTCATCATCCTCATCTGAGGGTGGTTGGTCTGCAGCAGCCTGGTGTTTCTGAATCTTAGCCATCAGCTCTAAAGAAAGGACAAAAGAAAAGCATGAGCCACAACTCCACACCATGTGCAGTACAAGCTGAGTGTTCATTCAGTGCTTTATCTATAGCATCATACAGAAGTTAATTCACCATCACTATATATTTGCAATTACATCACAGTATCAGACAATATAGACAGATCAGGCATAACATTACGACCTCCTTGTTTCTACGCTCATTGTCCATTTTATCAGCTCCACTTACTATATAGGTGCACTTTGTAGTTCTACAGTTACAGACTGTAGTCCATCTGTTTCTCTGCATACTTTGTTACCCTGTTCTTCAGTGGTCAGGACCCCCATGGACCCTCACAGAGCAGGTACTATTTGGGTGGTGGATCATTCTCGGCGCTGCAGTAACACTGACGTGGTGGTGGTGTGTTAGTGTGTGCTGCGCTGGTCCGAGTGGATCAGACACAGCAGTGCTGCTGGTGTTTTTAAACAGGGTAAAAGGGGTCTAACAAAGTATGCAGAGAAACAGATGGACTACAGTCTGTAACTGTAGAACTACAAAGTGCACCTATATAGTAAGTGGAGCTGATAAAATGGACAATGAGCGTAGAAACAAGGACATAATGTTATGCCTGATCGGTGTACATTTGCTTTAATACAGTTAATGAACCCATGCTCCCTGAGTGCTGCTACTTTATGCTAAAAGAATCTTTCAAACTTGACCTAACCTAAAAACAAACTGCTTGATAACAGGGACAGCACTAATTTATGGAACAGGATATTATCATGGATATTATAAGGCTCATTATTTGTCAATAATGCTAAAACTAATAAATCAATGTGTTGTGTAACATCAATACTGATAGACAATACATTCTATCATCGTTGCTTGTAAACCCTGAACATTCTGGTCATCTCACACTGAATTGAGCAGGTGGCTATTAACCTTTTGCTGGATTGAAGACGCCGTTGGTCTGCTGGTTGCACACGTAACAACGCTTGGACTTGCGGTAATGCTGGAGAGCACAGGACTCGCAGAAATAATGCCTGCACCTGATGAACAGAGAGTATGTAGTACGTTAAAGGAGAACGATTTTTAATAAATTCTACATAATTAAATGGCTCAGATGTAAACAAATCATTCAGAGTGGTTTGGTGTGAAACACTCCGTTTTAGATAAACTTGCAGGGTCAGAATTGTTCACAGTGGTGGTGATGGGAACCAGACCTCTGAAGAGTTTAATGCCTCTGAAAGCTCCCTCTTAGAAAGTGTTACATGAAATGGGTTGATATATACTGGTAATGTTCTATGGTAGTTTTGTGGTGAAGATTGGTTTAAAATGTATTTTAATCCATTTATTTTAATCCATTCCTGGCGGAGGAGTACACGCAGGGCGTGGTTAGGCAAAATAGGGCCCAAAGAAAACTTACTTTTTCAGGTTTATCACTATTTTATCATCAACGTTACACATAAAAGCTCAGAAGACACGTGTAGGTTCACTGGTGGCTTTGGACAGTAAATAAAATAACTATATTTGTGTTGTAGACATTGAGAGCCCTGGTTCCCATCACCACCGCCATAAAGAAAGTTTCTCTACAATGAACCACTTCACATCAAACCACTCTGAATTACCCAAGGACTAAATTATTCAGATATTTTGAAAAATTGGTGGAATTCCCCTTCAACATTACCAGTGCAGCTGTGCAAGTGATAAGACAACAACATGCCACATTTGGATGATTCTACTGAAATCATTTTGACTCCAATACATTAATTATGTGTATTTTATTAAATGAGTGAACATTCCGTATCGTAACACTACCAAAACTTCACCACAGTGGTGACCAACCCTGGTCCTGGACATCTACCTTCCTGCAAAGTGTAGTTCAAACCACAGTCTGTAAAATCTGCTCCAGACAATTAACTTCTTCTGAAGTCCTTGATTGGCTGGATCAGATGCATTAAACTCCGCAGGTTTTAACTTTTGCAGGAAAGTAAATCTCCAGGACTTCGGTTGGTGACCACTGCTTTACCAAATGTTTGGCAGTGACTCAGTAGTGACAATTTTAGCTAATTTTGAGCAGAATTCTAAAATTCTACTCAGTACATGACAATCAAACACAGTTTTGGACAGTTGTACACACACAAAAAAAACCATCATCTTTTTTCTTTACAACACAAAAAAGTGTACTTAATTGCAGAAAATGTAATGACAGCTGTTATTGTTCCACACTGATTTTCACACACTGGGACACATTTACTTTAGTGTGATTTATCTGATCCTCAAGTTTCAAAGAGGGACAGGAATGCAGTCTCACTTCCTGCTCAAAAATATTGGAGCGTGGCTAAAGTAAGGCTCCGCCTACAAACTTTGTTTGGGTAGTGACATAAAAATTTGGGACAGCAATTTGTGAAAGTTTTGTTTCATGACAAATCTAAACCTTTCAACTTAAAAATAAATTTAAAAAAGATGTTTTCAAAAAAGTTGAAATTCAGGGCTTAGTGTATAATTAGCTTATTACTCTCCCAATGAAAGCCTTGTATTTAAATAGATTATAACAATCTTTTCTGAATATTCATTTGTTTTTTAATAACCAACAAAAATTGATTTTTGAAGGGAAACCAAGTAAACATGGACTACAGAGAACACACAGGTGTGCGTGGCATGTGTGTGTGTGTGTGTGTGTGTGTGTATATATATATATATATATATATACACACACACACACACACACATATGTATATAGGCACTCACTTTGTAATGATCGGGTTCTTGAAAGAATTCCTGCAGATGAAACACTTGAAGGGAAAATCCTCTTCATCACTGCTCACCTCGTAGTTTTCCTCATCTGTTAAAAAACACACAGAATTACACCACAATGTAAAGAATTTATTTTTAAATAATTCTTTACATCTGAAATTAATTTTCACTTCATAATATCTCACAACAGCTCACCATTGGCTCCATATCGTCCCTCTTCCAGCTCCCTTTCAATCTGCCAGCCATGTTTGTAGTCTGAACGGTCGTGCAAAAACTTGCAGCTGTCTGAAGTGAAAAAAGACAACTTTAGAAACTTTGTGACTGCTGACCATTAAACAGCAAATTAAAATAAGACAATGTGTATCTATCCAGTCCTCTGCTCACACACCTCCAAATCCACAGAAGCCGGTCTCTTTATAGTCTTTACATATGTCAGGCTGGTAGTCCCACCTCACCGTAGCACGCAAGTGCTCAGGGGCCCTGATTGGTCCTTTCCTATCACACACGACAGAATTCACAATTCATTAAAAGGTTGTTTGTGGTGAAAATGCACTTTAATAAACGGTCAGATCAAATCTGCGTACCTGACCATGCCAGACGATGCATTGCCCATGGTGGAATCTTTAGGCTTAATGAATTTATGGTAGTTGTTGATGCCACGGTAGATTTTATCATCCTCTTTACCTGACAGCTCCTAGAATATGAGAAAGGCTGGTGTAAATGAACAAGTCCTTAAATAATGTGACAACTATACAGATTTATGATTTGTTGGAACAAAAAGCTTTAATTTAAACTCATAATACTATAAACAACTGTGGGAAAACAGGTGAATAAAATAATAGATACTGCTTTGTTTGGAACTAGACCTGTCACGATAATAAAATTTTATCTGCCATACAATTTATATAATTTATAAATGATTTATTGCCATACAAATAATTGCGATTAACAATTTGTCCTTTTCTGTTTATTTCATGCCACTATTAGACAACAGGGATGGGAAATTACAGTGCATTTTCCTTCCTTACTGAGCCGTATTTGTAAGTGAAACACAATGTCAGGGAGGGTCTCTGAGCCTGTTCTCTCGATGACAGGTGGGGGTGGTGGGAGGAGGACATAAAGCATGATATTATTGGTAGATATAATATTTCAATTCAATTTTTGATATTTTATTAACCCTTTTATGTTCTTTATACACACTGTATATGACAGTCCTCTGTCAGGTGTACATGTCTGTAGCCCTAACAGTTCAGAGACATATAGACTGTAGCCCTAACAGTTCAGAGACATATAGACTGCAGCCCTAACAGTTAAGAGATGAGAGGTGGAGCGGAGCAGTTTCCCCGCTTAATGATGGTGAAGTCACTGTCCCACTTCACCGTCACCCACCGAAACCCTGAAAAATATGTTTCCATCACCATTTTTATCATTTCACTTTTAATCTTTCTGAATAAAAACCTAAACATTTTCTTGGACATTTAGGAATTTTCTGGCTTTTCATTCCAGGTTTTTTTAGGTGCAGTTTCAAAACTTGCAACCGACAGTGGCTTCCGAGAAAGACATTCGGAAAGTTCATTCTGTTGATTCTGTGGTTCTGTGGTTCTGTACTGAAATCAGCACACCCATAACAGATTAAACAGAATCATCAGCGCCCACTGACGATTCTGTCACTCACCTCCTGAATTTTCTGGCTGCGCTCAAAGATGGCCTGAGCGTCTTTGTCTCTCTCCGTGTCCAGTTCGTACACAGCAGTGGCCCCCATGTCCTCTGGCCCCTCCGGTTTCTGTCTCACAGATATAAAGTAGGCAGAAAAGATTCTAAATGTAGTGACTTTGTCATTTCACCAATTTTCCACTGTTGCATAACTGTCATATAGCTGAACTCAAGTAGGGATTTCTCACCGCTGACCGCGTGGACTTATAGGCCACTGTGACCTTTTTGGCTTCACGGTCTTCCTCACTTTCACTCGATGAAACGGCTTCCCGCTCCACCTTCCTTGTCTGAAATCAGGGATCGGCATGTTAATGACCTTAACAATACAGACAGGATTTGCCAGAGCAAATGACTGAAGGAGACACTAAAGTTAAAGCAGACATTACAGCACATGTAATGCAGATATCAAAGGGCCCATATTCATAGTTTTCCCCTGAGGTCTACTCGTGTTTTATGGTTCTGTGTAACAAAAACTATGTAACTAATAATTTATTTTTACATGACCACTTTTCAGCCCATCTTTATCGCTTAGAATCCAACAGGCTGTGCACCTCATTCAAAAAGCACACTGGGCTGAAACGCTCCTCATAACCTCAGTAGGCCGAACAAATATGTTACAAATACAAGCAAATGTGCAGGTTTCTGTGACCTCACAAAAACTATGAATTGAAAATTGGTTGTTTTTTGCAGCTTGGTTTCCATATTTGGCCTGGGGGACTGGCTTTCTATGATATGGGCCGATATATAAAAGAAGACGATAAATAAATATACAGAAATTTTAAATAGCAAATGGCACTTGAAGCAAATAACATTAAAGAACAAAATGTAAAACATAACAATTAAAACAGACATGAACAGAGCAGTATGTTAGAAACGAATGCTAGAACAGACAGTAACACTGCAATGTAGACCACTAACCCTTTGTATCATGGGGTTGGCAGCGCTGGGTTTCTTCTCTTTTCTGACCACGGCGTTTTTCTCCTCATCGCTGCTCCTGTCTGATGAATTTAACAGCAGTTACTGGGACTGATTCATACGGAGCCCTGATGATGACATCCCGTATACATAAAAATAATGTGTGGCCACGCCTTATTAACACGGGGGAACGAGATCCTAATGTGTGGCCACGACTTAGTAAGCTGTGATCTCATTCCCACGCCTTACTAAGTCATGGCCACACATTAGGATCTCGTTCCCACGTCTTACTAAGTCGTGGCCACGCACTATTTTTATTTATACAGGATGTCACCAGCGGGGCTCCGCAGATTCATGCAGCTGGCCTGCAGTATTTTAACTCTGCATTCGCCAGCTTCTCGCTCGAATCGCCCGTTCCACCTTAAATGGTGCAGCAGTTACACTCTAGTGCCTCAGGCGACATAAGCTAATGTAGCTGCGGCACCATTTAAGGTGGAACGGAAAATTCGAAATAATGGAAGAGTTTGAACAAACGGAAATACATTCGAAGATCATCGTTACTTTTTAGGCCATTTCGCTGCGTTGGGATGTGGGGTGATCAGTTTAGTGCACTGTTAGGCGTCATTATTTAAGGTGGAACGGAAAAATCGAAGCCAGCTGTAGCAGATTTAGGCACTTTACACTCGCAGGAGCGGGAAACACAAATGACAGTGTTTACCTTTGTCGCTGTCGCTGGCTTTTCTCTTCCGACCACAAAACTTCTTGTTTGATTTCTTGAAAAGAAACGTACAGGTCGCTTTGGGCTCTTCGGACTCCGCCATCTCCAACGAAAACACACTTCATTCGTGTGTGGGGGTTGAGGAGAGCAGCGCTTTTAGCTCAGCGCCCTCTAACGGGCTGGAGCGGAAATTCATTTAGACTGCACAACATTTTCTCATAAAAATAAAAACATAAATAAGTACAAAATCGAGTGACGTGCATTTTTTCCACCGATGGAGCAAAAATCCCCTGTTTTTTTCTTTTTTTTCTCAAAACATTGACTTATTATCTTGAAACAATGATTATCTTTCTCGAAATTGACTTACTATTTAAACATAGCATGGAGTTTTGAGACAATAACAGCAAAGATCATAAGTCAAAATTGTGAAATAATAATGAATTTCGACCTAATAACTCAATTAAATAATTTAAACAATTTTAAATGAATAAATATTGTATAAAAATAAGGAACTAAATCTCAATTTCAGCTAAAACTATAATAATTATTTTCAGAAAAAAGTCAAACTTTCATCATATTAAGTCAAAAAGGAGAGGGAGAGTGGAAGAATTGGGATTCCATACATTTTATAATATTATTATATAATATTCTTTCATTGTATCATTTTAGATATCATTGTAATCTTATGTAATCAGTGTGACTTGAAATTGGAAAGTTCATTTTGAAAGACTACAAATGCTTCGGAGAGGATATTTGGGGCGGGATTATTCTTTTTATACAGAAAAAACATTGATGAGCAGCTGAGATTATTGCTGTTTAACAGTTGTAGCTGAGCTCCATGTCTGTATTTATGTAGCCTCTAGAATTGCTTAGCACTGCAGGGATCCCCAATGAGTGATGGATGTGTGTAATGCATGCTGGGTAATGTAGTGAGAGAACACAGATGAATAAAAAAGATACAAAGTCATCAGTTCTGTCAAACTGATAAAGCTGAAGAGTGCAATGCTATGGAAGCCCATTTCTGCCACTGGAGAAAAACATGCTGAGTGAGTCATAATACTGAGAAAGGTTTCTGCAGTTATGACTAAGCGTCCTATGATTACGACTGGCTATATCATACTGATGAGTTTCTAATAATTATGACTTGATATCTCATAACAATCACTCACTATCATAATCATAATAGTCTTAATTTTGTTATGCTAAGTTGTAATTGTGAGATGCTGTGTCATAATCATGATAAAGTAAGTCTTCATTATGAGATGCTAAGTGATAACTTTGAATAAGAGAGTCATAATAATGAGATGCTAAGTCATAATCATGAGTAAGTCATATACACACATACACACAAACACACACACACACATATTCTAAGTCGCTTATCCTTCTGGGTCGTGGGGGAGCTGGAGACTATCCCAGCAGTCATTGGATGGAAGGCAGGATACACCCTGAACAGGTCACCAGTCCATCGCAGGGCAGACAGACAGACACATATTCACGCTTACGCTCACAATCACTCACACACACACAATGTTACACTTTACGGCGCAGTGGGTAGCGCTGTCGCCTCATAGCAAGGAGGGCCTGGGTTTGATTCCCCTGTCTGGGCGACCAGGATCCTTACTGTGTGGAGTTTGCATGTTCTCCCTGTGTCTGCATGGGTTTCCTCTGGGTACTCTGGTTTCTTTCCACAGTCCAAACATGCTAAATTGCCCTTAGGTGTGAGTGTGTGTGTGTGTGTGATTGTGAGTGTGTCTGTCTGTCTGCCCTGTGATGGACCGGTGAACTGTCCAGGGTGTATCCTGCCTTCCATCCAGTGACTGCAGGGATAGGCTCCAGCTCCCCCCATGACCCAGAAGGATAAGCAGCTTAGACTGTGTGTGTGTGTGTGTGTGTGTGTGTGTGTTTTATACTTTAATATTATCATCTGAACAGATTGATTAAAAGCAGTTGACTAATATTTCCTGGGTCTAAATAGTATATATATATTTATATATATATATATATATATATATATATATATATATATATATATAAATAAATATAATATACTATTCTTTAGACCCAGGAAGTATTAGTCAACTGCTTTTAATCAATCTGTTCGGATGATAAGGTGCACTGGTGAAAGGCATGCATCTATTGATCGTGTTCTATAATCTATTACTATAATATAATATTTAATACAATAATATACTGAAGGTGAGCTACTTTTTCCTCATTTTTCCTCACACACATTGCATTTAAAAACTGCTTTTAGGAGAAACTATGCGTTTTCCACAGTGCAGCCCATTTTGTTTACTGGTCCAATTTTTGGTCATAATTTTGGGAAACTTCCTCAGTACTATGATTCACTCTATCGCGATGGATTTCTCCAGTGGCGGAAACGGGCTTGTATGCAGGGCTGCACTGCGGAATACTGCATAATAAACGGCGCGCAGGCTGAAATGTGTCTGTAGGACTGATGAACGCGTTAATGGGCCGCGGCTGCGCTGAGCTCCACTAACACAACGTGCTGCGACCAACGTCCAAACGTTGCCAAGGTAGCCACACCCCTACCGCAAACTGCGTTACAGTGTCGTAAAAAAGCCCTCGACGATTGTTGCGGTTTACGGCGTGGCGCCATTTTAAGAGCGAGCGCAGCGCGGAGAGGAAGAAAAAGAAATCAGCAGCGAATCGGACTCACGAATCCGCGGCGCCGCCTTTAGATTATAACCCGCGCTGGGAGCACCTTTAGTAACTGCGGGAGATCGTTTTACCCCGGAGAACGGGAGAATAGTTTGGAGATTGGATGCGGAGCTGAGGTATGTGAGCTTAATGTCCGACACGAGGCCTCGGAGAAGGCAGGCCGCGTTCCAATAAGCTCGCTTGTGTTCTACCTAGTGGTCTTAGTGAGTGAGCGCTTATGTTCTGATTAGGTCGGACTCTTAGCCCTTGCGTAGGTTTAGTTTAGCGGTGAGGCTTAGCGTGTGTTTAGATTTGTTTGATGCAGGTTTGTTGTTTAAAATCCTAGTCAGTAGATAAGCGTTTAGTCAGTATGCGCACTAGTCAGTGAAGGGTTCTAGTTCAAGTATACGGATTGGAACGCGGCCGCAGCGTTTGCTAGCTTATAGCGTTAGCTAAAGCAGCCAGGCTGTCCAAGTTTTTCATTCTCGGTCTAAATTATTATAAACACGGCTTTATTAGTTGGGTTTGCACTGATGGTTCGGTTTAGCTTCACTAATTCGGGAATGAGTACCTCTTAAACAAACGAGGCTAAGTCAGCTGACCGCCGCTAGTGCGCTAGGTTAACTAACTAATGCTACATTCTTGAAAAACGATGGTTCTTCAGTAAGGCGAATGATTGTGTTCAGAACCGTGAGTTCTCTATAGAATTATGCATGCTTTTTTTTCTGCATGGTGAAGTGGTTCTTCAGATTAATGGAGAACGTGTTTGTGGTTCTACATGGTTGTGTGTTTTGTGGTTCTTCTTGAACGCGGTTTTGAACAGCACCAAAAGAGTTCTGCTGCTGTTAACTAACCTACGATGTAAAGCTAATAACAATAGAGGAACCCTTTTTGGTTCTGTGTAGGATGCGTTCCGAAAAGGTTATATTTAAAACTAAAGTTACACCGCGTTCTTCATTAATCTGAAGAACCATTTCACCATGCAAAGAACCTTTTTTTGAGTATGATCCCGAGAGTGTAGGAAGCTAATTCATTATAAAGCTCGTTTGGGTTGATGAATATAACGTTAACCTAAAGGGGAATCCCACCGGTTTTTCAGAGTTTCTCCTTAAATCATTGTCTGCAGTGTAAACAAAGTCGTTAAGAGGGAATTGGCGTAAAATAATTCGTTTGTGGACACGTTTCTCCTGAGTGTTTAGATGTAATGTTGATGGTAAAATAATGGTCTAACTGATTTCTTTCAGGACTATTTTACATAATAGCGTCCTTCATGTATCCCTCCACTATGACTGAATTAAAATACACTGACACAACTTTCTCACAACTACCGTAAAACCAATGTCTCAGTCATCAGACAGTGTGTACATAACAGTTTCATGTAATAGCTGTGAAGGAGCTTCTAGAGGCATTAAGTCCTTCAGACGTCCGGTTCCTATCACCACCACTGTGAACAATTCTGCCTCTAAGTTTCTCTGGAACCAAGTGAAACTTAGTCAAACCACTCAGTGACTTATTATACAGAAATTTAGAAAAATTAGGAGTCTCCTTTTAAGCCGTTACTTTGTGAACGCTTAAATCTCTGTACTATTGTTATATAATTTAAGGTTGGTCTTTGTTGCTGCTTTGTTGTTTCCCCCTACTTGGCAGTTTGGCGAGTGTAAGATAATGTTAGATGAAGTTGGAGGAATCGCCCAACGTGAAACCCTTAGAATAACCGATTGCAACATTACTCTTTAAGCATTATAAGCACTCGCACATTACTTACAAAGTTGAATCAGTAAGGCAGCCTCAAACATGACGTTTGAGGCTGCCTTACTGATTCAACTTTGTAAGTGATGTGCGAGTACTTATAATGGTTGTGAAATTAAGTTGAGTAATCTTGTGATTCTCAGTAATAAACTGCCTATAGGTCTTGTATGAAGTGTGATTTGGTGTTGAAGTGCTGCGTCCTTGTTCTTTTTAGGTGAACCATGACTCAGTTTCTGCCCCCGAACCTGCTGGCCTTGTTTGCCCCGCGGGACCCCATTCCTTTTCTACCGCAGCTGGGGAAGCTGCCCCATGAAAAGCACCACAATCAGCCGTACTCTGGGATCGCCCCTTTCATCAAGCACTTTGAGGTATGGCCGAGTGGGACTGACGGAGATTAAAATCTTTTAAGAAAGCGTTCAGCGTAGTATCTAAACGTTAGTTTTCACCATTCGCTCCCCAGTCCGTCCGCTTTTATATGGAAAATAAGCTGCAAAAGCAGCCTGTTTTGTTTGTTTTTGTAACATCACAAAAACAAACACACTTAAACAAATCGACCTAATCAGCCTGCAGCAGTCTAGCTCTGCCTGTTCACACTGAAGTTATAAGGAGTGTTTCAGCCCATACCACTTTTTGAATGAGACGCAATACAGAGCAACCAATCAGAACAAAGCTTATTTACATATGTTTTAAAGGCACAGTTGCAAACATAAGTGGACCTCTTGGGGGGGGGCGGGGGTTATGTAGCCATAATCTTGGCTTTTAAGGTCTTAACATAATACTGTTTCTACTTTCTTAAGATCGTTCCTCATCAGCCACTGGGAAAACTCGTCTGTGATAAGTTATAGAGCTTATGTTGTGTGCTTGTACGAATTTATGATTAATATTAGTGTGGCCTATTAAATCTAGTTTGATGTTCTCATTAATTGATGTCTTGGTTTGTTATGGATCAGGACCCTAGAGATGCCCCGCCACCTACAAGAGCCGAAACACGAGAGGAGAGGTTGGAAAGAAAGGTGGGACATTTCAACAGTTGGTTATAATTGGATTTAAAGATGATTTAAAAATAACCTGGAATAAAAAGTCGTGTGGTGAAGCCTGTTTGCTTTGTGGGCTTTGTTTTTGATGGCTGTTTTTGAATCATCACAGAGGCGTGAGAAAATGGAGAGGCGGCAAACAGTAATGGAAGCGGAGCTGAAGTTGTGTAAGTATGCTAAGCATTTTAAAAAGCATAACTGTTACACAATCCAGCCTCAGCACACTCGCTCTGACCTCAATTTTCCCTTTCCATTTTGCAGGGGATCCTCACAATGACCCAAATGCTCAAGGAGATGCATTTAAGACCTTGTTTGTGGCTCGAATTGTAAGTGCTTTGTGTTGTAATAGTATTTTTTTTTAACTCTGCAGTTTCTGGTTTAGGTGTAATTTGAGTTGGTGTCGTACTGGTATCAGCAGAATATGTTGACTCAGATATCTGAGGGTGGGGGGACAAAGGGGACTCCTAGAATGATTTTTGTAAATTTATCCTAAAGCAGCACTCGCTCACATTGTGACATTTAGGGTTTAACGCTAGCTTTTTTTTTTTTCCCCCAACTTGTCCGGTCAGCAATGTGAACAGAAAGTTCAGTCCCGAATAGTGTGTGTCTACTGTTGTAAACAAATTCTTATTGTTTAAAAACGTTTGTCACACAAATAAGCTCACCTTGTATGCAAAAAATTTATTTGCATACACATTTGTATGCTAGTTTGAATACCTTGGGTCAAATGACATCAATATTTATGCCATTTTTTTCTGCAGCTTTTAATGCATAATTTGCTAAGTTTAAGTGGAGGAGAAAAATATATAAAATAGAATTTTTTTTTGTATGAGCATGTACTTGCTTTGTTTTAAGACAAGACAACCTTCTTCTTCTTCTTCTTCTTCTTCTTCTTATTATTATTATTATTATTATTATTATTATTATTAGTAGTAGTAGTAGTAGTAGTAGTAGTAGTAGTAGTAGTATTCTCTACTTTAGTTCAATGTCATAACCAAGCAGAATTTACTTGTACATTTGTTTTGCATTTTTATTAATCATCTATTTTTAACAGTAAAACTGTTTCCAGGTACTAAATAAGAACAGCACCTGTGTGCGGTTGCTGTATACAAAAGTCCAGTGCTCTTGACAAGTGAAGATATTGTTTTTAAAATTATCCATTGCTTACCTTGTCAATAAACAATGCAAAGAACAATTTGCCTGCTTTGTCAGGGTAAGAATAGAGCCAAGGAAATAGATTTCCTTTTTCAAAAGGGAATAAAGTTTCTCACTTGTTTTGTCACACATCTGTTTATTTGAACCCTCACTGCCCATAAACACAGTTGGCTTGATTTAACTCAAGCACTTGGATTATTATACATTGCGTATGAAAGCAAATGGAAGTCGTATCCAGTTAGTTTTTTCTTTCAGATGCTCGTCTTAAGTGAAGTGCTTCAATTAAAAATTGCTCGTTTTAAAGTTCTCTTTTGGTCGATACATAAGCTTTCAGTATCAGAAAAGAAAACGTAGTGTGAATTTTCTAGTCCTAACGTTTCTCAGCTTCTCTCATCCCTGTATTTTACTGTTTTTGCGCAGAATTATGATACAACGGAGTCCAAGCTGCGTCGTGAGTTTGAGGTCTATGGCCCCATCAAACGAGTAAGTAATGCTAATCAAATGCACGGTTTCCCTACTATTTCCACACACCTTCTTAATCTTTCTGACAAAATCCTTAATCTTTCCTCCCAGATCTACATCGTGTACAACAAGAGGACCGGAAAACCACGCGGTTACGCCTTCATTGAGTATGAACATGAGCGGGACATGCACTGTGAGTAGACTGACCACATTCTTGGTTAGATATTTTTCAGTATATTTTAAACACTGAGTTTATTGTTGTCCTTTGGAAATACTTAAGGGCATTCAAAGGTCAAACTTTTCTGACGTTCAGCCCTACATCCTCTCTGCTGTAAACCTAAATGCCCACCTATTGAAACTGCTCAGTTAATGGAAATAAACAGCACTGAAATGTAAACAAAACAAAAAAGCCTCGGAAAGGTCAAATTAACGACCCTTCATCTGTGTTTGTGTGTCTGTGCGTATGACTGTCAGTGTCTGCTCTCACATCTGTGCGGAATATTGTTCTCCTTTGTGTTGTGTTGCATCAGGTGTGAATGTGGAGGTGCATCACACATGGCTACAGGGAAGGGAGGGTCCAGTAGAGGGGGTGGATCACTGGGGGGGTGGGGCTAACGCTGTGCATTAGTCCACTGCGCACACGTTCTGATGAATGTTGCCACTCTATGGCATCTCTGTAATGTTTAGGCAGTGTGACACATAGGACTGTGTTTCCGGCTGGAGCGGTGACGGTAAGCTAAAGGCCAAGCCTTTCTGTAGCGTCAAAGGTGACTCTAAACCTGTATACCTGTCTGTCTGCACCAAAAAAGTGGCAGTTTTAAAAGTGAGGTGAGACTGTAATTAGTGTTGCAGAGCAAGTCTATGCAGTGTATTAATTGTGTGTTGTTCTCATTGCTACTGCAGCCGCCTATCTCTGATGGCTATTGGCCAGAGCTGGCTTGCAGATCATGATGATGGTTTTGATACATCTACACCCTACTACCACAGCTCAGTATATGGTTGGTATGATGGGTTTGTATGATGGGTAAGATTTCTTTACACCCTCATCTACTACTAGGCTGAAACAAGGCACACGTTCATTGGACCAAATGAGGTTCCTGTCCACCTCGTTTTGAGGTCTAAAGCTGCTGTTTTTGGTCTTTTGAACGTTCCTTGGGTTAGGCTTAGGGAGTGGGTGCCTGAAGTCAACCTGTACTGTTAAAGCCACTGCATATAGATGTCAAAGCCCAGGTTGTACTCTGCAAGATTTAAATAAAATCAGTTTGTCGTGCCAGTTGCTGGCTAGCTCGGGCGATTTTCTAAAGGCTGAATTATACTTCTGCATTTGCGAGTCTGCAACAACATGCAGGCGTAGTGCATAGATATTCAAATGGACTGCCCAAATACTTCCGTTTGTAAGTAGAGGTAGGCAACATGACGATATTTTATTGTAATAAATTTCGTCCCTGAGATAAACGGCACACTTCTCTGAGCATGTTGTCTGTACATAAAGAACTGCCTATTTTACAAAGAGTGTTAGTCTTGATTAACTGGATTTGGTGCAATGCGTGAAACACTAAGGGGGGGAAAAAAGGTCCTCAAGTTTTTATGGCAGTGTCTTTCAAAATATTGTGCATCACTCAGTGGTTGGTTGATACAGTTCCTTAGATATGCGCAGTTGGAGGTCACAATTACTGCATATTGCCTGATGGCAATTATTTGAGGTGATTGCAAGTATTTTCCACTGTTAACATTTACATCCATATGTTTACAGTGAAACAGTGAGAACTGGGTGTTATTTGTTGGGTTGAGGCAAAAAAATGTAAATCAAAGAGCCACTTGACCTGTTTTTTGTTGTCACAGTAACTAAGTATTGAATGCTATGAAGCTAATTAGCTAAGTTGGACACTTTAGGCTTAAACTATGCTTTGAACACAATGAGCAAAATATGGTGTGTATTGCATTTATTTATATGGCAATTAATTGTCAGCTAAAGTTTCATGATTGACAGGCCGATTCTTGAACCCCTTCTGTTTGTCTTAACGTGGGAACGTCAATGCTTTTTTTGCAGAAGTATAAATCAGCCTTTGCAGGGGGCATACAGAGGAACTTAAGGGGCTTGAGATTATTTTTCCAGCATTAAGGGAAGCGTAGTGATTTGCGAAAAAGCTTGTAATGTTTTCCTCGTGTGTGAAAAGGTTTGTACCGTGCCAGGTATTTTGCTGTAGATCTTTAAAAGCTATGTCTCAACAGATTGTAGAGCAAAATATTGGATTTCTGCCCTTACTGACTCAGACACCACCATAAGCTCGTTATTTTAATCTTATGGAGTATGGCCATTTTTATCATAGTCTCTGATGGCTTTAATAGCATAGGTTAACCAAAGGCAATCTAACTTGAATAATACTACGCACAGCAACTCTCAGACAGATCGAGGGAGTTAGGAGAAATTTTACATGTCTAATGGAAACGTACAGGATTCCTTAACAAATTTTAACTTCAGGTTTAGGAAAGGATTTCACCGTACATGCACACACAGATATTTTGCATCTGGGCCGACTTTCTGATTTTTAAATTATCTCCAAGAACAGTTTCCTTTTTCTGTCCAGTTCTAGAAAAGCTTGAACACCTAAGAACAACTTTTAAGATCTCTACGTTCAAAAAATGCCCCTCACCTGGAAACCTATTTCTCCTTACTCTTCCGTGCCTTTTGAGTTTAGATTTTTTCCCTGATTAGTGAGACTGAATTTATAATTGTTACTTCACAGGCATCAAAAGGCAGAGCTTTGTTAGTTTACCTCTTGGTAAGCCCTCCTGAATAGGAATCTGCAAGAGGAAGGGGGTTTTTGGTAAGGCCCCTTGTTTTATGAGAAAAGGTCAGGATTTTTGGCATGAGGGTTGTTGGTAAGGCCCTCTGGTTTATAAGTAGATGACTAGAAAATTGAGGGTTTAGGGTAAGGCCCTCTAGGTTTATGGAGTAGAGAGGGTTTTTGGTAAGGCCCTCGTTTCTTGGAGAGTTGATAGTTTAGTTGAGGGTTGACGGTAAGGCCTTCTAGTCTAGAGATTTGAGGGTTGACGGTAAGGCCTTCTAGGCTAGGGGTTTGAGGGTTGATGGTAAGGCCCTCTAGGCTAGAGGTTTGAGGGTTGATGGTAAGGCCCTCTAGGCTAGAGGTTTGAGGGTTGATGGTAAGGCCCTCTGAATAGATAAGAGCTTGATTTTGTATCTCATTCCGCTGAGATGGCCATCCTCAACAGTGCAGACCAGAGTAGCTGTGTGGACCCCATCCATGCATCTGTCTGGAATGGATCTCTATTTTTATTTTTATTTTTTTCTTTTCGATCCACCTGTATCCCACTTTTCGCTGCTTACCTTCGAGTATCAAACTGGAATCACCAGGCTACATTGCGAGGGGCTATGCCACCGATGGGTTCCAGCCTTTGCCAGGTATAATGGTAAGGTAGCGTTTGCAGGTAATGGTAAAGAGGGAGATAATGAGTTACCCATTGGCTCAAAACTGACTCTAGCGTTTTGGAAAGAACTATTATTAGACTGAAAATTGGGGTGGGGGATAAATATGGCACCGTTAATGTCTGGCAGTGTTGGCGTCTTAAGTACATCCTCTAAATTGGTGAAAATGTAGATTGGTTTTGGGGGGGTGGGGAGTGAGAAACGTTCAGTTGTATCTTAATGGGTGCTCCTTTTGTCTTTTGTGCCCATGTGTCTTAATGTGAGGGTGTGGATGGTTGTCAGTAGCTTAACCGGTAATTCCCTTCTAGAATGTGTGAGAGAGAGCGTGAGTGTGTGTGTGAGAGAACATGCGACGTCCCCAAATGGGTTTGAAAATAGCTGGATACTTTGTGGCAGGGCCTGGCCGATTACATTGGTTGACAGGCTGGCATTAGTGTCCTGCGAGTCGCACTAATAATTCACGACTTGTTTTTGTTGAAATGACCAGGCATTGTTAAAGAGACTAAGCTAACGGTTAATTCATTTGAACATGACACCGTTATGGATAAAAGTAAATATTCAAAAAGCGCCCAAACCTGACTTGAACTCTTATTAAAAAAGAAAAGAAATGTATGAAAATTCATTAACAAAAACTAATGAAACAGCTAGGAATGCTGGGAATCCCTGCCCACTGTTACAATAATTATTTTACACTTTGTGAGTTTCTGCTGTTATTATGTGCTAGTTTTGAACTAAATGTGCCAGGAAAGCCATGTTTAACTCAAACTATTGGAGTCTATTATTATTATTATTATTATTATTATTATTATTATTATTATTATTATTTTATTTATTAAATTATCTTCTGATTCTTTCAGATTCTTGAACTCTGCAAGATTGATATCGGTCAGGCCCTACTTTGTTAAACCCTTTTCATTTGCACAAGTTTTTAGATATGCATTGATGTATAATTCAACAATAAAGGGTTTTTTTCCCTTCTAGGTTTGTCATTTCTCATTAAACAGCATGCATGAGCTCATGCATACGGCTTGAACGAAATGCAGGTTGTTTGCCTTTTTTAAGACTTCTGCTTGGCATTTAAATGCATACGTTTTCATTTTAGGCTCAATAAATATTCATCAGTGCAGGTTGTGCCAAGCTGTTGAAATGTACATGTTTTCCTGAAGGCCCGATGGTCATCAGCTGGCATGAGATCCAAACAAATCTGTTGTGGTTTAAGGCCAAGAGGAGAATTCATACACTGAGATTGCAACACACACCAATACTAATAATTTGTTATAGTACTGAGTCATTTAAATCATTTTAATCGTCTATTGTAATTATACAGCAGTGTAAGTATACTTAATACTGAACGGGTTCCTGTACACTTTCTTTAATGAAGGTGGACGTATTCTAGAGTTCTTTCACCTTAGAATAGGCCATTCAGTTCTGGTCTTCCTCAGCCTTTGTCAGTACCAGCATCTAATAATGGCTAAGTGCATTTCTTATGTTACTGCTTGAAGATGCAGTTTGCTCCTGGTTGTACCCAGGTGTGAGAGCGGTTAAGGATAAAAATGCTCCGGAGTTCCTTTTTCATCTCCGACTGTGCCCACAGCTTGAGTTCATGTAATGATCATAGGATAACAGTTGTTGCTCCATGTGGATGTGGCGCTGGAGGACAGTAATGATGCAAGCCTGTGGTTATAACTCTGTAATTAGCAAACATTTTTTGCTAGTTACACACAAGGCTGTGTTTTGAATACATCATAGCCACTGTAAATTGAATTAGTTGCCTTGTCAATCTATGTTTGACTACTTTTTAGTAATAAAAATACATAAACAGGACAAGGTTCCTGGTTAGTGACTTGCAGCACAAGTGATTTTTGCTACCTCACAACTGTCACTTAACTGAGGTAAGCATGCGCTTTCTAATGGCTGTATGAACTTGCGTGTGCGTCAAAAGGTACCTCCAGGTAAGAGACCAATAAAACAATACTGAACCATGCATTCCTCCTCCTCACTGTCTTCTTTTTCTCTCTCACTTTCACTTCTTTTTTTCCCCCCTTCATCCTCTTTCTCTCCCTCTCTACCTTTTTGCTCTCTCTTTCTTTTACATTTTCCTGCTCGTTAGCTGCCTACAAGCACGCAGACGGTAAAAAGATTGACGGGCGGAGAGTTCTCGTGGATGTGGAGAGAGGTCGCACTGTGAAAGGGTGGCGCCCCCGTAGGCTTGGTAAGGCACTGCTGATCTCTGTGGATTAGTTTATTTGCTGATCAACCTTTTTTTATTTTTTTTTTTATTTTTATTTATTTTTATTTTTTTTCCCTCAATATGGTTTTAAATAACTTCCTTAGCTTTTTGTTTTTGAAGAAGTATGTTGGTAATTATTTCTGAAGCGGTCAGATTTAAAGGTCCCATGTCATGTGTTGAGCAGTTTGTGTGTAAACGTTTAGTTTCCAAATGTACCACACGCTCTCCAGTCCATGCAGTCCACACAATGAAACTAAGCTGCAGAAACAGTTTTTACTTTGTGTTTTTGTGATATAACATCTATTTACCCACACGGTCCTATTCAGTGTGCGGTATTCTACCTCTACCCGTTCATGCTGAAGTTTATGTGGGAGTTTTCTGCTTGGACTGCTTTTGCTTTAAATGAGGCAATATAGGGTAGCCAATCAGAACAGAACACATTTACATATCACTTTTAAAGGCACAGTAACGTGTTTATTTTTAACTTTCTTTATCTTTTAGTCATGTAAAAACATGGTTGTGGTAAATCAAGCCTCACAAATGCTTTAAGACCTTTTAAACATGGCTTTTGTCTACATATTCCTTCTGTGTGTAGGTCATGTAGTTAATCTGTGGCTTTGATTTGTAGGTGGAGGTCTGGGTGGTACCAGAAGGGGCGGTGCAGATGTCAACATCAAGCACTCGGGCAGAGATGACACTTCACGATATGATGATCGACCTATTGGGGGGTGAGTATGGAAGGGTGGTGAGATGGGACAATCTTTCATCATAAGTGGGTGGAGCTGAAGTGCTGTAAGCTGAATAGGAAAAAATGAGTTTAATTCACTTTTTCAAAAAAAATGGGCCCTTTTACATATCAAGAACGTCTTGTATTTACCTATTGATCAAATCTCATGGCAGATAACTTGACAATTATTGAAAGATAATTACAGCATATTAATCATTTAATCTTCTTCACAAAATACTTGTATTATTGAAATAGAAAACTGAAATATTTTAGAATATAAAAATCTACATTAGCATTATGAATGAATGTAGAACTCAGAATCACACTGCTGTGGTTCTTTTCTCATTGCAGTGACCGAGACCGTGAGCGTGACCGCCGCGAGCGCAGCCGGGACCGTGACAGAGAAAAGGAACGTGGGGAGCGTCGTCGATCTCGCTCCAGGGAGCGCCGCCGGCGCACCCGGTCCCGCGAGCGCGAGAGGGGGATCGGGGCAGGCGGGGAGGAGGGCGCCAGCAACCGGCGCAGGGAGAGAGAACGGGAGAGACCGGAGGGAGAGGGCAAGAGCCGAGAGAGGAGCAGAGACCGCGACAGAGAGAGGGACCGCAAGAGGAGGAGCAGGAGCAGGGAGAGGAGGAGGGACAGAGAGAGGGGGAAAGGAGCCGAAGGAGGAGAGGAGGGTATGGTGGGCATGGCGGACGGCATGGGAGAGGGAGGAGAGAGGGGCATGGAGGACCCCAGCGGAGGAGAGCTGGGACGAGGTGAGGAAGGAGGTATTGAGGGAGAGGAAAGAGGGAGGGACAGGGATAGAGAGAGGGATCGGGACAGGGACAGGAAGAGAAGTCACAGGGATAAAGACAGGGACAGGGATAGAGAGAGGAGGAGGGACCGGGACAGAGACCGCGAGCATAAACGAGACCGGGGTGACCGTGAACGAGGAGAGCGACGGGAGGATAGACATGCCTCTCTGCTGCCACCTTCTGGAGATCACGAAGGATTGGGTAACGGAGGTGAAGAAGGGGAAGAATCCAACCCGCCGCAGTCCGAAGAAGGCTTTCAGGACGGGATGGGCATGATGATGGACCAAGACTCCATGCAGTCTGGAGAAGGTTATGCATCTAATGAAAATGGTTACAGGATGGAGGCCCAGGGTGATGAATACTAAGTACGTTGGGGGTCGCAGTCCACACTCTAAAAGTAGATGTGTTTAAAAACGTGCAGAGCTAGTTTCCCAGAGCCTGGTCAGGGCTCCGCCTGGACTGAAAGATTTTCAGTGGTGAATCACCATTGCTGTCACAATTCACACATCAGCTTTGAGAGTGCGGCGTCTATGAATATTTTTTTTGTAGTAGTCTATCGCAAGAGTCATTTCAAGGTAGGATGTATTTAAGAATATGTTGGCTGTTGATCTGAAGACCTCACTACTAATGTCTCCCCCAGCTGCTTCATCGTGTACAGTTTGTTTTGCCTTTCTTACTATGTGGATCACTTTGCGCCGGCCCCTCCTCCAACCAGGGACAAAGATGTGTTTTTAATCAAGAATATGTTGCCATAGGTTCACAAATTGCTCTCTTTCCTTTTTTTTTGTAATTAGCTTTAATTGTTTCAGAAGAGTATGAATGCTCTGTGAACCTGTCCCTCTTGTGGCATTTTTTTGGGTTATGTTTTGCATCTTGGTTCTCTTTAATAAATACGCTAATGAAAATGTTCACGGCTTGTTATTCCAATATAGTATGCATAATATAAGTAAAAGGCACTACTACATACTGGTAAGTCTTGCAGGGGGTGGGCTTCCTGAAAATTGAGTTCATAAAGTTCTCATTTTACTGGTAGGGATGCTGTACAGGTTTAATGTACACAAGCCTTAGGACAGGTGTGCGGTGTATATTCATTCATTCATGCATTCATGCATGCATGCATGCATGCTGGGTAGTTTGTTAAGAGAGATAGAAATGGCCCAAAGCTGATATGGTTTCTAGTCCTGTGTTGTCCATGCTCTAAAACAGACTTTAACTCAGCCAGAGCTTGTTAACTTGCTGATTTGTTGGATCAGGTATGTTGGAACAGGTGGGATTACTTCTGGGCAGCGGACCTCCAGCATCAGGGCATTAGCTGAAAGAAATGGTTTGGCCAGCCTTGCTATAATAAGTGGCTTAGACCAGCATGGTCACCAGCAAAACCAGCATATGTTATCCTCAGGTTGCTGGTATGAGGATGAACCAGCAAGGTCCTACTGGGTGACCAGCTAGACTAGCACTTAGACCAGCATGGATTTTTTTTACCAATAATAAATGAAAGCAAATACACTCTTAAAGAACCATTTGCATGCTTAAGTGGTTCTACAGATTGATGGTGAATACATTCTATGTGGTACTATATAGCACCTTTTTGAAAAGGGTTCCATATAGCACCAAAAAAGGTTCTGCTTTTGTTATGGTGCTATGCTCATAACAGCAGCAGAACCCTTTTGGTAATTTAATCAGAAATATGAAGAGATGGTATAAATAAATGCATGATTAACCTCTTCAACTCCTTGAGACCACTGGTGGTTCCAAAACGCGCTTCGTCATTTTCTTCATAACTTTAATATTTCATAAGCTACATTCAAAAGGTGGGGGTCGTATGAGAGCTGTAACTGTCTTCTTTCCAGTCAAATAGATGGGTGATGTAATTTTAAACCCTAATAACAAAAGAAGCTGAATGTTTTTGTCTACTGAAAGTCGACCCATTTTTCCACAAATCTGGGCTATAAACCATAAACAGACGGCGTCTCTTCAGTGATCTGCTCTGTAAAAGTTATTTTTATAAAAAAAAAATACAAAGAGCATTTAAGATTTTTGGCTTTCAGCAGTAAATTGTAAGCATATAGCAATATGTATGATCATAAAACATTTTCTGGTAATTTGACAGGAGCTTTTACCAAAATAAAAATGTACATTAATTTCATGCAGTTACTGAATAATTTGCCTTATGATTTGGTTATGTGAATTCAGATGGAAAAACCAAAATATACCCTGGAGAATAAGAAGTACAATCGCAACCTTAGCGACACAATACCACAATATGCGAATAGTCAAAGCTGAAGAAATCAATAAATACATAAGAATTAAATTTTCTTTAAAGGGAGATTCTATTGATTATTTACAAAATCAATGTAATTAAATCACCTACATATGAAGTTATTCAGAGTATTTTGATAAACGCTTAATTCTCGAGTAACTTGGGTCCGCTTTGTTCACAGTGGCGGTGATGGGAACCAGACGTCTGAAGAGTTTAATTCTTCTATAAGCTCCTTTACATAAAGCTATTCCATATTAATGTTAACGGATGCACTGCACTGTGCCTCATTATTTTCTTTTCCATAGTTTTGAGAAGGTTTGACCTAAAATATATATTTTTTTCAAATTCATTTATGGCGGAGGGTTACATGCATGGCAAAATAGTCCCCAAAGGAAACTTCTTTCTTTCAGATTTGTGACTATTTTACCATCATCAACATTACAAAGCTCGGAAAACACGTGTGGGTTCACTGGTGGGTCTGGGTAGTAAATAAAATGTGTATAGTTGTGTTGTAGACGTTGTGACCCCCAGTTCCCATCACCACCACTGGGAAGACGTCTGTGAGTTTCTCTACAACGCACCGTTTCACGTCAAGTCACTCTGAATGCATCTGGTAACATCTCAGCCACTGAATCATGCAGAAAATTTGGAAAAAGTCGGTGGAGTTCCCCTTTAACTTCATCCTAAAGTGCAGCGTCCCAAGATCCGAGCGAAAAAGGCGAGCCTCCCGGGAGCCAATCACGTCGCTCCGCGCCTCTGACGCAATGTGCTGCGTCATCCGCCGATACCGACTCTGCGTGCTCGGCGCTACCTCCGCCGTGCAAAACCCGCGAGAAGTGAGAGACGCCGAGAGGGTTTTCCGTGAATTAGTTGCTGCACTTCTAGCTCCGGAGAGACGCCGAGAGCTGAGAGTCGATAGCCGAGAGGAAGCGCTGCAGCGCGGCTCCGTGCCCTCATGATGTCATCCTACTACCACCCGGGGAAGGAGGCGGCGGACATGGCGGCGATGAGCGAGCCGCTGTGCCTGGAGAGAGGTGAGGAGGTGGGGGGCGAGCATCAGATAAACCGTGCGAGTCCTGCGTCGGCTTCTCGTTCGAATTTGCCCGTTCCACCTTAAATGGTGCAGCAGTTACATGCTGCACCATTTAAGGTGGAACGGGCGAATTCGAATAAGAAGCTGATTTAGGCTCCGTCCGCGACTGGGAGGGAGTTCGTCACGTATTCATTGCTTTTGGCTCGGTGTGTGGGGGTCTCCCAGCCAACTGGGGGTCTCGGCCGTGGAGGCGCGGTCAGTAGTGGTCACTAGTGGTCACTGTGTGTTCATAGTAGTCACTGTGTGTGAATGGACACCGCCCGCCCGCGAGCACCTTGTGCTCATTCCCAGTGTAGCGTTGCGCTCTCTCTTCTGTGGGTTGGTCGGGTGATAATCTCAGTCCACTCGGATTACAACTGTGGGATTAAGGACCAGGAGATGGTCGAGAATTTGGTCATTCAGTTCGGCCACTGTCTGGTCATGTGGGGTGGATATTAGTCTGTCTTTGCCCACATTCGGTTATGCGGTTGTACAGCTGTGATGGTTTGACTGTTTTATTACACTCATTATATTAATACGCGTCTTTTTATTCAGTGCCGTATTTTGCGTTTGCTTTATTGGTTAATATTCAGCCTTCTCTTCTCTTCTCTTCTCTTCTCTTCTCTTCTCTTCTCCATCTTTGCTTTTGTCTACCACTCTCTTCTCTGTTCTTTCTTTCTCTCCCATCATCTCCTCTAATCCCCTCTCTTCTCATTTTCTTTCTTTTGCTCCTCTTTTCTTTTCTGTCATCTCTTTTCCGTACCACTTGTCTTAATCTCATTCGTCTTCCCGTTTTCTCTACTTCTCTCTTTTCATCTCTTTCTTTTCTCTTCCCCTTTCTTTTATCCTTCATCTTCTCTCTACTTCTCTCTTTTCCTCTCTGTGGCTTTCTCTTCTCTTCCGTTTGTCTCTTTTCTGTCTTTTTTTTCTCTCTGTCTTCTGTTTCACTGCCTCTGTCTTGCTCTTCTCTTCTCTGTTTGTCTGTCTCTTTTTCTGTCTCTCGCTCTTCTCTTTCACTTTCTCTTTCTCTCTCTCTCTCTCTCTCTCTCTCTCTCTGTGTGTCTCACTCTCTGACTCTGTCTCTCACACTCTCCCTGTCTCCATCTCTCTTTTTCTCTCTCTTTCTCTCTCTTACACACACACACTCGCTCTGTCCATCTCTTTCTCTCTCTCTCTCTCTTTCTCTCTCTCTCTCTTTTTTGTCTCTCCTCTTTTGCTGTTCTCTCTCTCCTTTCTTTTTCTCTCTCACTCTGTGCCTCTGACTCTCTCTCGCTGCCTCACTCTCTGACTCTCTGTCTCTCACACTCTCTCTGTCTCCATCTCTTTTTCTCTCTCTTTCTCTCTCTTACACACACACACTCGCTCGGTCTCATCTCTTTCTCTCTCTCTCTCTCTCTCTCTCTCTCTCTCTCTCTCTCTCTTTCTGTCTCTCCTCTTTCGCTGTTCTCTCTCCTTCCTTTTTCACTCTCTGCCTCTGACTCTCTCTGACTCTCTCTCTCTGACTCTCTCTCTCTCTCTCTCTCTCACTCACTCACTCACTCACTCACTCACACTCTCACTCTCTCTCTGTAGATGTGTGCAGGGTGATTGAGTTGTTGGACAGGCTGCAGAGGAGTGGTGAGCTGCCGCCTCCTAAACTGCAGGCGCTGCAGAGAGTTCTTCAGAGCAAGTTCTGCGCTGCTATCAGAGAGGTGGGATTCCTCCACACACACACACACACACACACACACCTGCTGCTGAACTGCTCCTCTTTCTCCGACAGAGCACGACACACTGAGTGAGCTTGGCTCCAGACTCTTATTAGTGGTCTGGAAATGTTTGTCACGTGTTTAAAAACTAGTAGTGTGGATCTCTGACCTCACCATGGTTTGATTCCTTTACAAATCTCACATATCACCATGATTTGATATGACTTGATTATTATTATGGTTCTTTTGAAAAAGAAACAGTGAATCTTTATCAATTTAAAACTTTAAATCTTTAAAATTTTACTGTGATTTGATTCTCTTTGATTAGGTTGTGATTGGAAATTAATGAATGCCTCATCAAATTTTATCCTTCTTTGATTTAATCGTGTGATTTGTTGGGAAATGATTCAGTGCGTCTCGAATTTCACAATGATTCGATTAGATCATGATTCTTTAAGAATGAATCAGTGTCATGAAATATCAGATTTCACAATGATTCGTTTCACTTTGCTTACAAATGTTTTGAAAACAACTGAGTGACTCTTAAAGTATCAAATATTACCATGATTCAATTCGCTTAAGATTCTTCTGGAAATGAATCAATGCATCATTAAAAGTCATATTTTGTCCATGAATTAGTTTGATTATTATTCTCTTTGAAATGAATCAGTGCCTTATGAAATCTCAAATTTCACCCTGGTTTGATTCGATGTGATTATGGAATCAATTCAGTGAGTCATGAAATATCCGATTACTGAATGATTTGATTTGATTAGGATTCTTTAGAAAATGGTTCAGTGGATCATGAGATATCAAATTTAACCATGATTAGATTAGCATATAATTCTCTTAGAAGTGAATCAGTTCCCCATGACATACCAAATTTCACCCTGATTTGATTATGATTCTTTAGAAAATGATTAAAATTTTCATGACTGGATTTGATGGTTGTATTTGATCAGATAACTTTTTACCATGTGACCTGAGGCACTGAAGCTGCTGTCCGTCTGTGATTAATTACCGCTTCATTTTCCTCTTCAAGTTGCTGGACGTTGCCCGTCAGATCCCAGTGGACAGTAAGCGGCGTGTGGGCGGGAGCGGTTTTTGAATAGAGTCACTGATTTGACTGCACTATTCTTTCTTCCTCCCACACTTTCACAGTGACTGCTGCTTCTACAGACCTCCTCTGCACTCCTCCCTCTCTGACTGGAGCACGTGCACGTTTCTCCTCCCAGCTCTGTTATTCTCCTCTCCACAACTCTCCCACATTCTACCTAATGGCACTGTCCAGCTAAGCGTGGGCCATATGACAAAATATAACACTGTGATACTTGGAGGACATTATCACGATGTGTGATATGTGTCACGTGATTTACTTTAGCTGAGGTTTGAGAACAATTTGAGGTGGTGAAAATGCACCAGTAACGGCAGAACCAGCAGTACAGTTAATTAATTCACTGTTTGCAAAAATAATCGATTTAGGAAGGAACAGGAGAAAAAAGTCAAATAGTAAAACTATTTTTGTTTTTTTTTTTTGTTTTTTTGTTTTACATTTTTTTTTACTTTACATTGTTTTGGCCTGACAGAGACATTGTCATCACATCCCAGGTGGTTGCTAAAGTGTTAGTAGATCATTGCTATGGGATCCCAAGTAGTTGGTAAGGTGTTGCTAGGCCATCACTGTGGTGTCCCAGGTGGTTGTAAAGGTGTTGCTAGGCCATCGCTATGGGATCCCAGCTGGTTGTCAGGGTGTTAGTAGGTCATTGCAATGGGATCCCAGGTGGTTGATAAGGTGTTGCTAGGCAATCACTATGGTATCCCAGATGGTTGTGACTGCGACCCAAGAAAACGGTACAAAAGAAATAAGTGAGCTCACCTAATAATAATAAAATAATGGATGATATCAGCAACTTGTTACTGCACAGTTACCTTTAGGGAGTTACTTTATTTATGCAGATACATAAATATTTATAAAACATAGAAATTGTTGCTACATATACCTGGCTTAGCATTACACAGAAATATTACATTTATTGTTTTAGGATTACAAATGCAGTAAAATCAAATGAATAAAGGTATTTCAGCACAGTAGCCCAACATCGCCTCAACATTCAGCACTTTCCATAGTACAATAAATACTTACAACAAATACTTATCATATACTTAAAATCGTAACGTGATGTAATTTATCACAATAATATTTTGTCATATTGCCTGCCTCTACTTCCAGTTTCACAGAACTGTTTTGTTTTCACACTGTTTACAGATGATTGGCTGATGCACAAGTATGCGAATTGTTCTTGCACTTTTGTTACCAGTTTAGACGACTGCCAACCACCCCACCCACACTCAGTCCCACAGCTCAGCTGTTTGAATAATCTGTCTTTCTGCGTATAATATGCGTTTTCATGCTCTGTCTTATAGGTATATGAACAGCTGTACGACACCCTGGACATTGTGGGTGGACCTGAGGTCCGTGCTCAGGCCACTGCTAAGGTAAATACTTTGCCACAGTTCTTTTTGCAAAGGTCAGTATCGCACTAACGATTAACAAATTATATATTTATAGTTAGTTATACCATGGGCAGATTTGTACTTGTGATCATAAATACTGGTCAGTGCTATTATATCTTCAAAAGTATTTGGACAGCCATTTTAATTGAATTTGCTTTCACAGTAGTCATAGAAAGCAATTTCTGACTATTTTTCAGGTTTTTGATTTGCACAATTGACAGAGAACTAGATTTTATAATTTATACAAGGGTTTTTATTGTGTAAATGCTAATTTTAATTGTCTCAGTTGTACAAGACTGTTTGATGTGAGGAAAGCTTTGGTTAAGCTCTCTGTTTTATCTCAGCATGGCCATCTTTGTAGAGAAGTGTGAATTGTTTTCACAGCAGGGGGTTCTCACTCCTCCCCTTTTGCTCCTCATTGCTCACTGGCAGCTCAACACACAGTCACAACATTTCACACACAGAGAGACAACAGTGTCCTAGTTTGTTATAGAGAGAAGCACTTTCAGCACAACATCAAACTGATGGTCTTTGTGAGTAGAAAGCCTGGAGAAAAACTCCAACCAGACTGCACTAAGATTTTTATTAAGTACAGAGGTGGAAACATCAAAGTCTGGGGTTGTTTTTCTTACAATGGTTTCAGAGAACCATTCAATGTGTGTTTATTGTTGAGATCCTGATCTCAGAAGGCATTTTGGATGCTAACCTGCAGACGAAACTACTGAACAGAAACCAGTAAAACACAACAGCCACCTTTTGAAAGAAAAAGAAAATGACAGTGTTGGAATGACCTGTTAAAGAAAAACGCCACTTGTTTTCACATTTTGTTTCCAAACACAGTGAACTTAATCTAAAGTATGGCACAGATGTCCAAATACTTTTTGGTACAACTGTATTTTCAGCACTCTACATCTCTCTTTCTGCACATTGCTGAACAGTCTTCTGCAGTCACCATTTAGCATTTCTCATTCCCTTCTTTAATCTATGACGTCGTTTTTGCCTCTCCCTCGTCAGGCAACAGTTGCAGCTTTCGCGGCCAGTGAAGGCCACGCCCACCCACGTGTGGTGGAGCTGCCCAAAACGGACGAGGGTCTGGGCTTCAACATTATGGGAGGAAAGGAGCAGAACTCTCCCATCTACATCTCTAGGGTGATCCCTGGAGGCGTGGCTGATAGGCAGGGCGGACTGAAGAGGGGCGACCAGCTGCTGTCTGTCAACGGAGTGGTATGTAGAGTGGCAGTCATGGGGCGACATTTGTGATGGGGCAAGGTGGAGCATTTGCCCTCGCTTAAGTGTTCGTCAACTCACTTTAATTATAGAATATTGACATTTGTCAACACTATCTACCATATATAGAGACTGATCTCCATGACGCTAGGGGGCAGCCTGCATTCTGATGCGACGAGTTTTCATGCAATGCAATGTTTGTTAATGTTTAATTGTTTATACTTTGACCAATTTAGGTAATTTTTCTAAATAAATAAAATAAATATAATAAATTTATACGTGCGATATAGTTGACTGAGATGGCTTGACCCCCCCCAACCTTAGTCTGAAATGTCACCCGTGGTGGCTGTGATGATTTGATTTTTGCCTTCACGTCTGCGGTTCACAGAGCGTTCCACTGTTCTCTGTTCACTCAGTATTTCCCACGTTCTCCTGTGTGTAGAGTGTGGAGGGGGAGCACCATGAGAAGGCAGTGGAGCTGCTGAAGGCTGCGCAGGGTTCGGTGAAGCTGGTGGTCCGCTACACCCCCAAAGTCCTGGAGGAGATGGAGGCCAGGTTTGAGAAGCTGCGCAGCGCCAGGCGGCGCCAGCAACACACCAGCTACGCGTGAGTGTTTCTTTCTGTCCAGTTTGGTTAACTGAGCACACACAGCAAACGCCTACAGAGAGCTGAACTCCTGTCTACACCTCAGTGACTGCAGCAAACTACTGGTACCTTCATTTTACACTGTTGTAATCAGGGACATGGGAGGTAGAGGGGAAGGGGCTGCAGCATCCCCAAATTTCAACGACTAAAAACAATAATGGAAAGTAACAGAATTTTAAAATGTTGAGCAAAAGACCCATCTGCACGTTTTGTAGGGTGAGGTTGAACCACTTCCCTCGCCAGCTTTTGGCCATAATATTGTTTAAAAAATTGTTTTACAAACATAAGATTTTAAAAGTTCGTCATGTACATGCTGTTCAACCTTCAGCACTCCCTACTTACTAATATGCATTTTTCTAGATTGACCTTTTCGAATCTAGACTTAAGCCCAGCTGCTCGCACACTGTATGTTGTTGACACCACAGTTGTCCAGATCTCGTTCAAATACAGCTTTTAAATGGCCAGGTCCATATAAACAAGTTATTTCTAGCTACTGTGAATTTGTTTATCTCAGAAGCATATCAAGTCTGAAGTACTCAGTGTGGCCAAAAGTATGTGGACATCCTAATTGTTGAGTTCATCCACACCCATTGCTAACAGGTGTATATAGTCAAGCACATAGCCATGCAGTCTTGATAGACAAACACTGGCAGTAGACTGAGTTGTACAGAGGAGCTCAGTGACGTTAAACATGGTACTGTCATAGGATATCACGTCTGCCACAAGTCAGTTTATGAAATTTCTGCCCTGCTGGATCTGCCCCTGTCAACTGTAAATGTGCTTTCAAAAATAAGATTCTAATATAATACTTAAAGTCTTTTTTTCCTCATTCACAGGTCTTTAGAGTCTCGAGGTTAACCAGTCCAAACCCCCTGGTTAGCCTGTGGACCACCATCATCCCTCAAACCTCCAATGGGAAGACAGAAGACTAGCGCCGACGTGGAGAAGAGCGTAGACTCGACTTAGATACGTTATTTGTATGTTAGTGGAACATTCCCAAAACAGTAGACCTCAAATATACTCTTTCCCCCGTCCATCTGTAGGGAGAGACTACATAGTGTATCAGTCTGTCAGAGTGATTTTTAAACAAAAAAAATCTGTGTATGTGAAAACACCCTGTTATTTATTGTTCAGTAATGTTAGCAAAGTACATAGACAAACTATAGCAACGAGCTGATGTGAATGCAGCTTATTCACGGATCAGAAGCATGCAGTTCCACTCCTCCAAGGGCTCTGTGTGTGACTTAAGCTGCTCTGCGGCTAAAGGATTTTAGCAAAGGAACGACTGCCTTGAGGGAGTTGTCAGTTATTGCTGAAATCCTGCTCCCAGTTCATTTACATGAGTTTTCAGACAAGATCCATAGACTATAGCAATCTCTGCAGTTGTGGCTGTGTTTCTGAATGATTGAAGTCAGTATTTACCAATCTATTTTTCAGGGACCTCCAGAAAGTGCACATTTTTCCTGTATGGCAGCTCCCAAAAGACCCGAACCGGGTATTTTGAAGTGTTTGTGACTACCTGGTTCACGTTAGTGCTGAATGATATTGGGGGAAAAACTGGAGAAAAAGGAAAAACAATGGAACTAATTATCACTTGAGCTATAAGAAACAGTGTGTTTGGGGTGGGGATTAAAAGGGCATCTGCCAAATTTTCAATATCTCTGCATAATTTAAATGGTTAAGATGTAAATAGTCGGTCAGAGTGGTTTGGTGTGAAATGCTCCGTTCTAGAGAAACTTACCCTGTCACTATTGTTCACAGTGATGGTGATAGGAACCAGACGTCTGAAGCTTTTAATGTCTTCAACGATGGGCAGAAAGGGGTACAGTTCCTGTCTGCTTAAGTCTTGCGTCTTCCACCTCACCCCACCCATGTCTCCCGGGGCAACGGCAGCAGATTGTGCAGAAAAACCTGGCAAGACTTAAACTTTCTGTTAAAATCAGCTACATGGAAAATGAGTGTTAAGGCTCCAAATAGTCATGAACAATAGCAGTCACAAAAATGAAATGTAATAAAATGTGGCAAAATAGTTGCTGAAGTTGGTTAGTGGTGTAAATGGAGCTTGGGTCTTTGTTGTCTTTATAATGGGGGAGTAAGCCCCCCACCCTCTGGCTCGCGTGACCACATTCCTGGAAATATTTTAATATGGCGACTCCTGCTTCGTGAATCCGCTCTGATGTCTCTTAAAGATACATCTCACAAAGTTAGTATGTGAAATGGTTATAAATACGCTGCCTGATGACTGATGCTCCGTTCACATGTTTTCAGTGGATGGATGACAGCAAACTGGAAAGTTCTGCCACTGCCAGTAACAACAGTCCGTGGACTGCAGCGGTAAACAGAACACTCCATCAAGAGTTCACTTTTCCCAACTTTTGCTGTTGACTGTTGATTTCCTGGGAGCCATGGATGTGTTTAATTCCAGACTAACTCAGTACTGTATAACAAAGTTAAGAGTACAGGACTCTCCTGCCTTTTTCCATCTTAAAAATGGTCTACACTCATAAATCTCACCTCTGATAATCATCCATTTTTGCCAGCACCAGGATCACCATGCCAAAGGTTGCGTGGCTTCATGCCAAAGTCTACCGCTTAGAGTTTTTGGTAGATGTTTTGTTATAGAGAGATTGTGGCCTACAACATAATTTTAAAACACTTGCAGGACGTTTTATTGCAAAATGGTACCCAAAGAAAATATTACCATCATCAACATCACATATAAAACGTGTAGGTTCACTGGTAGGTTTGGAAAATAAATAAAATGGCTATATTTGTGTCGTAGACATGGCAACCCCTGGTTCCCATCACCACCACTGTAAAGAAATCTGACTTGGTAAGTTTCCCTAAAATAACCCATTTCACAAAACACTCTGAATGACTTTGTTTACATCTCAATCATCGAATTATCCATGGGATTCCTGTTTAAGGCTGTAGAGAATAGAGGATATATTCTGCATAGAAGTGGGGAGAATACAATATTGCAGTTATATTGCTGTATATTGTGTTTGCAATATATCTGCCAATATATAAAAAAATTGTAGCTTCTGATAAGATTAATTAAGAATTAGCCTGCACTGATTATGATTATGTATTTTGGCCTTAAACAAATGAACTTGCATATTGCATCAGTTCTGCGGTGTCAGTATAGTGAAGGATGATGTTGCACAAACGGTTAAAAGTTCACCAGAAAAATCTGATTAACCCCAAGCATCATGAAGATCAGCCAAGATTTGATTCTGTGGTTTTGCACTGGAGCTGTGAGGCTAACATAGCAGACGATTTTGGGTGGCATAGACTTCCATTGCTTGTTAGCAACATTAGCTTCGTGGCTCCAGTGCCAAACTGAGGAAACTGCAGATACCAAACATGTTTTGGCTGATTAGCTGTATTTGAGGTCAGGAGGAAACTGTCTAAATTAGATTTTTCAGTGAAACATTCCTTTGAGGAGCAGTAGGCCTCGTTCAGGCGTGTTGGGAGCTGGGATGGAGCAAACGTGGACAATCTGATCAGGTTCCTGAAAACTGGTTTAGGAAAGGCTGCTGTAGATGAAGTCATATCACTTCATGTAAGACTACAGTAGGGGTAGAAGACCGTTCTGGAGTTAAAGAACTCGTCCTGACCTCACGCTGGTTGAACATATAGCTTTTCCTCAGCACTGTATGCCCAAAGATACCGTACCGATCCTCAGAAGAAGGAACTCTGTGTGCGTGCGTGTGTGAGTCACTGAGTGAGCGAGTGGGTGAGTGAGAGCGTGAGAGAGAAAAGTGGTGCGTTAATACTGTAAACGTGTTCAGTGCTAGGATTATGAATGTCCCTGTGTCAGCAGGTTGTCTAACCCTGTGTTATGGAGCTGTTACATGTGGCTTTGAGCTGCTGGTCATGCCTGTTTAGATATTCATGAGCTTTTATTTATTTATTTATTCATTCATTCCTACAATAAAATCGACAACGTTATCTTACAGTGCATTCGTTTGCTTTTTGTCTGCCTTGGGACGCTGTGCAAAAGTTTTAGGCACCCGAGAAAGCTGTTTATCTGGGCTGTAAGAGTATTTGTTTAGGAAAAACAGTGATATTGAATGAACACCAGTAATATTAGTACAATAAGAGGTGATTTTGTGTTGCATTTGACCATAAAACTACAGCAATTAAAACCCAAATTGCTTTGATTACATTTGTGCACTTGAAGGCACTTGAGGGAAAGATAATCACCCTATTGCAACAATATAGTCAGCTGCCAGTCCCACCCTTCAGGCCCTAATAATAGAGAATAATAGCATAATATCCAAAATAATATGCTTTATCTAACTCGATAAGCCTTGACAGTGTGTCTGCTTCAAAAGTGCTGCACTTCTGCCTTTCTCTCTCTCTCTCTCTCTCTCTCAATATGCAATATTAGATAATATACTTTTTTTATTTTATACGTACACACACACACACACACACACATATATATATATATACATGCTAAACATTTTGAGACGCTACTCGGCGCTCTAATTGGATAGATTCTGACTGGCTGGCTCTCCAATTGCATGTCGGTGTGTTGCTATGGCAACTGTAAACTTTCTAGACTGGATAAAGGTAAGGTAAGCAATACGCTTTGTAATGTTATTCTAAAAACAACAACAAAATATAAATGTTAAGGTTCTATCTTTTAGAAAATATGTATTTTGTATTTTTTACGTTCAATACATATTAAATATTTATTGCTCTCTCTCTCTCTCACACACACACACACACACACACACGTGTGTATGTATATATATATATATATATATATATATATATATATATATATATACATACATATAATAAAACTACAAATTAAACATTTTGAGACGCTTTTAAACTCGGCGCTCTCATTGGACAGATTCTGACTGGCTAGCTCTCCAATTGGACGTCGGTGTGTTGCTATGGCAACTGTAAACCGTCTAGGCTCTGTGGTAAAAGGTGAGAAGTTTTCCACTCCGCCGGCTGCGGCCGAGCTACACATATTGATTTTTCACATACTGTGTATTTTATTTGCGATGTAATGTACTCTTTCTCAGACTCTGTGTTTCTTTAGCTCCACATCAAGAAGTTCCTGTTTGTATTTGTGCCTTTAATCGGTGCTGTGAGGCGAATGGACCGTTGGTGTACAGAAAGGCCGGGCCTCGCTCAGACCTCAGCGGCCATCGGTCACGCTTATGTACAGCCGGCGCCCTTCCTCGCCGAGAGCTGTAAGGTGGGTTATTTTTCCTTAACATGACATTCTTTGTGTTATATTTAATAGTTCATAGGCTTTGGCTCTATACTTCCTCACATTAATTTATTTATATATGCATAATTCAATCATTGAGATGTAGACAAACTCATTCAGAGCGGTTTGGTGTGAAATGATTCATTGCAGAGAAACTTACAGACTCTGATGTCTTTACAGTGGTGGTGATAGGAACCAGGGGTCGCAACATCTACAACACAGCCATTTAATTTTTTATCCAAAACCACCAGTAACCCAGTGTCTCATGAGTGTTTGTGTGATGTTGAAGATGGTAAAATAGTGGTAAATCTAGAAACAAAAAGTGTTACTGGGGACTGCTTTGCCTTATGACACCCAACATGTATCTGTCCACTATTAATGGATTTTAAAAAGCACATTGGTGCCCAAAGGTTTACCTGAAAACTGTCTTGGAACAGTTGCTTGCTCACTTACAATAATACATACATACATCATCTAAACCGCTTATCCTTCTGGGTCGCGGTGGGGTGCTGGAGCCTATCCCAGCTGTCATTGGGCAGAAGGCAGGATACACCCTGGACAGGTCACCAGTCCATCGCAGGGCACTTACAATAATAATAATAATAATTTTTATTTATATATCACTTTTCATGCCGGTGGCAGCTCAAAGTGTTTTACAGACAGGTGATAAAACATAGTTATACAAGAAATCATTAGTATTTATTTAGAATCAGAAGAAAATTAAAAAGATTAAATTAGAAGATAAACACCACGAGACGTAGAGTTTTAGTTAAATGCTAATTTAAAGAGATACGTTTTTAGGTGCTTCTTAAAGGTGAGCTCTGAGTTTGACTGTCTAATAAAAGGTGGAATTGAGTTCCACAGTTTAGAAGCAGAATAACTGAAAGAGTCTCTCCATGTTTTCTGTATTTTACAGAGGGTATCTGTAGAAGGCCACTCTCTGCAGATCTTAGATTATGTGCTGGAACATAAACAGGCAAACACTCTGTGCTGTAAGCGGTGCTTTAAGGTCATTTTGAGCTTTAAAAACTAGTAGCAGAACCTTAAAATCTATCCTAAATGATACAAAGACAAGTCAGTTGGCATCCGGTCTTGTAACTAGTACACAGTTACATCTAAACATATTCCAACAACATTATTGAAGACAAAGAATTCCTATTTTAACTGAGGGACTTACAGAATGTATGGAACTTTAAAGGCTGGTGTAAAAAAAGGGTTAAAATTACTCACATATTGAAGTGGCATTTAGTTACATATCACCAAGCTTGTTTTAGGGTCTTGTACCTACTGATGTTTTTCAGAAGAGCCTAGTTTAAAAGAATCTGATTCCCTGAAGAGCTCAGATCTGTGATTTGACTTTCTAAACCTTGTGATAGTATTTTAGGTGGTTTAGCTTTTAGGGCTGTCAGAATTACTTGATTAAATTGGATTAAAAATTACCTTCTTGAAAATCATTTAGCAGTTTGCATGATTATAATCCATCAGCTGGGCCCGGAATGATGTGAATGTTTCCCAGTCATTCCTATTGTCCTATTGTTTTTCCTATAGGATGCCCCTTTCCCCCCTCTTCTCCAGCGGCAGAGCCGGACACCTGGACACATACATTATAATCTCACCTCCCACACAGAACATGACCACAAACCCATCAAGGGGCCACTGGAAAACCTCATCTACTGTAAAGCCTCTCCTCACTGGAACACGCACTTCCTGAACGAACTGGCTCAGAGGGTAGGATGTGTCTGTGGGTGTTTATTATAATGAAAAACTTATATTTGTACAGCACTTTTCAGTAAAGATGCTTACAGTGGCAGAGAACATAAGCATGAACTAACAAGTGTGAGAACATCAATCACAACAAAAAGAGACAACAAATGAGATGAGATGTTGTGTCATCTCTCTTAAAGAGGTGAGGCAGCAGATTTAATGTGTGAAAATGGTGTAGTAATGAAATTAAAGCAAGTTATGTATAAGATAGGGTCTGTTTAAGGGGGAGAGCATGAGAGATGAGCAGTTTAGAGTTGTGTGCAAAAGTTTGAGCACCTCTGGACATGTTTTGTTGATTTTCTAAGTGAAAATAAGTGAACACATCCTCCAAAGAGAACACACTTCTGCACATTATGATGCACAGTTACTGTTTATGTGCTGAATTTAAAGTATTAAAAAAAACATAAAATTTAGCTGGTGCAATAGTTACAGCAAATTTAATATTTTATGTTTTTTTCCAATACATTAAACTTGACAACAAATGAACAGAAATTGCACACTAAAATGTTTCCTGTAGTGGATGTGTTAACTCATTTTTCCTTATAAAATAAACAAAACATATTTTTTTTGTTTGCAAATACTGTATGAGTGTTTTTATATGCCATTATATGTGTGTGTGTGTGTGTGTCCATACTGGTGCCCTGATGCAGCTCCGAGATTGCCAATCTATCAGGCTTGTTTCTAAGCCTGTCAGTGAGATGCAGGACCGCTACAGGGGTCATTTAGCACCAGATGAGCCTCTAGTGGACCACTACAGGACCCTGGTGGTAAGAGAGTCAAGGAGGTGGGGGATTCAACACTTTTGTGTCTGGAGGGGGGTGTTGTGCTGGGATTAGGTTATAATAATAATAACTTTATTTATGTAGCACTTTTCATACGTCAAAATACAGCTCAAAGTGCTTTAAACACAAAGGCAAAAAGCATAAATGAAAAAAACATTACAGAAAAGGCAAAAATTGAAAAAAGGTAACGTGAAGAATAATTACAAAAGATGAAATAACAAAGAAATGTGCAAAACAACCACATAAAAAGCATATAAAAAGGCTAAAGTAAAAATATTTGTTTTAAGCTGGTTTTAAAACTGCTAACTGAAGATGCTGGCTGTACGTCCTGTGCAGAGGTCGGCAACCCAAATGTTAAGAAGAGACATTTTGTCCTTTCAACAAAAATAAAACCACTTTGGGAGCCACAACATTTTATGTCCATTTTACCATCCTGGTTGTAAATATGTCTCAGTATGTGCTGATGTGCTAGTACAGGCTAAAAATATAAACAAAAACACAGACTTACTTTGCTCTGCTTTAAGCTTTAGCTCAGCTATAGCTGCTTTTCTTGCATCTCCAGCGCGAAACCTTTCCGCAAAAGTAGAACAATTTCTCATAAAACGTCTTTTAACGATTGTTGAAATGTCCGATTTTTTAGCCTCTCTTTCCCCAGCTAGTTGTTTGAATTTTCCCATTCCACCTTAAATGGTGCCGGAGGCGCCAGAGTGTAATTCCTGCACCATTTAAGGTGAAACAGGAAAATTCGAGCACAAAGCTGACTTCAGCTTTGCGATGTTTTAGTGTTTGACAGTTTCTCGTTGCAGATTAAACGTATCAGGGAACCAGCTGAAGTGAATATAAACACAAAAAAGTCCATTCATCTCCCAATTATCGTTGTTCGTCTTAGATCTCTCTTTTTTTCTGTTTTGTTAGCTACTAGCCAGATGAGATTGCGTTGCTATGGTGACCTGCAGTCCTCGCACCAAACTTCAGGGTTAAATGGTGAATTAGCAGATATACATTAAATCCAGAGTTTAAGACCATTTATTATTAAAACTGTGTTTGAACGATCAGCAGAGCTTTATTTTACTGCAAAGGAGGGTTATTTTATTAGACAAGCTTGTGGAGCAAATTCAGTCAGACAGTCTGACATATAAGAAGGTGGTCGTCTATTAACAGCCTTAAAAACTAATAAAATAACTTTTTATTGAGCAGGAATCAAGTGAACTGCTGTCAGTACAGGAGTAATGTGTTAGTTCTTCCGTGTCCGGGTTAGAAATCTTGTTGGCCCATTCTGTTCAAGTAGTAGTTTGTCTGCACTCTTTCTGGGTGAGCCAGTGAACAGTAGATTACAATAATCCAAATGGGAGAAAAAACGGATGTGTGAGTCAGCCTCTTAGCATCATGCAGGGTGAGGTAAAGCCTGACTTTGACAATGTTGCTACAGTCAAAAAAAAGCTATATTTTTTTAGGGATCTGGGCCAGTGGCAACCCCAGAGACTTAAGTCGGGGGTGCCGTGCCCTGCCAATCCGCACACAAAGTACTTGAAAGCCAAACTGCATAGAACAATCTAGTAAAATTGCATTTAACAGGTTAAGACAGTATTGATTTTAAACACGCAGGGACGCAACAGCAACCACAAAAACTGTGCTGTTTTCCTTAGGCTTGTTTTTTTTCCATCTCTTTGGCTGCAGCCTGGCATAGCAGCAGCATTACCGTAAAGCTTTTAATACATTAACTGTAATTACATCAAGTATATGATAAAATATTGATAATTCTAGTTCATTTATGCATAATTTCAACTCGTATGTCCACATCTCTCCATTGAAATAAAGTTCAAAATCTTTTTTTCCTTAATGTTTAACCCAAGTTGGCATACTTTATCTATATTATTTGTTATTCTTACCAGTTTTTTTACTGTAATTTACTAAGATCAGTAATAGCTGCTACTTTAAAGTCTCTGTTACTGTCACTTTAAAAGCTGTTTAGACCTCACAGAAAAGATGTAATGTTCAGAATCACTATGTATGTCAAATGTATTTTTACATGGAATTTCTAGATAAGGCTTAGTCAAAGACAAAAAATATAATGAACACGCCGCATGTAATAAAAATCAAGATTTATATATATATATATATATATACACCGATCCGGGCATAACATTATGACCACCTCCTTGTTTCTACGCTCATTGTCCACTTTATCAGCTCCACTTACTATATAGGTGCACTTTGTAGTTCTACAATTACAGACTGTAGTCCATCTGTTTCTCTGCATACTTTGTTAGCCCCCTTTTACCCTGTTCTTCAGTGGTCAGGACCCCCACAGAGCAGATACTATTTGAGTGGTGGATCATTCTCAGCACTGGAGTAACACTGGTGGTGTGTTAGTGTGTGTTGCGCTGGTACGAGTGGATCAGACACAGCAGTGCTGCTGGAGTTTTTAAACACTGTGTCCACTCACTGTCCACTCTATTAGACACTCCTACCTTGTCAGTCCACCTTGTAGATGTAAAGTCAGAGACGATAGCTCATCTGCTGCTGCACAGTTTGTGTTGGTCATCCTCTAGTCCTTCATCAGTGGTCACAGGACGCTGCCCACAGGACGCTGTTGGCTGCATATTTTTAGTTGGTGGACTATTCTCAGTCCAGCAGCGACACTGAGGTGCCTGATTCGGTGAATATATACATTGATTTTTATTACATGCGGCATTTTTTGCCTTTGAGTATATATAAAAAACAGTAATAGCTGCTCTTTATATAGCTGTAGGATATAAACATGTGCAGTTCTGTACAGGTTCAGGTAGAATAGATAGCCATTATGAACGTGACGATTTTAACTTTTAACTGGTAAGTACAGCGGTAAAGCTGATGGATGCAGAAGAAAGTTCTAGAGCCAGGCAGCAGCATGACAGATGCAGGCGAGGGAACTGACAGAAAGGTGCGCAGCAGAAAGCTCAAAGCAGGGATTTATGTGCTAAATGGGTGAACGAGAGGAAGAGGAGATTATGAGGTGAGAGAGGGAGAGGAGGAAGGAGAGGGAAGACAACATTAGCATGTCAGAGAGAGGGGAAGTGAATACATTAATGGTAAATAATGGTAATTCATGCAAAGTGTCTTAATGGATAGGCTCTTCCTAGCCCGAGGATTATGTAGCTCTCAGCAGGCCGGGAAGTTTTCTCTAATGGAGCTGTAGGGCTGATGGAGGGACTTACACTGCTTCTTCTTTCTTTAATCAGGCGCTGTATGGACAGCTTGATCGGGCTCCAGTCCCTCTGACCAAAGAGCCGCTGCTCAGCACAGCGCAGGCGGTCCACAGGCGCTTCAGCAGGTAATGACTGACCACCAGAGGGCAGTGTAGCAGCGTAGATGGACCGTGAATGAGCCCTGTGGCGCTGGAACTTGGTATTATGAGGTGTAATCGGTTATACTGGCAGAAGTGGGTTGGAGATTCAATCATAAATCTGTAGCTGAGTGAAAACAGCCATGGATCATTTTGCTACACCGAGAGGAGAATTAAAAAGTGTTGGACCTAAAATACCCTAACTGCCCTACTGCAAATCAGACTGATAAAAAACAAGGAGATAACATTTGCCCTCAGCTACCTGCTGTTTGTCTTTTTGGCTTTTTATATACAGGATGGGCCATGACTGGACAGTTCCACCATGATTCAAAGTGCCCATCCCATGCAGATTCAAATTAAGAGTTTTTGCAGTATGTAAAAGTTCTTAAAGTGTCAAAACATTCCATTCACTTCCCAGTCTGTACGGTCCATATATAGAAACGAAGCTGAAAAATGAAAAATCATTTAAATGTATTGTTTTTGTGATAGATAGATAGATAGATCACTTTATTAATTCTTCTATTGCAGCAGTACAAAGTACAGTAAAGATAAATAATAAAATATACTAAAACAACAATAAAAACAAAATGTGCAGTACAAATATATACATACATATGTGTGTGTGTGTGTGTGTGTGTGTGTGTGTGCAGTTGACAGTGCAGTGGTGCATGTCCCCTCCAGGGACTGAACTAGTGACTGTACTGTAAACAGTAACCAATGTTAACAGTTGGCCGCGTAAACAGAGTGACAGTGCAATATGAAATATGTATAGATGTCACAAAACCAAATATGTAGACATATATCCTCCTATTAGAGTGGAATTTCACCCTTTTCTTCACATCTCAACATAATTCAATGATTGAGATGTAAATCAGTGGTGCTGATAGGAACCAGAAGTCTGAAAAGTTCATTACCTGTAAAAGCTACATCACAGAAAGTTATTAAATGAAATAGTTAAAAATGTGTCAGACATTGTTTTTATTAATGTTTTGTTTTGGATAAAATGGCTATATTTGGGTTGTAGATATTGAGACCCCTGGTTCCTATCACCACCACTGTAAAGAAATCTGAGTTGGTATGTTTCTCAACAATGAACCATTTCACTTCAAACCACTTTGGCTTTGACAGTCTGAAGTTTTTAATTATGCAGCACTTTTTAAAATGGTATAATTTTCGCTTTAAGCCTACATCAGTGTAGTGTAGCCATTTAGAGCAGAGAGCATTTCCATTTATCAGGTACCGTATTAAAGGCACAGTTTTATTCTGAGGGATACAGAGAGGCTGGAACGATGAATTATGACCCACACACACATCACCAGCGGTCATGTGTGGACCTCAGAGACCTCGTAAGTGGACCTGACTCACTCAAAATGACATTTTTTAAACATCTCAACCACTTAATTAAGCAGAAATTTTGAAAAATCAGTGGAGTTCCCCTTTAACACACTGTTCTTGGATTAGTCGCTGACCATCCACCACCAGCTTTTAGATGCCTGTGTTTATGTGCAACAGACTGGCTAATGTAATTGGAATCTCCATTTCGATTCCTGACTAACAAAAGCAGCTGCATCAACAACACAAACACAATGTACCTTCACTGTCACTGAGTGATGCATGACAGCATGTAAGTGATAAGTTGGCCATGGACCCATATTCCCTCCAGCACTCCTTTGAAAAAGTACATTTGGTTTAGCTGACCTCAGAACTGAGAGGGTCACTGAATCATCAGGAAACACTTTGTTTAAAGGGCACTTAAAGCCCCTTCCTGGGTTTAAAGGGGTTTTAGAGGAAGCACTCTGATTGGAAGTCAGTGATACAGCATTCGTGGAGGCATTCTCTACCTATGCTAGAGGAAAGAACTCAGGTCTCAGAGGGCCCACAAACTCCCAAATGCTTCTGCATTCACAGAGCCATTGGCACTAAGCAAACGGCCAGCAGGTGCTGAAACTGGAAGCTAATGGATTTGAAACACAACAACCAGAAGCTCTTAAAGTTTCAAATATGTGACTTGGAGTTACTTTATAAAACACATGACACTTTGAAGGCATTGTGAAGTATTCAATATATACAAATGTGAAGACATGCATCAAATGAGCTCTATATTAATGTGGTAAATTATTGAAAACCATCATTGGAATAATTACTGACCGTGCTGTGCGAAAGTCAGAGACCATCTTTCATTTAGTTTACAGTCAAAACAGCTGTTAAGTATTAATGTTGTTTGATTTTCAGCAAAAGCAGAAAATGAATATTTAACTGATTACACAGAAGCTGCAACAACTACATATAATATTAATTTTTATTATATCAGTATTTAGTGAGTCCACTCTTTACCTTTATTGCAGCTTTCATTCTTTTCAGGAGACTCAATTTCAGCTTTTCAAAGAAATCTGCAGGGACATTTTTCACACCTTGAAAGTTCAGTCTTAGAAGTTGTTTTTGTATTTTCTGTTTCTTATGATCCAAATAATCACAAACATTGAACACCAGCCGCTTCTTTGTTTGGTGTGTCTCCTTTTCTTAGTAAGAGCTTCTTGTCAGCTACACATCCTTTCAGACCCATAGCGCTGAGTTGTCTTCTCACAGTGGAGGGATGGACAGAAACACCTGTGGATGTTTTCAGATCTGAAGCAGCTTGATTTTCTCCTCTCTCTCAGAGATGAAAGCTGTTGATCAGTGTTGGTGTCTACCAGGTCTTGCATGGTTGTAAGAAGTCCCATTTTCTCTGCAGCTTTTAATTAATTTAGCGCAGGGTGGTCTATTGTACACTACTGTTCAAAAGTGTAGAATCAGTAAAATAAAACTGTTTTTAATTCAAGAAAATACAACCAAGTTCATTGCAGATAAATATAATAAATGTTTCTAATATGCTCGTTTGGTACAACTTCACAGGTTTCAAATAGTGATGATAAAAACTAATTCAAATAATTCAAACTTGTGTTAACCTCAAAATACTCTATAAATATTTAATACAACATCTAAAAACATTTGGTGTCTAGTTTAATAACGAAATCTATGTTGTATAAGAAAAAATACACAAAACATGTTAAAAAACATAAAACAGCTACATATTAAAATGTCAAAACATGAAAGTGTTATACTATTAGATCAAATAAATATTAAAAAAAAACAAATATAATGTGACATTAAGTGATATCACAATTTTGGTATTATGTAGAAATAGAATGTGGGTTAATTGTACGGATCTAAAATTACTCTACCATTCATTTACCATTTATAAAGTATTATTTGATTACATGGCATTGATGGGCTGTTCTCTTCTTTCCGCGGCCGTTATAAAAATGGCGCTGAGGTTGGATTTGAAGTTGGACCTCAAACAAACCCGGATTTCATTATACTTCACAAGGTGTTCATGTGGTGCCTCCTGGTAAACTTGTTTTTCTGATCGAACTGAGATCTCTTGAAAGCAGCGTTAGTCACTTGTGCGGCTATGTTGTGCCTGACAACACCCCTTAACCTGCTAAAATCACTCTAACGCAAAGCCTCATGTTGCTTATTGCTGTAATAACCCTGTCCTCCTTTGTTCATTTCTTATTTGTACTCTGTCTCTTTTATTTGAAAACATTTTTCATTTACTGTCTGTTTCAGATCTGAGTTGGCTCATCCATCTGCCCTGAATGCTCCGGCCATTCAGGGAACCCTGACCAAGAGTGCGGCTCTCAGCCGCCTCCCCCCTCACAAGGCTCTGCCCAACATGTCCTCTCAGCTGCAGCTGCCCCGCCCATGCGTTGCCTTGCCTCACGGTGGTAGAACCAGTCTGTATACAGATAGTTTTACTGTACCTGCCTATCTACCCAAATTATCCACTAGTGCTGCTGATCACGATACAGCAAAAAGCAGAAATGAGGGGAGCAGGGGTTTAAGGCAGCACGTCATGGAAGTGCCCAAAATGTATGGCACAGAGAACCAGACCTATGGGAAAGGAAAGATGGTGCTAGTGTGAGAAGGAAGAGGAAATAGGTTCATAGATGAGGATGTAGTTGGTGTCATGCGGCATGACATTATAAGAACTCTGGGTCTAAAGTGGAAAAAATTAATGACATTCTTGAAAAACGCAGAAAAACTGCAAAAAGGTGCGTTTTCCCCTGAATGTCACTAGATTCTCTGAACTACAGTCTTAAAAACAATGGTTCTTCAAGAGTCCTTTAGTAAAGAAAATAGTTCTACATAGACCCATGAATCCTCAAAGAACCGTTCGCATGATTAAAGGGTTTTTTGCATCGTGAAAGGGTTCTTTAGAGTGATGGAGAATGTGTTGTATATGGTCCTTTTTGAAAAGAGTTCTATATAGCACTAAAAATTGTTCTATTATTGTTACATGCTTGACATTGTAGAAGAATCTTTTTTGGTGCTAAATAGAACCCTTTTCAAAAAGGTTCTATATAAAACCATATACAACACATTCCCTGTCAACCTGAAGAACACTTTTATGACGCAAAGAACCCTTTAATCTTGCAAACAGAGTTATTTGTATCTTTTTTAAGTGTACAAGGTCACTAAAAAGGAATTCCACAGATTTTTCAATATTTCTGCATAATTCAGTTACTAAGAGGTAAAATAGTAAAAATATCTGGAAGAAAAGTGTTTTTGGGCACTATTTTGCCTTAGAACACCCTGCATGTACCTCTCTGCCAAGAGTAGATTTAAAAAGAAATATGGTCAAAACTTTATAGTAAAACTGTTGTAAAACAATGTAAATCAAACTCTTCAGACATTTGGTTCCCATCACCACCACTGTAAACAACATCAAAACACTTTGAATGACTTTATTGACATATTAACCATTTAATAATGCAGAGGTTTAAGATGGGATTCCTCTGTAAGTATTTGAAATATGAATAACGCTCCTGCGCACTGAAATGACACTGTGTGAAAGTAAGACTACTATCAAACGTCAACACTCCCACATTTAACAAACAATATAGAATATATACACACACACACACACACACACACACATATATATATATATATATATATGCAGTAAACATATATATATGTGTGTGTGTATATGTTTGCTTACTGCAGGGCACTACAGCTGTGATTTTGGGAAACACTTTGCATTTTCCCTGTAAAGAATTCCGATTAGATCCAGAGTTCCTAATATGTGCATGACGCCAACTGCTGGATGATGACATGATTCCAGAGGTCTATGAGATAACTTCTTGGATTTGATGTAAAGGTATACTGCAGTGTTATTAAACCTAATCTTTATGTGCCATATCTGTAGTATGTGGTCAGTTACCATGGACAACACTTTTGACACATTTCATTGTGATGAGAAACTAACAGAAAGCCTGTTAACTCGAAACACACTTTTAATGGAAGTCAAAGGGCAAGTGCATCCATTGGTTTCTATAAGTGAGTTTTGAGTAGACATTTCTCTGTTTTTTTAATAGGAACACTATTGTCTGTGATAATCGACTGTATGCTGCAGATACAGCAAATAAGTAAATTAGGTTGAAAAATGCTGGAGTATACATTTTAAATGTCATACATTAATATATTTTCAATATTAAAGGGCTCATATTGTGGAAAAACAATTTGTTCTTGCTTTTTTTAATAAAAGAATGTGATGTAGAGTGTAAACACAGTTAAAGTTTCAAAATGTAATGTTCACTCGACAGTCCATACAATCCGTATATGGAAACTGGTTTGTTTTTTTGTGATGTCATAAATAAACCAACAGATTTAGAAAACACTTACTTGAAGGGTGTCTACGTAACACATTCATAACTTCTTACATAAACACTTCATAACATGTTATGTTTACATTTGAAACAGCATTCATAAAGCATACATATTTTTATATGATTTTAATATGGACTACTATGCCACTTTACTGAGAGACATTTTTCAAAATAAAAGTTCTGCATTATTTTTAATTAAAAAAACTAAATTATTTTCAGTAAAGTGCCTCATTTCTGCACCGCCAAAATAAAAATGACTTTGCTTTACCCCTTTGGTCATGAAATGCTTTGTCACTTAGGCACACCATCATGCTAAGATTCAGTCAAGTGATTGTTTCTAAGCATGTTTAAGAGTAATTTACTGTCCATGTAGTAAAGTGACATGCAAAGCAACAAATGCTGGGTGCCAAAGCATTTAACGACCGAAGATAAAGATAAAGCGAGGTCATTTTTATTTTGGCTGTCCAGAAATTAAATTAAAGACTTTTATTTTGAAAAAGAAATCTCATTAAAATGACATAGCGGTGTATATTAATATTATGTAACACATCTATACTTATAGATATATAAATGTACATAAATGTTGATTTAAACATTCATTAACATGTTATGAAGTGGTTATGTAAGATGTTATGAACGTGTTATGTAGACACCCTCCAAGTAAAGTGTTGATTTACATATATCAGCCCATTCAGTCTACAGCAGTTTAGCCACTCCCACTCCCACTGAAGTTATAAGGAGTATTTCAGCCTGGACTGCTTTTTGACTGAGGCACAATACAGAGCAGCCAATCAAAATAGAGCTCATTTACATATATATCGGTCTTAAAGGTGCAGTAACAGAGCCTTTAATTCCATGGAATAAAAAGAGGTTGAAGATGGTCACGTAAACATGCATTCTGACTTAAATAAACCACACATATGTCATAAGTGGACATCAGAGAAAAGAGAAATTACAGAAAAATGATGATATGGGCCCTTTAAAGCTACTTTTTATTTATTGTTTTGTACACTTTCACTTGAGCAATTATTAAAGTGCTGGTTGTAAATATTTATATGTGAGAGAGAGATATTAGCTCTGTAACTGTAATGTGTGTAAACAGGGAGCGAGGGAAAACAGGGAGGAGTGTGGGCTTGTGTGTTGTGAGTGATCTTGCTGAACAGGCAGTTGACTTCACACAGAGACAGCTGAAGAGAACAGGGCCGACTCACATACGCAAGACATCAGCGCTGATCAACGCAGCGAGGCTGGGAGGCTGAGAGTGGGAGAAAAATAGCAGGGATTTGGCAGCATCTCGCAAATTAGCTTCTGAATCCATGTGAGTTTTTCCCGCCCCTGTTCTTCACTCTCTTCCGCCCACCTGCTCTCTGGATCCGAGCCTCTCCTCCCCTTCCGTCTCCCACCGCAACCTGCCAGACAGACGGAGGGGGAGCGAGGGCACAGCAAACATTTAGAGCCATATACAGAAATTTAAAGGAATAGTCCGGCTTTTTCAGCCTGTTCTCAGTCCGCTGCATCTGTAGTGTACGATAGATACCAGACAAACTTAGTAAGGGTGTTACAATTTTAATACAGTATCGTAAAATAAAAAAAAGGAACATTCGAAATGTGTGTAAATTTGAAATTGCATCGTCCCTCATGCTGTGTTTACATGTTGAAAAACTCTCATAGCAGAATTGACAGTGGTATATGGCAGCATGCAGCAGTGTAAACAATACCATGGTGATAATGGCTTGTCTGCTCGTGTGCAGGCAAATATAGGCGATGGTAAACTGGATATGCCATTGTTTTTAATGGAGCAGGTATGAAAACTCCTGCCACTGCAGTGCAAGCTTCCGTCACAAGTTCAGTTTTCTCAATGTCTGCCGTCCTTTTTTTCTTAGGAAAGAAAATATTTGTTTTTTTCTTAGCGAAAAATGTTATTCTTCAAATAACGTCTTAGGAATTATCTTATTTTCTTTTCTTACCTTTTTCTTAAGAATAATTCTAAGAACAAGTGGTATTCTTGAAACTTTTATATTCTTAAATGTTTTCTTAACCTTACGATAGTCTCAGTCTTGTCTTATACTGTAAGAGTTGACAAAGTAAGTTACCAAATGCCTAACACTAGCCGGATGTTTTATAAGATCACTGTTTTTATACTGTTTTATAAGACTTTTTTCCACAAGGACATGCTACATTGTCTTTTGTTGTGAAATATTTGTATTTATTTGAGCCAAACCAATCTGTGTAGCATGCAGTGCTGAAACATGTCTAACTAGGCATTCAGTTTGGGCCATAACGTCAAAATTTGGTCAAAACGATGAGAGAAAAACACCTGAACGATAAGGTCATTTCCGCTAGCGCCCCTCTGGGATCTTAGTTCAGTTCCTGAAGTCCTAACCAATGGCAGAGCTTACTTGGTTGTATCTATCTGGATACCACTGGACATTTTCCTTTGAGCAAAGTTTTAACCCTTTTGTTTCCAACCAGAATTTAACAATTAAATGAGTGTGTAGTGCTGTAAAGCTTGCAGAGGTTAAATTAAAACTATAATTAATTTATACAATTTATAACACTAAATTGCCCTCAGAATTCAACCAGAAAGTGTATGTATCATAACACTCCCTAATGAAACAGAACAGACACAACCCATTGGCTTCTATTATATATGTTGACTGAGACAAGAGGTTTTCTGTATAGGGAAACACACCGTAATCGACTATACACTACAGATGCAGCAATTAGAGATTAGGTTGAAAAACACTGGAGTATTCTTGTAATGGGCTGTGAAGGATGTATAACAACAAATGAGAACAGAAGAACGTGTATAAAGAGATATTTAACACTTACTAATGTATATCAGCCTCGTATTCAAGTAAATTATTATTAAAGATTGCTTAGACATCTTTAGACCAGTATACCAGTGCTATGCACGTTTAGTCGTATGCACACCAGCTGTACCCCTGATCACATGACATGTTTTGTTGATTTTCTTAGTGAAGATAAGTTAACACATACTCTACAGAGAACACACTTAACTATGGCATTTTCTGCAAATTTATGGCACAATTTCTAATTTAATGTATTGGAAGAAATAAAACATAAAGTATAAAATGTGCCATAATTTTTTTATTATTTGGTGGGGGGGGTCGCAGGGCATCTCTTGATATGATATTATCACAGTACATTGCCCATGATAATGATATCATGATACTGTGATTCTGTGATACTCGATATTTTGCAAGACAGTTCTCTACGATACATCACGATATCTGTGTAACCGAAGTAATGAAATACTCCTAAGTAGGCAAATAGCATGAATTATGTATTTATTAGTGTCGGTTTCACAGAATTTGGCAACCAATGTGAAACAATGTACAACAAAGCACATAGCTTAGCTTCATGCCTCTTTAGCACACACACACACACACACACACACCCACACACACACCCACACCCACACACACACACACACGCACACACACACTGACTACGTGTGTCATAATTCCAATGTAAAATAGCCATAAACTGCCAGAAAGCAGAACAGTTCTGGGGTTAAAATGTCTGAAGGTAGAACAACTGTGCCTCACTAAAATCTATTTTAACCAAGGCCGACTTTGAGGCTGTTCTTGATTTCTGGTAAATCAAATCGGAGCGGGAGTCAGTTTAGAGTTAACAGCAGATGCATATTTCAATAAATAAACTGATATTTGGTGTCAGTGTATCGATAACATATCGCAAAAGAAAGCG